CATTACGTTACTCAGTCCAAACATTCAAACAGTTAGGCAAACACAAAAACACAATTCATGTGCTGGGTGGAGGGATGTGAAGTGGCGTGGGCTGTTGGATGCGTGCGGTCAGGTGCTCAACAGTCCTACCAAACATACCGACTAGCACAATGTCGGCATACACGGTGCTGAAGGACGTCCTACCAACCTTCCACCTCAGTCATGTTATCTATAGCTTTGAATGCCGACATTGTGCTATAGTCGGTATGTTGGTAGGACTGTTCAGTTCAGCACCTGAAAGCACGCATCAAACACCACCCACTTAACAATTACAGGTATACATTGAAATACATGTAATTATCTTCACGGTGTAGACATTCTTGACACAACCGGTACAGAAGCAAATCAACTGTTTCCGCGATTGGCCACCACCAGAGAAATTTGAGGGGAAATACCTACATTTCGAGTACGGGAAACGGGTCGCATCGCGAAAAAGTTGACTTGGGCTCAACTTGTTTGGCCCATCGTGCGACGATCGCGTGATGAGTTTCCCGTACGCGAAATGAAGTATGAATCGGCCTCAACAATGTAGGCCGAGAGTTGAATATCAGACTGCAGGAGGTGCATACATGTACTTTGCTCCAAACCTTCTATTTCACATAATTAGCCATACCTTTGTACCACGTTTATAGTCTGGAATAGCCTGAGAAACAAGAAAGAACAGGAGAGACACACAGGCACAGCACAGGTTACTGAAGTAGATGCATGTCATAGAGATCCCTCAATCTTCATCTCAACCTAGCTGTTAGCACACTGGCGACACGGCCTCTCTCTCTCTCTCTCTCTCTCTTGAGGGGAAAGAAGGCAGCAAAAAGTGCGTGACATGCCGTGGGTAGATGCCATAACACATTGGCATCGAACGGGCATGCTTGGCTTGGTAATGATCGGAATACAGCATTCCTGATAAGGACAGGATATGACATGTAAAAGTACACGTACTTCAAGTGACAGGGAAGCTAACCTGGCCTAAAAAATGAGTTGAGCCGCGCACTACTTGCAGCTAGGAATACCCGGGCCGTGGCATAGAACATGCATAGTCTTTGCATGCAGTTGAATACTTGTGTAAGTTGTGTTTGCCGATCGACATGTTCGGTGAATATCCTTGAGACATTCATTAGTTGAGGGAGTTGTGATTGCTGTTACGCAGAAGGGTTGGAAGGACCCGGATTTGGTCAGTCCGAAAAAAGGGAGTCTTACTTATAAACTACCGTATGCCTCCCCCCCCCCCCCCCCCCCCTCTTCTAATGCTTACCGGCCAGTCATAAAGCGTGACGCTGGAGGGACAGACTAGCTTGGCATGGGGAGATGTGCTGCGATTGCCCTCTATCACACAGCGAATCCTGCAGTGATAAATCAACATAAGCACAGAGTCTGTACAAGCATATCTCGCTCACTCACCTCCACATGAGTGCACATGCATGCACGCACGACGCACGCACGCACAACGCACACACACACACAAACACACACACATACACAGACACAACACACACACAACACACACACACACAACACACACACACACAACACACACACACACACACAGACTTACACATCAATTGGAATAGGCAAGCGTTCGATTTGAGGAAAGACAACTCCACCGACCGGCACATAGCAGTGCATGCAGATGGTATGAGATGTATGGCCGCATGATGGACAAGCAGCTCTTCGTGCTCCCCTGAATAGTCCAAGAACAAGAAGCAGAAGGAGATCGAATTAAATACCATGTAGGTGTACACTCACACCTAAGCCAAGGTAAATACAGCAGTGACGAGGTTTTAAGCAGAGAGAGAGAGAGAGAGAGAGAGAGAGAGAGAGAGAGAGAGAGAGAGAGAGAGAGAGAGAGAGAGAGAGAGAGAGAGAGAGAGAGAGAGAGAGAGAGAGAGAGAGAGAGAGAGAGAGAGAGAGAGAGAGAGAGAGAGATAGAGAGAGAGAGAGAGGGAGAGAGATAGAGATAGATAGATAGATAGAGATAGAGAGAGAGAGAGATACAGAGATACATAGATAGAGCCGGTCCAGCTGCCCAGGCTTGGGCAGGGCCGCTTCGAAGTCGACCAAGTATGTTTTGATAGGCAAACGGCAAGGGAACATGAACCCCAGAGTGTGCAGCTCGAGACTTTTATCTGCATGGGTGTCTGTCACCATGGTCACGGCGAAATCCCGGGATTACATCAACGTCGGTGCAGATACGCGGCAGGAAATGGCGTAGTGCGTATGCGTACAACAGAGCTGCAGTTGTGCGGAAAGAAATCTGCTTGAATCCTGCTTGTACGCACGACATCACTAAACTGATGTAATCCCGGAATTTCGCCGTGATACCAACCCATCCGAGCTGCACACTCTGCGTTTCATGTACTCTTGCAAATAGGCATAAAGAGTACAGAATAATTCCATGGCACCATGCCTTCGAACAGTAGTGGCCGCACCATTTGCCGTTCGCTGGGGAGGTTATTGAAAGGCCGTCACAGCTGGAGCAGCTGAAGCCGCCCCACTTTTTCGGCCGATTGTTTTCTTCTTTTCTTCTTTTGATGCTGCATGCACTGAACACAGCTCGCGAGCGCACGCGACAAGTAGGTCTCACAAGTAGCAGTGGTGTACCCAGGGGGGGGGGGGGGGGTGCTTTGGGTGCTCAAGCACCCCCCTCAAAATTTTCGATATAGGCCAACTTGATGTATCCATGCCACTAAAAGCACCATAACTTTGCAACCGATTGTCCGATTTACGCAAATGACGGCCCATTGGAAAGGTCTTGAGTGAGGCTTTCCATTGAGATGTGATTGAATTTGATACTTAGAACACTACGTTGTGCCCAAACTCTGAAAGAAGAAATGGGGATGTTCATAAAATTAGACTTTTGAATGCAATTTTTGGTGGCACAATTATCAGATTTTTCTAACGGATTTTTTGCTTTCCACTCGCTGTCGTCACTAGTTGATCATAGTTTACCATATTACATGACCTTTCATGTGCCAGGACAGAGGGTTATCCATATTGTCAGGGCCTCGACTTGTTCTATTCCGATTTCCCGGGAACACTCCGATCAGTTGTTCCGACAAACCGACTGAAAACGATTGTTCACGAAAGTGTACTAATCTGTTGTTTCGGGACCTTGAAATCCTATGGCTTCTAAAGGGGTCGCTGTCCCCTTGCCTTCATGCCATTGAACACCTCAGACACTGCTTCTGATTTCTACCAACAGAAAAGTGGCAGCCCTCTGCTACTATCCTGTTTGTGAAGCTACCACCATCCATTGCACTTGCCTCCTGGGAGCCTTTTCTGTGACTCCTGCCAGAAGTTGTTATGGTAGTTTTGCCTTCTCACCCCATTCAATAATATGTGAAGTACTATAAGTTGTTTATAATACTAGTACTTCAAAGTACGTTAGTCAAATTGAAAATGTTTTCGTGATATGATCTAGCAAGAGTAGTGTACTCTTGGATCTAGCTTAGAGAGGAAACACATTTCGTACTCCAAAGGGAGGGGTATGTTTGGGATTGGGTACTTCAAGGCCTCATGGTTGCTCCATCCTACAGAAGAGGTCCTACATTTTCCCTCGACTTGGTATATCATGGTAAATACTTGTATGTTAAATAGCGCACTAAAAGTAAAAATCAAGATATCAACCATCCATGTATCAAGCGCACCGAAATAATGCCTTATTTGGTTCTTTGGGAAAAGGTTGGAGCACCCCCCTCATTCCAGATGCTGCGTACACCCCTGAGTAACCCGTCGGGTCGTTCCCACCTCCAGGACGAAGTCCCAGGCCCAGCTAACTTTGGTGAACAAGTGTGCGTTGTGTTACTTCCAAGTACACGTACATGGGTGGAGAAAAGACTGACAGATATGTGTCAGGAGCCATGCAGAATGAGCTGCTGAAGACTATTGCCATGCGTGCCATCCGGTCAGTGGCACAGTCATTCCAGCAAACGGCATTCGCAACTGTAATGATGGATGAGACCGCAAACGTGGCCAATGTGGTGCAGGTTGTGCTGTTTTCGTCGAGTTGACGATGCATTTCAAGTCCACGAGGAGTTCATTGGACTTCATGAAGTTGGTTCAACCAGCGCAGAGGACATCTTCCGCGTGGATAGTGCTCTGACGGTGCTGCAGCGATGGCAGCCATATGGTCTGGTGTGCCCAAGCCTGTGTAGGATATTGAGCCACGAGCTGTGTTCACCCTCTGTACTGCTATGGTCACAGCCTTAGTCTTGCCTGTGGAGACGCCATCAAGAAGTCAAAACTGATGAAATATGCTCTGGACATCACACACGAGATAACAAAGCTGATAAAGTTGCAAAATCGGAATGCTGCGTTCAGAAACTTGAAAGATCAGCTTGCCAGCGACTGCCCGGATATCCCTGTTTTTTGCCCTACACGGTGGACGGTGCGTGCTGACGCGCCAAAGATCACCGCGGACAATTATGCCATTCTTCAACAGCTCTTTGCCGATTCTCTAGGGCATGTCCGGGATATGGAAACAAAGGCCCGTATCCAGGGAGTTGCTAGTCAAATGCAACAGTTTGACTTTTCTTGTTTGGTGTGGCTCTTGGCTCTTTATTCTCTGCCATAGTGACAATCTAGGCCGCAAGTTGCAGCGGGACGACAATTCGGCTGCTGAAGGCCAGGAAATGTCCTCCATATAAATAGTCACAGCCACCCAGGCCTTCCGCACCACCAGCAAATTCAATGAGTTCTTCGAAAACATAAAATGTCTAGCTGAAAAGTTTGATGTTGCTGAGCCAGCATTGCCTCGACGACGAAAGGTTGCGCGACACCTGGATGATGGGATGACCCCTGCTGAACTCCCACCTTCAGTGGAGGAACACTACCATCCTCTATATTTCCAGGCCATTGACCTCATCACAAGCTGTATCAACAATCGCTTTGATCAGCCGGGGTATTGTGTATACCTCGAGTTGCAAAACCTGCTGTTGAAGGCAGCATCTGGCAAGTCCTACAGCAGTGAGTTACAGTCTGTGGTCAAGTTCTACAGTGCGGACTTGGATGATGCATCGTTGGCACCTCACCGGCAGAAGGACTTCTCCGCCGACGGTGAAGTGTCCGTGTCTGGTCTACTCGAGTTCTTCGGGAAGTGCTCTCAGCGTGTCCTGCAGTTGATGTCACAGGCTGGGGTACTAGTCAAGCTTCTACTGGTTATGCCGGCCACCAACGCTTCTGGAGAAGTTCGCATACTCAGTGCCACGAGGAGGATGAATTCCTACTTACGATCCACCATGAGTCAGCGGCAGCTGAACCACCTGATGCTGGTTCATGTTCACAAGGGACTGGCGGATTAGCTCAGTACGGTTGATGTGGCGAATGATTTCATTGCACGCAATGATCATCGACAGCATGTTTTTGAATATCATCATGAATTTATCAATCTTTTTAACTCGGATACTGAGCCAGAAATAAATGTAAAAAAGAGAAGAGACTGGTTATCATCTCGTTACAGTCGTGGATAGTTGCTGCATAACTCGTTCTCATGTGTTTTCTTCTCTTTTTTAAATTTATCAATCGTGTATTTTCAACCCCTCGAGCTACACTAATACCTCGGTTATCCGGACCCCGAAGTTACGGGCACAGGACTGAGAGGTGGTGCGAACATAATCATTGAACATTCTAGGAGATAGCGCATCATACTGGTACAGCGTCAACCGGAATATGGCAAAATAATATCGGAAATGATAACGTTTGGAGTAGACAGAAGAAATGAACTGATAAAATCATAAAGTAGCAGCACACCAGGTTCACACGATCTCACGGGGTAAAAAGGGGAAAGAACCGTCCTCCAAATGGGACTTGAAAACCACAGCACTCTTGCTGCCCAACCCTGGCACAACCTGCCAGCACAATCGCAGTTCAAAACCGAACTGAATACATTATAAGGGGCATTGTCACACACATCGTCCCAGGTTAGCTAGATAGACCGTGGCTCACCATGATCGGACGCCTACCTAACTAAACTGGATTCACACACTTGCATAAAGGAACACTGAAGAGAACAGGAAGACTGAAGGAAGACAGGAAAGAAAATGCCATATCGGGAATTAGCTTACGTTGGACATGGAGCTTGATCGGTAGAGACGCTGTCCGTCATCATTTCGGGTTAGGGGGAGACGTGGCGGGCGAAGGAGTAGCGGCGACTGACGCATCAGGTTGGGCCATGCTGGTATCGGTTACACCAATAAAACAATTTACCGCTGCCATCAATTCTGTAGCGCCGCTGCCATCAATGCAATACAGATACTAGGTGGGTTCGAATCTAGCAATTATAAAATTGAACCACCGCTGCCAACAATTCTGTAGCGGATCCCACCGCTGGCACCAATTCTGTAACGGGCCGCAGTCTCTCTCGGAGGCAAATGCAGACGGGTCTCAGTGAACACACTGTTGTTCACTTTAATATTACTAAAGACTGGATTTGGTTGAACTCTAACTCTAAACTGACATTACTGAAGGTTTCTAACTGAACTTTCTAACTGTGCTTCTAACTGAACTGTAGAGAATTGTGAACAGCAGCTTTTATAGGCAGACAGCATAAATGCTGCAACAGCAATGGTCACGGCAAAGCTCAGCAGAGAGAAGAAGAAAGGTCAAAGTAGATGTGTGGGCTACAGTCATTGCACAAGGAATGCCATTTGATTCTATGCAGAAGAAGCTGAATAGCAGTGTGGGCAATGGGCGTAAAAGAGGCGGTTGAAAGTGCAGCAGTATTTCTAAGGTCAATATGAAACATTGAACGCAGTGAGACTACCGTACTGGCAATATATGTTGCCGCGTAACGCGTAACGCAGGGGGGTGCGGCGTAACGCGCGACCAGGCTAGTGCGACATATTTTCGTTGAGTTCGTAACGCGCGTCCGGCGGGGTGCGGCGATCTTTTCATTGCAGTTTGCACTGCAAAAAAAAAGGCTGAAAACTGTGAAAGCACGTGTACCGCGTGGTGAAAAGTTCAAAACTGGACGCAGCAGGAAGTCCTGACACTCGAAGGCGCATCATTCAGTGGTTGGCGATCTCAATGGTTTCTTCTTTCCCGAGGTCGTTTTGCACTCTGATAGTTAAAATATACAGTCTTCTATTGATATCGTTGTCGCCCTTTGCCGTCGGGTTTGTAACAGTTGGATAGCAACTGAATTTCTGTGCCTTCAATGTGGATGAAAAGAAAAAAATGATGCGGCAAAAGCAAAAAAATGATGCGGCAATAGCAAAAAAGTGATGCGGCAATAGCAAAAAAAGGACTGCGGCAATATAGAAACCTGTGTAACGGCTCCTGTGCGACTTTGCATGTAACGCCCTGCGTGCGGCAAACATGTGCCAATGTAACGCTTCATGGCCTCACTGCGGCAACATATATTGCCAGTACGGTAGTTGCTATCCATGTCATGGATCTGCAAGCACGGTACAGAGTTGCAAGTGCGGGGTACGGGTGCGGTGTAACACGCGTGACCAATACATTGAAAGTGATTCACGCTGCAGCTGTGTGAGTTACAAGCGTGCCAACGCTACAATATGAATAATTACAGAAAGCCGTGAACATACATTGAAATGGCACCAGATACTCTTAAATGCTGGTTTTTGGACGCCGGAAATTTTCCGCAAAGGACCCCCCTCCCATCGGCCGCCCCACCTCCGACTGCCCTGTACTGTAAAGTCAACAAAATAATATTCGACGCATACTATTTTGGGCTATTTTCGTATTTTCGGCCTGTGCATTTTCGGGCTAAAATTTCGTTCTGCCAGGTTCAATGTGACAGTGTATCCGGCAGCAGCTAGAAGTACAGGCTGACATTTAAATGCAGCCGAAATGTGTTTCAGCCCTGGGCATGGGAGGCCGAAGTTTAAATGCGCCGGAAATTTGTAGACTTACAGCATTGTCTGCTCATGTCTGCTACTACTGTAGCCCTTAGCCTGGGCAATGACATGAGCCAGCATGTTGTTCCCACAATCACTACTATTACTAACAATATTTAAAATGGCCACGTGACCTTTGTAATTGCAATACAATCATAGTATTGGCAAAGTAAGGTGCTAGTACTAATGTAGATACTTGCACACGCATACATGTACATGTATAATAGATACTTGATTAGACTACAAGTATCCATGCACCTAATTTCTAAACTACAACTTGTAGTCACCTACCGCAGTGAGTCGTGCGAGGCTAGCTTCAAGTGCCCGAAAAGCTTCTCAGCCTCGACATTCTGCACCACAGGACCGCTAACAAACCCAGTAGCCGCCGACATTGAGGAACGACAGCATGGCAAGAACGGGCTACGAGACCAAAGACATCGCCCAAGCCTCACAAACATGTAGGCATGCAATTACAATCCACCAAAGCCATGCCAATGAGAATCATACAAATCAAAATCGAAAATCAGATTCCTAAATTTCGAATAGTCACGCAATTTCAAGTGAAAAAATAGGAGAGAAATGATTGTTACCCGCCATATGTGGGTGTATTTTGATTCAAAATAATTCCCAAGCTTTCTGAAGAAGCTGATGTCTGATGAATCTGAACTGTGAAAGCAGGGAAAGCTTCTCGCTTCCATGCGCTTCCCCTCCAGGTTGTTCTGAAGTTGGACACACAGCTTCGCTGTGCCTTTTACATTGCCGTCGGAATTTTGTTTCACCTTCTTGTCATCCACTGGTACATGGTACATGCAATCGTTTGGCGTAAATATTACAATAATTTTTGAATCGTTTGGTACATCGAATTGCAAAATACCAAACGCTGTGCTGTAGGGTACACACATTTATTACCGTGTTAGTGCAGGAATGTGAATAGGACGTGTCTTCTTGGATGGCCTTGAGGAAGTATTTCTGAATTAGTAGCTATCAGATCGAAGAGGAGTGCAAGGACGACACCAGTGCGTTTGGTACCAGTTTTATGTGTGCGCAGGTGTATGAGACATAATGTACCCGGTTTCTGCAGAGTAGCACTGGTATGGAATACATACATCTGAGCAACTGATGACGGCATTCCAATGATGCAAATGTCGGACTCTGCAGGCCACGGCGCTTGGTCTGGGTATCGAGTATTTGCTCCGTAAACGGTGCTGTGAGAAACTCTGCCATGTGCTGCGGCTGCTGGTCGCTATGAGTGAGAACGCCGCATGTCCAGTATGCCAACGTGTTGTAGACGGCGGCGAGAAAGAACTTGCTGCACACGTCAACTCCTGCCTGGACCAGCAGAGGAACGTGGACACTGTGGCAGCGTGTCAGATATGCAAGAAGAACATTTCCAGCTACACTTCCACCCAGCGCACGCAACACATGAACAGATGTTGCGATCGTGTCAGCAAGCCTTCCGGCAATGATGTCCATACCCAGCCTGATGCTGGAGCAGATACAGCAGATTTTATACCAACCACCCGTATGAGCGAGAGGTCTTGTCCAACCTGCGGGAAAGCCTTCAAAAACAAAAAGGTACCAACTGAACCTGTGCTTGTAAGGAGTCCTTTACACAAACTATCTCCAGCACTGCCGGTGCCGCTGCCGCCACACACACAAGCACATGCATACACACACACACACACACACACACGCATGCCCGTGTTCCTTAGAACAGTGGAAATCTCTTTGTGATCCAGATCGCTGATAGCGACTGTGATGATTGGCCTCCTGTACAGCGCCAGTCACATGTTCTTATTGGTACCTGGTATGCTGCAGCCCTGCGATCAGATTCAGCTGTGAATTACTTCAAAGCACGCACCTTTTAGAATTATTTTCTATATGTCACTGCGGGTAGCTTGCGCTTTTTGACGCGACCTGACTGACCCGTGACTGTCATCAAAAATGCACGCGAAGCCCGCCAAACCTACAGTTTCTTAGCCACTGTGTGGTTAGCCGGCATCTTCTTTTCCATAGGGAAACGACTGGGATCCAGTGGTAAATGCAATCTTTAAACATAGTGCACGGTGTGGCGTCGTTGTATGAGTGCTTTCTGTGAATCTACAGTAAAACCTGTGGCTAACGACCACCCCTTGGGGCCAGAGAAGCGGTCTTTAGTGGCAGGTGGTCCTTAGTTAGAGGTTTGCACCGCACAACCATAATTATATGAATGTGAGCCCGTCCGTCCGTGCCTGGCGAAGTGGTCTGTAGTACCAGGCTGGTCGCTAGTCACGGTGGTTTATAGTTACAGGTTTTACTGTACGCCGTGTTGAAAAAGGGATTTAACTGATGAAAATCTGCATCACCCATTGCAACAATGGTGCCAATCTCACCACTCAGCCAACTGTCTAAAAATATTTTCCAAACGCTTTTAGTTTGAACCCATTCTCATCATGGAAATGAAGTGAAGAAAGTCATAGCCATCTGATACAATTCTAATGCAAAGAAGCGAGTAATGAGATTTAGCGCTAACGACTCAGTACTGTGCAGCGGCGATAATCTATCACATGCCGGCACTATTCTCTCTCCTTCATGCTGTCTTTTGTAAATAAGGGGTTGAACTGCTTTGGAACATGTTTTTGATGGTTGACTGAGTAATGAATTTGCCATCCATGTTGCTATGCGTGGCTATGCTGTGTCCTATAGGGTGTATTGGCACACGTTAAGAAGTGTCCACAGAAGCAGAGTCTATCTGTAGACGAAGTAGCCGCCGCTTTGGAGCAGCAGGAAAATGGCAGCGCGGTGACCAATGCGCCGTCTGCCTCTACCCGTGCCGTGACCAGCTCAACCACAAGGTCATCCAGAACGACAAGGTCGACTCAGGGTGGCACCAGGCCGACGCGGAGCAACACACGCAAGTACGCCAGTGCACACTTTGTAGTCGATCGATTATCCAGCCTCTCACTTGTACTATATCGTTGCGAATGCAGGACTGTTTCCAATGGTCATGCGTAATTACCACATCTCAGTAGTTGCATATCTCTGTTCCCTTTAATGGTATTCCAGCGGTTTGTGTTTTTACTTTTTAGGCCAAATAACATGTTTTGCTCTGGGTGACATGGTCCATTTTGGACGGGATCGATCGGTGTTTATAATTATATTGTTTAGTTTTTTTTCTTCAGGAAACACACATACCTGTAAGTATGCTTTCACAGTCGACACAAGGCACAAAGTGCACATGCATGGATGCACAGGTGACATATTTCGCACCCAACTGTGCGCACCAGGGAGTAGTACACTGTACTACTGCCTCAGCCTGGTACGTACGTGTACACACTGTGCACGCTTTGTTCACCGGTGCATGCATGCAGTGGATCCAGAAGTCATTTACTGTAAATCATGAATATGTAACGAACAAGTAAATCTAACGAGTTAACGAGCAAAGATTTATCGTTATTTTAAAATTCGTTAGCAAAAGTCGTATGATTTGGGCCTCGCACGATTGAAATCGATCATTTCACATTATGGCATGCAGCGCGTGTTCAACGGATCGTAACTCAGTCAATTCTCAATGGAATTCAACAATCAAAAGATCTAGATGATAGCAGAGACGCTCAGCAGTCGGCTCAAACAATTCCGAAGTCTCTCAGATGATTTTTGACGAAGCCGCAGGAGATCGTTAATTTGAATATTTTACGCTCAATACGCTGGATAAATTTCATTTTCTTTATTCTCCTGACATCGAGGTATACTGTGATGGACAACAATGAATGTTCTTGATGAGCATTCCTAGTATTATTGCATCTGTCTGAGAAAATCGTTAACTTTTCAAACCGTTAACCTTCGAAAATCAGAAAATCGTTAACTTTGCGGGTCGTTAAAATAATATGATTTACAGTACTTCTTTTTTGAAGTACCTGATACTGTACAGTTGAATGATGTGAGTGCATGTACATGTGGCATGAAAAATCGAGTTTTTCCAAATTTCAGACATTCGGTCGGGTTGCCTCGAACAAACAAGTTTCTTTTTCTTGACCATGTTTTAATTCTGTCTGCAAGAAAATGAATGTGCATCTTCATAATTATGGGTTCATGTGCGGAAATTTCCGTGGTGAGAATAAGACTACTACATGAAAGTCAACTTTGTACATGTGCTTACATTGCACCTGACCTATCGCCATAGTAGATCTGCTCACTCAGGAATGGTGAAGATGCATAATGGGAGTTTAATGGAAATTGCTCTACTCACATAATAATTATAATTTCAGGTTGAAATCCCTACTGTATCTGACTGGTTATAGTTGCCTATTCCTGTGCTCTCAGGCGAGTGAAGATTCAAGATGAAGATGAAGACACCCAGGTTGCTTTGGCGCTATCCACCTCTCTGGTTCAGACAAAGCTAGTTGCACCGGACACGCGTGCCCGTCCTGGTGCGAGAAAGAAGTCGAAGCAGACCAGGTGCGGTGTGTTTGTTGGGTGCACGTGTTGATCACAGTTGCTACATAGAAGCTAGGTAGAAGCAACTACTTCATACCCCGTAATGTCGCGTATTAAAGCCGGGCTTATTCCTGTAGAAGCCGATGTCGGGGCTATGCTTCTATTCACATCAGGCTTCTATTCAAACCAGGTATTTCTATGTGTGTCAACATTGAAACCAGGCTTATATGCCGGCAGTGTATATTGAAGATCAGGCTTGTATTCAAAACAGGCTTCTATATGAAATTGGCTTTAATAGAAGACACTACTTCATACATGGAATTTTCTCTTTCAGACTTACCGGTACTTTCGTTGATTTTGTTTGGCATCCCACTTGAACAAAAATGAGTCATTTTCCACACCGCAGGAAATACATGAGATAAGGGTCGCAGTTTTTCCTGGATGTTCTAAATGCTGACTGAATGGCCAGCTCAGGTTTTGGGCGAAAGTTTCTTCTTCTGCCGCTAGACTACATACTAACTATTACAGTATCAGGTGCTCTTAGGTATGTCTTTTCTAGCTGACATCATGTCTGACTCTGTGTTTTGCTTTCGCAGTGCCTCTAAGAATGAAGTGCCAGTCCTGTTGCAGCGCAGTGCGAGTGAACAGCAGGCTGTGGTTGCAGCGCGAGCGGGCAATGTCATATTAGGCCTGGTATGTGTGAATTCCTGAAATCTCCTGTCCTGCCGCTGTGTGCTTTCTTTTTGGGTTCATGGACTTGCAGTGGTTTTCATAGTATGTTGTGCAATCACGATTCATGGCAGATCCCAGTATGTCTTGCAGCCATTGGCAACAGAGGATGATCAGTACGTTTACATCTTCATGCGCACTTCAGTACGGGTTTTCACCGGGTCTACCTTCCCATTCTGTTTCAGCACGATGTGACGTGGTCTTTCCGAACGGGCGTGATAACTGATAACATCAGTGTTCTTGTACCACTGCTTGGGCGTATGTTTGTTTCTCCAGGGTGATGATGATGGTGATGATGACGACTCTATGCCAGTGTCGTGCACTCCGGCGTTTGCCACCAGTCGCCTAGCCAGTTCTGTTGTGTCCCCGCCTCGTGTCAGGTCTGCCGCGATCCCTGCTGATCACGCATCTCATGAGCAGGCCGCAGGCTGTGACTCGTCGAGTGGTGCCACCAGGTCGGATTCACCCAGCAGGTCGAATGATAGAGGTTGCCCGGCGGAGGGCAGTGGTTCGCGCTCAGGCCCTGTGTCACCCGGAGCTGAAGTGAAGTCTGGCTATGAAGGTGCTGCAGAGTACTCATTGAGTGCCACTGCTGAAGCTGGTGCTAAGCATATCGGAGCTGTGTCTGAGAGGGGAGCAAGTGAGGAGAGTGATGATGAGAAGGAAAATAAATTGCCAAAGCACCTGGAGTTGACCACCACCACCACCACCACGGTCTCCAGTGCAATGCCACTGGACTCTATGAGCGAGACATCAAGGTCTGTCCAGGACCGTCAACATACCGATGATGTTGGCCTCAGTGGACTTGGCTCTTTGTCAACAGACCCTCTGCGAACACTTGCGGAAACGTCTGCTGGGACCAGCAGCTGCTCTTCTGTGCACCCACCGTCGCAGCCAGTGGCCAGTAACCCTTACCCAAGTACCCGGCTGAAGTTGACAAGACAGCGCAAGAATCATGTTCAAGTGGTTGGGAAGGTCACTGACTTCTACTCAGTACCCGTTGCTAGTGTACATATGAATGACAACAAGCCAGTAAGTGGTACCGGTACATGTATTTCTGTGATGTTGCCATCGTCATGTACGAGTATGGACTCATGGGATACTTCTTGTACATGTGCTGTTGTGGACATGGAAATCCAGGGGCCCTGGCCATGCAGCCGTGAGTACGTATACGATCACGATCAACATGTGCAGTGCATGCTCATTTGCTGTGGTGTGCAATGCATGCAACGTTCTGTACGCACTGAGGGTGCCGGCCCCGCGTCATTCGACCGAATTTCCATGTCCACGACAGTACTTTGAGTACGAGCCTTGAAAGGGAGGCGGGGGGGGGGGGGGGGGGGGGCTGTGCACATGACACCCAATCTATAGGAATAGCCGTGCGCATTCTGTACAGGCATGCATAGTATGTAATTGTGTTGAATTGTCCTGTTTCCGGTGTGCGTTTATGCTCTGTCCGCTTTTTTTTCCCGCTGGCCAGGCAAGCCAACAGCTGTGGCGTCTGTCTGCGGGAGCTAGTCCTTTGACAGACAGCGACCATTTCTATGTGCCATCTCTACTGGAGGACTGCCATCAGCAACGCCCATGTGATCTGACTAGTGAAATCAATAGACTTGAAAAAACGGCACACGAGGAACCTCTCGATCAGAATGAGCCTGTGAGTATAGTTGAAGTATTAACCCTTTAATTAACATCGGTGTGTACATGAATCGACCGAATTTGGTCGATGGACATGCATGCACTAAAACATTCGTAACTCGATCGATTCTTCGCGGAATTTCAAACCCTAAGTATCTAGGAAAGAACTGAAGAGCTCAGCTTTCCATTGCAACAATCGGCGAGGAACTGCGATGTTGCATCCCAAAGATATCGTGCTCGACATTTCAAGCACGGCGAAATTCGAATTTTCCTCGGAGTGACTGACCTTGGGTGGGGGATTTTCCCTCTCCTGACATGCTGAGTCACCTTGGCATGCTTTGAGCGTGTGGGCAGCATGAAAAGAAACTCTAGCATTTGAAATGTTTACGATGAAGGAATGAGAAATGACTTGCGAGGAGAGAATTTTCTCGGATATCCAGCGGTGGGGAGTATTTGAAGAGCTGAGATTCAAAACCCGATAAGCGCAAAAATTGAGAAAATCAGATTTTCAGCTCAGTGTACTCAAAAGGTCGAGAGGCACCACCAGGCAAAATTTTACATTCAAAATCAGACTAGAACCATTTCAAAACTGGAACTCAAATTTGGATTTAGATACCAACTGCACACGTAGTCAATTCTCTATTCTATATCATTCACGCCGGAACTGCTGCTGCATAGCCCCAAGTCTGAAGACTTGGCAACTTCACGCCTGCACCTGACTCTTGCGCTATGATACGCGTCTCGCCTATGATACCCCTCAGAATTTTCCACCTTGCTCCCCCTTATGTTCTGGCTGCCCATTTTGGATCCATCAGTTGCCTGATGATCGTAGTAATACGTGAAACTCAGAGTTGTAACAAAGTTTCCAATCTCTCTCTTGTGGATACCAACTGCACATAAATGAATCCTTTTTGGCCATTATCCGAAAAGTGATGAAATGGATTTAGCGGGTTTTGCATCTCAGCTCTTCATTTGAAGAACCCTGGCGTTAGATATGTGATATCAGTAGCGTCCAGTTTGAGCTCAATGCACGCAGCTCGTGGAGAGCTTTCCAGAATGCCCACGATTGTGAAAATTGGTTGATTAGAATTTAGAACCAAAGATAGTCTGAGAATGAGGTGAGAAATATCGCATGTTGAACTGCCTGGGAATTTTTACCCCGAGTCATACTATAGCAGTGAATGCCATGCATGGGTTTACCTCGCACACTGAATTTCATAATTTGACATCCAAATCACAGAAGAGTGGTGTTCCAAACTTTACGTAATTGCACTCCATGTCCTGCGAGCTACAGTAGAACACTTTAATAGAATGATAGTTATAGCAACTGTTGCGTGTGTTAAATTAAATATGGCCGCGGAATCTGTATTCATCAATGGCGTTCTGCTGGGCTGTTTCAGTGCCTTTCTGCATGCCTAGATACCCGTTTTGGGCAGCCAAGATGCCACTTTTAGCTAGTTTTGGTCACTGTGTGCAGGTCCAATATGCAGGGAGAGGCATATTTAGTGCTTCCGTTCCAAGATTCCCAATAAGCACCCGTGACTGTGCAAGAAGATTAGCAGTATTGCTTTTTTGTCGCTGACGAATGTCAGTGTGCAATGCGACATACGTTTGGGCTGGTTGAAGCCCACGATGCCTTATTATGGCTTTCTGTTTGCTCTTGACGAACATGGCAGTCAGCTTCACCAGTACAGTAGTTCACTTCCGGTATCCCCGGCACCAGCAATCTTCCTGTATGCATGTAGGCGAGCTTCATGCTTCATCAGCTGCTGCTTGAGCTCGCTTGGAGCACTTTTGTCATGAGATACCAGTAGTGCTGGCAGAAGCTTCTCACATATCTCGTGCATCAGTGAGAAGGGCGGTATGGTGCTTTCCACCAGGTCAAACACATGGTGTGATCTGCGTAGAGGTGTGCCGTGCTCTTCCGACTCGCTGCTGCTGTCACTGCTACTGCCGCCGCCGATGTTGTCTTTGACCGGGGTGTCTGTACCGAATAGTGTGATTAATTCCAGTAATGGGCTGCTCCTATTGGTTTTCATTATATCACGATGAGTGGCAACGATACACCATCCATCGTGATAGTGTGCAACAGAATGTGCAGCCCGATCCATCACAACTGAGGCTCTAGCGCCGGTAGAAGATTCACTCATTGATGTTTAGTGGGTTGCTTAAGGCGGCACATAACTAACTGATGCTCCAGTGTCAATCAGGAAGGTAAAGCCAGTGACACTATCCGTAACACGTAGTAGGCGACCGGGGCATACCGTCGAGCCAGGGGTGGTGGTCGCCACTAATCCCTGGCGCTCCCGTTTCCCAAAAAGGAAATGCGTATACGGAATTGGCACATTTACGTGCGTACAAGTATGCATGCCTGTAGACGTAGAATATAAATGTGGGCATGATAGTAGTGTGCAAAAATCCATTCCGGCGGGTCAGGTGATGCCTTGAATCACAACAGATGCGCTGGAGGGCTTGGGTTTTCCTTGCAGCAAATAGCGTACCAGAAATGTGAATAAGGACGAGGCAACCTGACGAGCTGCACGAAAAGAATAGTGATCAAATGTGATTTCTCAAAAGACCTATATAATTATTACGACCAATAGTTTTTGCATTGGGTAAAGTTAATGCTGTACCTTCAAAGTAGTGTCAGAGGTTCACATGCTGACATTAAGCTCGTCAAGAAGCTTTGCTAATGCCTGAATCAGCGCTGAATTGGAGAGTCACTTGCCAATGTCAGCAATCACATACGTCTCAGCACAACAATATGTTTGCAGATCATGATCAGATAACCTGAGAAGTTAATGCTGTACCTTCAAAGTAGTGTCAGAGGTTGACATGCTGACACAGAGCTCGTCAAGAAGCTTGAATCAGGCTTGAATCGGCGCTGAATTGGAGAGTCGCTTGCCAATGTCAGCAATCACAGACGTCTCAGTACTGGGGAAACTTTTGGAAAAGTACATGCAAAAATTAGGTCAAACATGTCACGTGACCGTCTTGGAAGTCACATGCAGTTATATGTCTCATCCCCTTTTCCAGGACTCGACCATAAGCTTTCAGTGCATCCACATGCAAAGTACATGATTTTTTGTTCAGGTAGAGATCTTTTATAATGTTGGTGTTCGAGGAAGTGTGATTTGGTCAGTATAGTCTAGACGTTTATCACTATATGCGATTGGACTGGGTATGTAGTCTGTATCACTATGATTGTGATATCTTTATGACTTAGTGATGATGAAGTACACAAACAGACATGCACCATACCCAGAGTACATAACCATGTACTCTTATGGACTCTTATGTACTCTTGATAATATCCAACCAAGACTTTTGATAGCACGAGATGATCGGTAGCGGAGGAAAATGCTGCCACGACCTTCACAGTCCAATCGGGGGTCTGTACTACATGTGCGCTGTATAAAAAACATGTCTCAGATAAAAGTCTGTTTGGAATGCAAGCCTGGTTTTCAGGATGAACCTTCGCACTATAAGCCTGGTTTTGTGCCGACAATGAAAGTCCGATCTCTCTCCCTTTCTCTCTCTCTCTCTCTCTCTCTCTCTCTCTCTCTCTCTCTCTCTCTCTCTCTCTCTCTCTCTCTCTCTCTCTCTCTCTCACACACACACACACACACGCACGCTCACATGTACACACACACACTTCCTCTCTCTTTCTCTCTCCCATCTCTTACTCCATGCAGGCGAACAATATGTTGATGGTCAGCTTCTCACAGCGCCTTCTATCATCACTCTCCGATGAGTTGCAGAGCAGCTTGCCTCGGCCTTCCCAGCATTCCACAGGTCCTAGAAACTCACAAGAGGGCGGTGGTGGTTTTGGTGATGACGCTGATACCAGTGGTGGATCCTGTGAAGGCAGGAATACAGTAAGGCGTTGCAATCATTTAGTCGTCGATGCGCATGCACGAGTATTTGAGTATGGTCTTCCCTCCATGCTAGCTTCTTGCTAGTGACTTTTGGATTGGATTGGTTTATTTAACGTTGAATAACAAACAGGCAGTGTTGCCTTATTACATGAGATCGACTAAAGTTACAGGCACACAAATGTAAGGAAAAGATTAAAAGAAAAAAGAAAAATAGAGTAGGCTTTGAGTTTGGAAAAAATTGATGCCAGGAAACCTGCCCTCCCCTCTCCCCTGACACCTGGCATCCCCTTCCCCTGGCATCCCCTCCCCTGGCACCCCTCCCCCTGGCATCCCCTCCCCAGGCATCCCTCCCCCTGGCATCCCCTCCCCTGGCATCCCCTCCCCTGGCATCCCCCCCCCCCCCAAAAGGCTTCACAGCAGTCATGTATGCGTGTGATACCGATAGAGAATTGCGCCCGTTTGTCTGGCACCCCTCCCATGGCACCCCTCCCCTGGCATCCCTCCCCCTGGCATCCCCTCCCCTGGCACCCCTCCCCCTGGCATCCCTCCCCCTGGCATCCCCTCCCCTGGCATCCCCCCCCCCCCCCCCCCAAAAGGCTTCACAGCAGTCATGTATGCGTGTGATACCGATAGAGAATTGCGCCCGTTTGTCTTACTTGTCTTACTTGTCACTGTCCAGCACCGTGCTGCAGCCGTCGATACTCTGCTGACCGACCTTTCCGCCATGATGACATCATCTCGCTTCAGCGACGCCATCCTAGTGGCCAGCGATGGCAGTCAGCTACCCGTACACAAGGTTATCCTTGCCGCTAGGTCACCCGTCTTCTCACAGGTAATCATTGTTACTGATTGTCGGATTTCCAACCCATTTTAATCCTCGTGGGCCAACGCGGTTAACGTGACCTCTCTATCCCCAGGCCAGGGGAAAGGGGGATTAGGGCCGATTCCCACTACGGTACCGTGAGTGCCGTGCCGACGATTTGGGTAGGTCACGTGTACCCCACGGTACGAGCTTGAAGCTGAGAGTGATTTACACCTGCGCACAGTCATTCCGTGCATTCCGTCGGCAGGCCGGATCACCATTTTTTTTTAATCAATTTCTGACTTTGGTCCTGAGGGAAAATAGCGGGGGGCGATTGGAGAAACTGGATTGGAGAAAGCTCAAGAATCAACCAATCGAAAAGCCAAAAGCCAAGAAAAAACTTCGTACCACAAATACAAAAGAAAGAAAAAACTTCCTTTCAGGGAGTAGTAAAATACCTACTACTCACTGCATTCGACCTTGCGGAATACCACGGCATGCCATTTCCACCCCCCAGAGGCCCTCGGCACCGGAATGTCCACGGCGCGGTACGGCAGGAGCCACGGAATGAACTCGCGCCAAAACTGCCCCTCACGTGAGCAAATCACCATGGGTACTCACGGCACGGCACTAACGGTACCGTAGTGGGAATCGGCCCTAAGGAGGGAGGGGGAGGGTACCCGCTTTTGCTGATGTGGTAAACGAACAGGATTAGATGATATCAACATTTGTTGTCACTCTCACACCTGTCTTGAAGGATGTGAAAATCGCTTTGTCAATAGTTATCCTGGCAATTGGATACAGAATTTGAATGTGTCTTTCGTAACTGCCATGTTTGGTGACTGTAACCCTCCATTGTTACACCATACATGTAGGGTCAACTTTGCTCTGCTACAATAATGCACAGAGAAACTTCAGAACATGTATAATGTAGTACCTGTCAGATCTATAGCACATCGTCAACCTGTGGCCTACTCACATGCCTCTCTCTCTCTCTCTCTCTCTCTCTCTCTCTCTCTCTCTCTCTCTCTCTCTCTCTCTCTCTCTTTCTCTCTCTCCCTCTCTCGCTCTCTCTCTCTCTCTCTCTCTCTCTCTCTCTCTCTCTCTCTCCGCGTTCTCTTCTTGGTTTCAGATGCTGGAGGAGAACAACGAGTCTGTTCTCTTTGATGAGTCGACGCTCAACGCGTCCGGCTGGTCCGGCTTGGCCCATCAGCCGGTTGTGTTACGCTTTGATGAGCAGCCGCGTTCAGTACTTGTATCACTGGTAGCTTACCTCTACAGTGGAACACTACCCAGTGAACATGATGCTGAGGTCATATCAGGACTGTACTCTTTGGCAGTCAGGTATGTTTCTCTTGAATACAGGGGCAGACATAAATGCAAAGGAGCACCCCCCACACCACTCGACTTAAACTTCATTGTAGCATTACAATTTGCGCAAGTTTAGTATACTATTCTGTCCACAGAAATAGCTGAAATTTCATTGTACTTGGATAGGTTATCAATAAGAGTTCTTTTTTCCGCACGGTCAACACAGCGTCTTCTTGGAATCTTTCTTGGCAAGCCCTGTACTGTCATACAGGCTTTGGACATTATGATATTCTTGTTGACAGTCTGTGTAACTGTTGTGTGTGCATGTGCTTTGTATGTGTGCATGCGTGTGTTTATGTTGCGTATGTGTTTCGTTTCTGCCACCGCCGCTGCTGTCCAATCCACAGGTTAAAACTGAGTGTTCTTCAGTCGTATTGTGCTCCATTCTTACCAACATCCCATTCGCTTGATAAGGAGAAACCACCTGAACCAGACACAGTGGCTGCACAAACTGAACATGCCACCGCTGATGGCAACTGTTCATCCGAGTCTGCAAGTGAGGAGGCCCCAAGAGATTCGGAGCCGATCCTCGCCGAGCTGTCTATTAAAGTTGTAGATTCTACACTATGCACAGCAGTAAACAACTTCTATGCTAGCAATGTCGTCCAAGCTGATGGCAATGCAACTAGTGCAGCAAACAGTCATCTGATTACTGACAGAGATGGGTCACATTTTGAGAATTCTGGACTGTGTCTTGCAGATTTCAGACCTGCTAAATCCACATCCTCCGTGTCCACCGACGTTACGTCCACAGCAGTCTTATCAAGAGCAGAAAGCACTGCACTGTCTCCAGACGTATCGAGCGAAGAGACCAATGATGAGAAGTGCGTGGAGTATAGCCCACAGCAAGTAGGCGTAGGTGTTCGTATGGACACCAGTGCTGCTGCCGCTCCTGGTCACTTGCCCGAAGAGCATCACGGTATGAATCACAGTGATGCTCAGCAAGATGATGGCGACTGTGACTTGGCCGCTGTGGCGGAGCAAAGCCCAGTGATGAGCGCCGGTTCACCAGCTCTGTTTGATGTGGATAGCGGTGATGATGATGAACAGCACTCTGCCATCATTGCACTGGAGACTGCTAGCAACGCATGTACTGTTCAGCAGGCCAAGGGCAATACTAATAAGACACTCTCAGAGCACAACAGCATTGCCTGTAGTATTGTTAGAGAAGGTGCTGCTTGCTACCGGGGCACTGATGAGAATGATGCGGATCAAGATGACAACAACGTCCTTGCCACTTGCCAAGATCACCAAGAGACTACCACCGTTGTGCCATCTTGCTTGTCGGTACATTCTAGTAATCATGATGATTCCCATGCCTCTACTCCACCTAGCGTCCATGGTGTACCGGGTGGTGAGTCTATTTTGTGCAACAATGATATCCAACCATCGGCTGCTGACAAGTCTGCTAATACTGACACGTTTGAAAGGCATTCGACCAGTGACACTGAGACCTCTCCGCGCTACAACTGGTCAACGATGATGTCGGTTCCAGAGTTTGATACGCCAGTCCTGGTGCCCGATACTCCAGACAAGCACCCACGCTGTCACACGCCAGCGATGACTACCGATGGTGCTGGTGGTGCTGGTGGGAATAGCATTGTATCCTGTAGTACCCGTCTTTTCCAATCGCACTCCTCCGACCAACTCGATAAATCCGATTGTGCTGGCAGCCCTCACCGGGGCAGCTCGCTTGGCATGAAGCGTGGCTCGCTTACTGGAGCTTCACTGTCTCTTTCGTCTGTAAGAATCATCCCAGACTCGCCTCCTAATGATAGTTTACTTGATGGAAATCAGATGGCATCTCCAATGTCCAATGAGTGTTCACTGCCAGGTGACCCACGTGGCTTTTCGTCATCACCTCCCACAGAGAATACTAGTAACGATCAGTCCAGTAGCCAGGTTCATCCAGAAGCCGATGCCATCAGCATTGCTTCGTCCGCCAGAGACTCTGTGTGCTCGCCTGGCTCTGCTGCTCCGGTGCGGATGTCCGACGTTGACAATTCGGATTTCTATTTAAACGATGCTGGCCATAACTGTGATTTTGACTCAATGTCCCCAGTGCTGGTTCACAGGGCATCCACACCGGACATGTCCACAGTCCATGAAGTGCCTTTGCTTACTTCAGCTGCTCAGGATGACAGCGATCCGGCTCTCGCTCCTAGTCCAGAATGCCGGTCTGGTTTTGCGGACAATGTCGACGATAGCGGTGATCTATCCGGTGTTCTTGCTGTCCGTGTCGGTGTAGATCATGACAGCTCATCCGACTTGGCGTCATTGAGCAGTGTCTGTGCGTCAAGGCCTGCACGGAAATCTCTTCGCCGTGCCAGGGGTAGTAGTAGTATTGATAATGCTGATGCTGATGCTAATACTGATGGTGGGGGCAGTGGCTATGGTGGTTTCTCTCCTGGCTGGGATGCATGTCATGACTTTGATGACATTGCCGTCGATACTCATCTGGATGCCACTCAGACTGATTGTGTGTATGGAGACCACTGTGATGCTTCACCCATGCACACAAGCACTGTATCTGCTGGAGAGTCCACTATGCACGATAGCTTACTGCTGGCAGCTGTGAACATGGATGATGATGACGGTGACGATGATGGTGCGAACACATTGACGCCGCAGGCATGCCAGCAGCACGACTCCAGCACTGCCACGTCTGCCGGTCCACCTACTACTCGTGCGCCGTCTGCAACGCATGGAGCTACTGTAACTCCGGCACTGCCAGTACGTGCTCGTTCACACCTCACAGCAGCAGCAACAGCAGCAGCAGGTAGTTCTGGAGGTTCGTCAGCCTCTAGCGGCGGCGGTCCAATCACGCCAATGCCTAACTATGATAACATGGCTACACCGGAGGTTCGCGTAAGTCATGTTCATACGTCAGATTCTATTTGTACATGCTGGTGAGTTATTATGCTTTGGACTTTTCTTTCCCGTGCATGCAACGTATTGTTGATCTTGAAGCCTGTTGTGCCTCACGTCTCGGGTTGTTCCACCCGTTTCCTGTTGTATACGAGTGCCTGCAATTATTGGTGTGTCTTCTGTGGTTCTCTCTCTCCAGGCCCGTGCTGATCAGTTTGGAATTCGCAAGCTGCCCAAGAAGCGTGCCATTGCCTTGCTGAAGCACATCTATGACTATACACATCAGCCGGACACAGGTATGTTTGCTGATTGTACATGCATAACGGCTGCTTCAAAACTATAAGAACCCCCTTACTGTAAGTCTACGAATTTTCGGCCCATTCAAATTTCGGCCTCCCAGGGCTAAAACCCATTTCGGCCACATCAAATTTTCGGTCTGTACTGCTGCCGCCTGTGTACACTGTCACACTGAACCTTGCGAAACAAACTGTCGGCCGCAACACATTTTCGGCCAAACATGACCAGGCCGAAAATAGTCGAAAATAAATATGCGCCGAATATTTGTTGACTTTACAGTAATCCTGTCACACTATTCCACACAAAATTGCAGTTTTAATGCTTTATTTCGCCACCATTTGCGTCAATGACAGCCTGAATCCTCTTCCCAAAGCTCTGGGCCAGGTTTTGGAGGGTTTCCAGAGGGATTCTCTCTCACTCCTTCCTCACACGGCGCTTCAGCTCAGCCATAGTTCGCGCGGGCGGGTCGGCAGAGACCTGATCTTTCAGAATGGCCCAGCCTTGAAGCACTCGCACTATCACTCCATCAGGCCAACGCCATGTCTTTGTACAGCCTCCCAATCATCTTCTGACACGTCTCCATGCACGTATGCTAGGCCAAAGTACTTGGTCTTAGAAACTGAGCATTTCAGTGCGGAAACCTCTTTGTCTTTACACCTTTCTGCACTGGAGAAGGCTGAGCAGCCAGGATGAATTCTTCTGACATGAACGGCTTTGCATTTGGTTCGGCTGGCATTGCGTAGTTGTGCATGTTTGCGGAGTGGACACTGGTAGTGGGAGATAACATTTGTCCAAGAGTACATAACCCCCCAGAGTGTGCAACTCCCACATACCCTGCTGTCCCGACAGAATTTCAAGTTGACGTCATTATTTATGACGCAATGCTCCTTGCACCAGTGATTTACAACATGTGTACGGGTGTCAACGCATCACACGTTTTTCTTTGCAATAATTTGTACAGGATCGATCGGCTTCGGTCAACCACAGGTTCCGGATTCGTCTGATAATCCGTGTACAGTCCGCATTGCATCATCAAAATGACGCCAACTTGAAATTCTGTCGGGACAGCACCCATAGTGGAGTTGCACACTCTGGGGGGGGGGGGGGGGGTATGTACTCTTGATTTGTCCGGAGGCTTGGTCCATATCTGTCAGTCTTTCGTTCGTTGTATGGTGATATTTTCAAGCAGCCCGGCTAGCTCAGTCGGTAGAGCATGAGACTCTTAATCTCAGGGTCGTGGGTTCGAGCCCCACGTTGGGCGCTTATTTTTTTTCTTTTCCTTTTTACCCCGCTTCACTTTTGTATGACATTGTACTGCTCTTGTTTGCCTGACTCCATACGTCATGCACATGTACATGCAGTGTGCATTGGCTGTTTCAAGGACCATAATTATTTTGCTGTACGATAGAATGCTGATTATCGGAGCGTCAACAATTCGAAAGATCGACTATCCGAAATGTCTGTTTGAGCTGAAGGGAGAAAATATGTTTTTTTTGCTGATTTTCACAGCGTGCACGGGGTATAAATGTAATTGCAGAAGGTTATCGGTAATTTTGAAAACCTGATGTGAGGCTTATTCCTATGGTGATGCCGAACAGCACGAGAAACAACGGGAGCGTGAGGGAATGTACGTGTTAGGTGGGTGTTTCCCCGCTCCCTTATCCGATCATACTCCCCATCCGAAACCCCTGGGGACGCCCCTCCCCCCCCCCCCTCCCCCCCCCCCCTCCCCCCCCATACCCAGGGGAGTGTGGTTAATTGTCACTCTACTGCAGTGAGTGTTGCCTGTAAGTTACACCCGCCTCCTTGCTGTATGAGGATGGAGATGGTGTCGAGTAAAGCCAGTAGAACAGAAATTGGTGCTAATATGGAGGTTTAGCAAGACGTATTTCACGTTTGTGTTTGCACTCCAATGAAAGTCCAACTCAGTGATGGAATTTGCGTTATGATGAGGATTAGCGAACAGAACGCGTACTTGCAGGACGTTGACAGGTCGCACATGTGTACACACAGTACAACGTAGTAAATGTATGACTGTCCTGACACGAATCTGTGATTCGGGTTTCGACTGCTTTTCCGAACGAAAATGCAAATGTTTGCAATCCAGTTCGCGAACCGAAAAATGTTCGCAAACTCGAACGCAAAATCAATGATGCTAAACCTCCGTACTCCTGCTGAGATTGGGCATCGGGATATGAGTGAGTTACTCCATGTCGTGCCTCTTTTTGTTCTCAACGTTTGTTGCGGTGGCCATCCACTTGGGGCACCATGCATGAATTGAGAAAAAAAACGGCACCACGATCTTCAGTTTTTCTACAGTCTGCATAGCCGGAATATCATTAGTGCCTCTTGAGTTACATATTGCGCGGTATTCGTACTCTTACGCATGTCTTGATAGTACACGTACTATTAGTATTACTGTTCAACCACACAGTCATTGCCATTGGCTGCTTGCTACATTGCTGCATTGGTTGCTGTGTTGCCCTGCTTCTCCACAGCCAAGTCTCGTTCTGCGGCTCGCAGCAATGCTGAGCAACGGGAGGCAGATGATGATGATGATGATGTATCTGATGACAATGCGGCTAACAATGGTGAAGAGGATTCTGATGACGCTGACCAGGATGATGATGTCCTGACCAGTGTCGGCAACGAGTCGCAGAGGTGAGTGCCTTACTAGTATTTGTTATTTCATTATGGCGTTGGTTTCGTCCATCACGTTGGTTGTTACCAGGGAGTAGTAAAATACCAGTATTTTACTACCAGTATTTTACTACCGTAAAATCCCGCCAGAGCGCCCCGTCTCTCCCATCCGCCCCTCCCTGACTTCTCGTCAGGGACGTGATTGATTGTATCCTCGTACGACTCTGTCACAGTCTGTGATGCCGTACTGTACTGCAGACGCGTGCTCAACCCCGTTGGAAATGTACACAACAGTGCCCACCCTCTTGACCAGGGATCGCACAAACCCTGAGTTTTAATGGGTCTGTACGACTCCTGGCTCTTGACCTTTGGTCGGTGTACGAGATGCACGAACAGTTTTCGTAGGGTGAGTACTTTTTCATGTAGTACTGAATACGGCAAGTAGGACTCGCCCATCCGCCCCTCCCCACCTGAAGCATCGAGGAGGTAGGGGCGCTCTGGCGGGATTTTACGGTACTCTCTGATTGCTACCACTATGTCTGCTTCTATGGTAACAAAGGGAGTTTTTTGAAGGGATCTATCATGCTACAGTGCATGGCACCAATAGTACAAGAAAACCAGAGCGTGTCCAGCTTCTGCCTGGGTGCCTGTCGCAGTCAAATTCCTGCATTATATCCTAGTCGATGCAGATACGGGGATGGGAAGTGGCATAGTGTGTAGATCTACGACTGAGCTGCATGCACCTGTGCAGCAGGAGACCTGCTTGAATCTGTTATCCTGCGTGTACGCTCTGCAGCACGGAAATGTTGGTTACATCCAGGAATTTTGCAGAGCAATCCGTCCGAGCTGATCACTCTGTTGTTCATGTGTTCTTTCATAGCACATGCATGTACACGTGTATTCACACTCATCTGGCGTATTGCATGGACTGCATAAAATGATACTTCAGTACTTGTGATCCATCTATCTAGTATTACAACTTCTTTCGCTCGCGTATGTGCTTGAAGTACAGTAGGCCCTGCAGCAACGGGACAGCCAGGTCTTCTGCGCTGTTACTCGCAGTTTCATGCTAAAACACTCCACAGACAGCAGTACTCTTGATGTCTGCCTTGATGTGCCTGTGTTACTGTTACTGATCGGGTATATAACCGATCTACTGTGTGTCTGCATGCATGCGTTCGTGTGCAGGTCAGGAGATGAATCTGGTGCGGAACAAGATGTGGACATGGCAAAACAGTTTGCTGGAAGTATGTTAGAGCTGGATGTGGACGGGGACGATGACACGGCGGGCTTTACGGCCACACAGGTACTTCAATTCTCTGTGCATATGGGTGTCTGTGTGTTTGTGTGCGTGTGCGTACATGCGCGTGCGCGTGCGTGTGTGTCTGTATTTGTGTGTGCTACGTTACTGCTAACTGCTAAGCACAACACAACACAACTGCTAAGTACATTGTATATGGTTGTGTGTGTGTGTGTGTGTGTGTGTGTGTGTGTTTGTGTTTTTACGCCTGAGCATGTGTGTGTGTGTGTGTGTGTGTCTGTCTGTCTGTCTGCATAGCAAGTGTGTTTGTACTGTCCTGGTCTGTATGTATGCTAAATAATAGTCCTTTATGGGTGTGCACTTGTTTGTGATAGCGCTTACACACATTCTAGTGCATTGTGGTGACCTTGGGCCAAGTGTTCCTCTCTTTTCCCTACTTCAATCACTATCGTATACGCTGTCCATGCCATGCAACTGAAGCACATGGGACAATGTAGTCCTGTCCACAGATACATTGAGAAGAAAGGCAACTTGCAACAACAGTATGTGTACATGTAGCTGATAACGATAGTCACTTACACAGCAGCTATATAGACTAACCGATGCTCGTGCTCCATACAATGTCCGTACTAAGCAAGAGTATGTCTTATCAGAGTACGTACTAAGTGAGTTCTACTGTACTTCAACCACTGTACTTCAAGCTACATTACTTTGTATTCGAAAGGTTAAACATTTCGTGTTTTAACGTTACCCAATTAAATGCTTTCCCTTGTCTGTGGCTACTATCTCCCCCCTCTCTCTCTCTCTCTCCCGTTGTCCCATTGTGCCCTTCTTCTCAGATGGTATCTAATGATGAGCGTATGTTCAAGGAGCTCTACCAGTTTCTGCGTACAAATAAGCAGTTTCTCGAGCGTATCTTGCTCTACCAAGTGAGTACGGCCGTAGCAAGCTACATGACATAATTGAGTTGTGCATGTGGTGTTATGCTTTGCAGGCTTGATGTCTGTGTTGCCACGCATGCACATTGTGTTGTGGGAGATGGTATTGCCACCAGCCTGCAGCACTCTTTCGTTATAATGCTGCGGAACGTGACAACATTTCGAGCTACACTGGATACGTAGCCTGTTTTGCCCACCATGTGCAATAGGCTATGCACGCGCACACACACACACACACACATACATGCACACATACACACACACACACGCACACACACACACACACATGATTGTAACGTTATGCAATGTTCTGGTAGTTCCAGGTTGCAGCATCAGCGGCCACTGCCAAATTTCATCATGGAACTTAACTTGTTTGGTGCATGTGTGTTCTTGCTCATGTCTATTCTTGCCTGCACGGCATGTGTGTTCTTAGCCACTGGACTTTGCTGCACTGAATGCTTCTCTTCGCCAAGCCGCTATCCGCTGTTCACAGCGTACTCTGGTGAAATTCTTGGATTCCCAGGCAAGTGTAGATGTATATTGAACTAGATTCGTTTTCTTTCCCTGTGGTGCAGAATAGTAGAATGGTGTGAAACCTTCATTGCAGCTGATGCATCGGAGGAAATGATGCAGAAACCGGGTACAGTCAGACCTCGTTCATCCGGTCCTCGTTTATCCGGATCCCTCGCCATCCGGAAGAAAATCGCTGGTTACCGATGTGCAGCATATGTTATGCATACAACATAACCGGACCTCGCTATCCGCATACCGGTGCATGATTTTGTGTTCAAACTGGTTAAAATGTGTACAAAAAGCTTCGCCGTATCCGGTTGCATGTGGCTGGCTAGCGCTTGCAGAAGCTAGTATCAGGGAGTTGTACAAGCAAATGAGGTCCTTGACCTGCTGCTTGGTGTATGCGGACAGCACTCAGTTGCATGCACTTGTCATTTTTCTCGCTTGTTTTACATACTGGGCACGCTAGTTGTACTGCATAGGACCTGTCTACATGTACATGTACATGTATGTATGATGTCACTGCTTTTGACATGCCACACGCATATACAGTATGTGTGTTCAGTTATCCGGTTACCTCGCCTATCCGGATGTTTTTGTGGAAAACAGATGTGTGCGGTTAAGCGAGGTCTGACTGTACCGTATTTTCCGGGGTATAAGCCGCACCGGGGTATAAGCCGCACCCCCCTTTTTGAGGCAAAATATTGACTAAAAGTTGGTATTCGGAGTATAAGCCGCACCCACAAACCAAGATTTTTCACACTCATTGACAAATGGCCTTTCTACAAATTTATTATGGTTATGGAGCTAAATACCATGTAACTGTTAGATCAGATTATGAAGTGTTAGTGCACCACAGGTTGCTGCAGAGATGTTGGTGTATTGCTGTGTTGACTACAGATCACTCCATGTCATCTGCATCTTCAGTCTCGCTGCCACTGATGCACTAAAACTAGTAAAAGTGCCGGGATAGCAACACAGGCGCGAAGCTGAGTCGAATGACATGTCACATGACGTCAGCATGCATACTGATGTATGCTAAGCATTCATTCGCGCAAGCATATTCGGTGTATAAGCCGCAGGGGCGATTTTGGTCCGATTTTTAGCGGAAAAAAGTGCGGCTTATACCCCGGAAAATACGGTACCTTGTATCGGAGAAGGAGAGGGAGAGAGACACCATGACATCTGCCGCCTGTCACGTATTGGATTTATCATGATGTTACTAGTACAGCTGTAGTTGGTTACCAGTCTAACCTACCACCATCAGGGGCGTCACAGGGCAGTGGGGAGGGGTACGCCCAAGGGGTGGTGCGAGGGGCGTCCCCCGGGGAAAAAAAACAATTAGGATTTTCGGCCAACAGGGCACGTTTTAGCGCTCCTTTACTGCCTTTTTGGATGAATTGTCGTACCATCCTGGATGAAAAGTGGTACTATCATGGTCGTACTGGTCGTACCCTGTGTGTGTGACGTCCCTAACCACTGTTCTTCCATTTTTCATTTGTGTTTGTGTGTTTGCAGTGCATCGTGTTTCGCTAGCCGACAGTCGCCACTGTCTTGTCGTGAAGTGTGTAGCCACCAGCCATATCGGATGTACTGGACATCAGTCAGCCATGACTCGTTCCCTGATTGCCTGATCACTGTCAAGAACATGCTCTACCATCATATGGTTTCCACTATGTGCACCACATGATATCACCATGAAACTTGCAGAACTTGAAAAAAACTTGAAATCAAGATACTTATTATGAAAGGTTCATGGCAGACCATGCCAAAAGAACACTCACAGATTTTCGTGACAGCTGATATTATAATAATTATAACTACGTCAAAAGTATTAAATTGATGATGAAGATACATTGTATATTCATTGGTTTGAGGGAAAGATAGAGGAAAGATGTACATTGTATATTTCATGAAATTCAATTACGGTGGAAGGCTGCAGTGCAAAAGATTGTGCAGAATGAAATATTCCAAATTCCAACGAAATACCGTACCAGGCAAGCATACTAGCAACAGGTCTTCTTCTTGTTTTTTTATATTTAATAGCTGGCTAATTTTGAAATTGCTTTGATTCAGTTTCATTTGTGACATATTCGCTGGTTGAATACGAAAGTGACGAAATGAATACTGATGTCAACTTGTCTTGTTATGGGATCATAGCGGTAACGTCTGCAGATGTAATTCGAAGTAATAAAATATCAACCGGGGCTAGAGACAGCACTCTGACTGTGATCTTCATTTAAAGTGACTTTGTGTATGATGAAAGAGTACATGTCATGTACCCTGAAGGAAGGGGGGGGGGGGGGGACTCTACTCGGCGCAGCAGAGCACATTTTAAGCTGAGCTTTCAGCACCAAGCTAAAAGAGGTCCAGCCGAGAGAAGACGAGAGGAGCCAACAGTTTTGACATCGCAGGTGACTGACTGCTTTCCTCTTCTCTGCCTGCGCTGGTTACTCTTTGCTGGGCGCTGCCGGAGAGAGCAGACTGGTCAAGCAAGATAAACATAAAGCCATTGTCCATGCGCGAAGCCATCTCGGCTCTCACCAGCCCAAGACTAGATAGGGCCGCAGAAAACACTGCGTCATCGAATAGTGTTTTCGGCATAGATATCACCACCTCTGCCGTGTGTTGCTGGGTGGCCTGTAAGTCTGTGCTGGTGCAGGAGAGAAAGCAGTTTCTCAAGCATTCAGTAGCCGCCACTGTTGCCAAGCCGCTTGCCGCATCACCTGGCACTGGACCATCGCGAGACGCCGCATGTGATCGTGCATAACACAACTCTGCCAAATCAATGCGACGTGGCGAATCACACACAGGAGCAGTTGTTGTTTTGATGAGGCAGTACGCCAATGCCTGTTGCCTGAATAGTGAATCGCACAGCATGAAATACACACCACGCACAGTCTCAGGAGGGAAATCAAAGAAAACGCCAATCATTCGAAATACAACTAGCTCACCTGTCTGATGACATAGCCAGGAATCCACAAACTCCATCAGTCAGCCTGCGTAGGAAACATGACCAGACACACACTCAGACTCAGACATGCCCATCGCGGAAGCGATGATAGCGAACAGCTATGTTAGACATAGCAACTTGTGCTGGGATTACACCGTTCAACAGCTTGCAAGGCTGATGAATTGACCACCACTAATTTTAGCCTGGTATCCACCACACAGCTGATTGAAGTGGCTTTTTCTGGCCAGTGAATCCCTATTTTTCATTTTTTTTCTTTTTTTCCATTTTTGCAGACACACACACACACACACACACACACACACACACACACACACACACACACACACACACACACACACACACACTTGCACATATGTACAAGGAATACAGTCCACACATACTTGACAGCTATAGCTACAATGTGGGCCCAATGTACTGCTGCACTGGTGCACTACAACAGCACAAGTACTTCAGGACGGAATTTCCCTGCAATGTAGTATCAGCATGGCGTGTGTGCAAAACTCTAAACACATGTTCACACAGTGCAACGGCTGTGTCGGCCAGAGGAAAGGGGACGGGGAGTTCAAATCGGGGAGTAGTACTTTACTACTGTACGCCCCGGTTCAAATGTAATCATCAAGCGAGCATGACAGGACTCACCCGATCCAGTTTTGCCAGTATGCCAGGTCATGCAGTGTGCTTGCTCTCCGCACTACTGGACCATTGCAGCAAGACATTCTGCACTCATAGAGGCTTGACATGGCACGCACATGATCCAAATTCTTCCAGTCGACTTCATGGACAACAAGCAGTGGTGATGGCTGCGTTTGTGCCTGATCAAGAACAATAGCAACCAAACAACTAAGAATACTAAATGGGATGTGTGTCATTGTGACCAATGTAATCACACTATAACTGAGTCAGCGAACATTAAAAAGAAAATCAATCCACGCCAACTGGCCGCTACTGTATATGCAAATATTGACACCAGATGAACTAGTAATTGATCTGCTTCAGTGCAAATCACAGTGCTACAGCTCAACAAGGCATAGGCAGATGTAAGACAGCAACACTGTCGATTCTTACGAGTTGTCTTGAATCTACTGTAGCACTCAGGTCAGCATACTCAACAGGCACAGATTGCCAACCGCGACGGCCATAGAATTCCTGTAGATGCTTGCGGCTGGCAGCAGACACCACAAAAGCAATGCGAAACGAGGACGCAAGTTACCGGGCAGTGGCGCTGAGCAAAGGACTCATCATACCAGGAAAAAGCAGCCAATTTGGACCACTGCTGTTAACGCAAGAAAACCAGCCAAAGTGCCTCAGCACGGCAGAAGCAGTGTCTGGCGCAGAGACAATATGTAAGCATCTACAACAGCAAAGGTGCCTATCTCTCTGTGTAGTGTCCACAGCACAGTACGAGATCTATTACAGGCACAATAAGTATATCTATTTCCGAACATACCCACACCACACCTCGACTATGTAAACAAGTACAACAAGTACATGTACACGTACGGTACCGGGGGAAAGGGAGAGTGCAAGCCAGCCTGCAAGCTGACGGTATCGCCCTGACTATGCACAAGACACAGCTTTGAGCAGCTCACCTGGAGTGAAGGCAGCCAATGGCATATTGCTTGTTATCTTGAAGGACCGATACGACATGGGACAGGAGCTTGCTAGCCAATCCCTGACCTCTATGCACAAAAGCATAAGCAAGAGCAAGACAGCAGGACAGGGAACATACTAGTACACGCAGCAACGGTGATAGCATCGATGCAACTTGACAAGCATACACTACGTTACAGGGCCAGAGCTGGTTCATCTGTCTTGGTGCGGCTTTGCACATCACTCGTATCAATCAAAACTCCGTGTGAGGCAGGGTAAGCCTCCTCAATCGATGACAATGCACGGTACTCCTTCTCTTTTTGACAATTTAGAGGAGTTGAGTTGATTCTACTTCCTTTTGTGTACCTCGTGAGGAGTTGAGAGATACATGTAGTTTTTGTCTTCAGAATAGCTCATACCACATGTTCCACAGTGGCCACACCCTGCCCAAAGCCCTGCACAAGCACAAGCACACACTCCAGGGCAGCCATACCATGTATCACGGGCCCTGCGCCACAGCCAGCGAACACAACACAACATAACATGACATACAGCACAGTACCTTGCATCCGGTCTTGTGGACACTTCACCCACACCAAACATTGTTACTTCATCTCCATCGACGTAAATCCGTCTACTGAACAGGCGCAGTGTGCTGCCAGCGAACACAGTGCAAAAAGACACAAAATTACATAATAGTTTCAAAAGTCTAATGCAGCTAATAACAATAATAAAATAATAATACAGCTTTCGTACAAAAGCCACGAAAGATGCACTCAAGCCAAGTCCGCTTCTGTCTCCACACTAGCAGCAGCAATAAAAGCAAATAACAATGAATCAACAACATGACAACAAACAAAATTAACAACAAAATTATAGCTCTAAGACCTATGTGCAATGTGAAATCTCCATTCCGGTTTGTCGGCTGCTAAAGATCGTGCTGATCCAAGATCAGCAATCCTCTTCAGTGGAATGTTGTGGCTGGCCAAGTCGTTTCTGAGAGAGGTGACAAGATAAGTAGCTAGACGTCCCCTTCGGCCCTTCGAATCAGAGGAGATGTGGCACGACATCGCGAGACAGGGAGGACATTTCTCATTCATCCTCATCACGTGACCCATAAGTTGCATGCAGTCCTCTGCAACACGTTCCGAGAGTGGCTGAGTGTTACATCTTGAAAATAGCTCTTTGTTGCTGATAATGTGCAGTGCAGCTGCACATCATCATCAATAAAGAAATCTGCATAACGCTGCGCTGAGCATGGTGTTTGCCCATACAGTGGGCGTATAGGGTTTGCACATACAGTTCGGAGGGATTGCAACCAGGCTACATTAGCAAGTACGTGTTGCGTGCAAGACAGCCCCAAGAATATGAGCTTCTTTCCCTTACTGATGATGATGAGTGAAGTGCTATTTCAACATGTGCTATGCCGTCATTTGCCATTGTACATGCATTTTCCATGCTTTGCCATCATATCCTCCAACAACCAGTGCCAGCTACAGTTTGCATCAGCTTGACTCACCTCAAAATGCTGCCATCCTTCTCAACAACCCACACTTGTGAAGGATCAAACTCAGGATCATTCTTGACATGAGCTTCAAAATAGTGTCGTGGCGTACCCTGCAAAAGATTGACACCCGCACAAGCACATGCGCATGCACACATAGGCATTGCAGTCGCAGCTATTCTTCTCTTTTCTCTCTACGGACCCGGTTCAACCTCTGATGTGTGCTGCAGCCCGCATATGGCTGGCTGGCGAGTTCAGATTAGTTACGGCGTGCGCATGTTGCGTACAACCGCAGCGTGCATGTAAGTGTCGCTTGACATGCATCAACGAATAGAGTGAGATCTGTGGTCTCTCTGAAGGCCGCTGGAGCGCGTGTGAAGTGACGGCTTGCGCAACGTGTGTATTGTTAACCTACATTACCGCAAGCTCTAATGTGCTAATAAATAGAACACTCACTACTACTACTACAGTCAGACCTCGCTTATCCGGTCCTCTTTTATCCGGATCCCTCGCCATCCGGAAGAAAATCGTTGGTTACCGATTTACAGCATATGCCATGAATACAATACAATATGTGTGTTCGATTATCCGGTTCCTTCGCCTATCCGGATATTTTTGTGGAAAACGGATGTGTGCGGTTATGCGAGGTCTGACTGTACTACTATTCCAGCACATGTTCAGTATTCGAGCGACTGGTGCTACAGTTGGGGCCAAAGAAACGTCGCGACTCGAGTATGAAGGTGGACCGTGTGGTAGCAGGTGGCAGGTAATCAGCGCGCCAACAAGTCACATTCGCCGTGTATCAGCATTTGAATCATGGGAACTGTTTGATTCATACCATAATTAATCTTATACCTCGCAACTGTGGCACTAACGACTATCTGCCTCTGGCACCATTCTAGATACTTACAGTTGGGACTCTAGCTTCTCCCCTTTTATATTCTATCTCCTTATATTCTCTATCCAACCTTTTATAATACGACTACTGAGTATATTACGTAATGTATAACTATTCTTCTGATCGGATTGCTCACGGTGTATATACCGTATTTTCCGGAGAATAAGCCACACTGGAGTATAAGCCGCACCCCCCCCCCCCCATTTTGCCACGAAATACAGCCATCTTTCCTATTTATCACCGTTAATTTGATCATCAGAATAAGCCGCACCCCCCCCCCCCCCTCCCCCCCTTTCGGGGTGAATTTTGAGTGTTCAAAGTGCTGCTTATACTCCGGAAAATACGGTGCCTTGGTTTTGTTAGCATTCGTCCTTGCTCCAGCACTGGCCGTTCGTCTCGTTCTCATTTTTATCCATTTCTCGCTCTGACTTTACAAGGTACGTCCTTGGAAATGGAACTCTTGCCTTGGTGGGCTGTTGAATAAGGGTGTACATTGTTATATTGTGCACTTGTGAATCTGGGTCTCGCTCACACTTCGTGGCGGTCCTATTAGTGTTGCTTGCAACACCGGCTTTTGGACTTACCCTCGAGGTCGGGTCATGACAGAAATATGACCTCAACCCCCGCCCCCTAGTATAAGGGATTGGTGTGCCTGGTGCTACGCTGCTACAAATCCAAAAAAAGGTGCTTGTCCTTATACGCTTAGTCCCCTATGCATGCTGCGGGGTCACAATTCTTTGGCCGTAACTAGAGTCTGCTACACAGTAAGAACTCGGGAGTAAAACAGATTCTGCTGCGACTCCGAGTTATCACACATATACACGACTATCAGGCGCCTACAAACATGAAACTCAGGCCTCGTTTACACGATCGAAAAACTTTTTTATCAAAAACGTTTTCAAAAGAATACACTTCTACAGATTTTGATAAGAGCGTGCACACGACAACGCTGAAAAACGTTTCAAACGAAAAACGGCCTTCAAAGGGTTTTTCAATCGTATTCGTTCCGTTTCGTTCTCGTGTAAACGGCAAAAACGTTTTTACTACTACGAGCCTTGTACTCAAAACATGCCGCCACCAGCCTGCGCCAGGCCAACTTATTGCACGTGACCATTGGGCGCCGAAAACGCGTTGCAGCAGTGTACGGTACACGCTTATCGGTTTCGTGTATTAAAACAGCAAAAAACGTTTCGAAAACGATTGAAAAACGTTTTTCATTCATTGTCGTGTAAACGAGGCCTCAGTTGCAACAGAAATTTAATCTCCCTCCTGCATGCAAAACCCACTGCTTGTTACCTGTTTGTTGTATGTCTGCTGGATTAGCTCACAGCTTGGTGTTCTCTCACATAATGTCATTGCTCAAATCAACCTCAGTTTAGATATCTTGTTTATCACTGCAACCTCACATAACGTGACAACTAGTTTCGCAATCATTCTTTTTTTCATTTCTTGGATCAATGGTGAAATTTCACTATAATAATTATCATGTCACGTCAACAGCTTTGAAATAAGGCCAACGAATTTTATTCCATTCGATCTTGAATTACACATCATTGTGGCATTTACCTTCTCTTTGAAAGCTGCTTCCAGAAAGTCTAACCACCCTTCTAGCTTTTCAGGGGACTCGAGATTGTGGATATTCATCATATTAGGGTCCATAGTTTGCCCGTGCTACGACAATGAACATAGAGAATACTAGTAATTTCTACTTCAAGAAAATGTGTTATGAAGGAAGGAAAGAGTCACTGTGGACATGGTGCACGAAACTTGACCTCCAACAATGCAATATCATTCTACAAATCAGCACAATCATGAGCGACTGCACCATGTATGTCCACGATCGACTCGACAACTGCACTGGAGATTTCTTGTTCTTTTTGAAATCATAAAATACACGTGTTTTTCACATGTCTTTGTCACGTGCTCAAGTACTAGTCTCGAAAGCTTAAAGACTCTCGATCTCTACGGAAATAATTACGTGATGCCTTTACTTGACATGACGCACTTTTGACAAGTAATTTGAAACAAAGAAGAAACTTTGGTCACCAGTTTCGTAAGATTTGTCACAACAAATGCATTTTTGTCCCTTGTTTGTGGCGTGAATGGAACAGTGTGAGCAGCCTATCTAATCGTTTTTCTATCCACATTCATTGTGGAGTCTCCATGTATGAATGGGAGTGAGACGAAATATTTATTCTTGCTTGCGCCGCAATCACGTGTATTGGCGCTGCTGCCGAAGATACGTTCCGCTTTCACTTCTCGGACTCGTGGTCAGTACTAATGTTCATAAGTCATAGATAATACAGTGTTGTATGGCGTGATCATTTAAAAAAAGTCTTAATGGCTATTACTACTTGTATGAAACTGCTTAGTATACCTATTTGGCAATAATAGTGCCACAATGTTTTATAGTCTTGCACTGACATACTAGGTGCCCCCCCCCCCCCCCATCTGTGTTAGTCACCTTGTACTTTACAATGTAGCACTTGTGAATGATTTTGACCATAATATTATGATATGGATCATTTGAAAACAAATGTACAGTCAACTTCGCTTATAACGACTGCGGGTATAACGACTATTCGCGAATAACGACAGAATTTCCATGCCCAGAGCAAAGTCCCATCCAACTGTAATACATATAATGAGACTTCGGGTATAACGGCACTTCGCGAGTAAGGACACTTTTCTGATACCCCGCCGAGTGTCGTTATAAGCGAAGTCGACTGTAGGTGTTTCGGAAGTTTTGATAGAAACTGGGTTCGAGTGTCGAAACGGTAGGAAACATTCGAACTGGTCGTGTCAGGTAGCGACTAGATTATTCATTGCGAGTTCAGCTCATGACCCGGAATAACCCAGTGGCAGCGGCAGATGCAGCGCCTAATGGTGAGGGTGAGGGCATACGTCTCGCAACCTTTGGCACAAGTTCTGAAAGCCCCATTAGCCGCATCCATGTACCCTTTGTGCCTGGCCACAAGCTCCCAGTTGCCTGTGGGTAGCAGCACGACTGGAAACCGCTCCCAGGCATGACTTAAACCAGGTGCTTTTCACATCTAAATCATGGGCTACTCCGGGTATGAACGGCCATCATGGCTCATGAGTTCTTTAGGGAACAGAGAAAAATTCACTCTTTTTATTTCAGTTCATGCTTCGCTCGCAAGAGACACTGGAAAAGAGATCATTTACGACATCTTGTACACATTTTAATATTGTACGTGTACAGTGGAAACATGCAGGCTGGAGAGGTTGTATGTGAAACGTGTAAATCCTGGTGGGAGATTTAGAAATTCTATCCTCACTTCATAATTTCATAGTCAGCAAAGTTGCATTCCACGAGTTTGACGCTGGAATTTGTGTAATCAAATGGTGTACATAGTACGTATCGGAACGAATTGTACGACGAACTGCGTGCTGTCTTAATTTTCATTGTGGCATGCACAGCTGCGCATGATATGGAGTGATCATTAACGTTCCTGTTGTCGTAAGCTATGGAGACGTTTGTGACAATTGCCACCACCATCAACATACAGTACTACGTGGCACATGGAGCCCTGGGTTAAGTAACTCCTCAAGGAAGACAGGGCTCCATTTGCAAACCAGTGGTACCAAATGTTGCTATACCTGTGGAGAGAGAGAGAGAGAGAGAGAGAGAGAGAGAGAGAGAGAGAGAGAGAGAGAGAGAGAGAGAGAGAGAGAGATAGAGGGAGAGAGAGAGAGAGAGAGAGAGAGAGAGAGAGGGGGAGAGGGAGCTATAATGCTGTATGTCTTGTTTCCCTATCGTTTAGATTGCCTTCTTTGTATTGAGCTCATTGTTTGACAGCGAGCAGCCAGCAGCTACAATACAAGGCAGCAATGGATGGCAAAGGTTTGTTATGTACTCATAGTATTTTTTGATGGCCCTACAGATCAATACTAGATGGCAATAGATGCACTTCATACAAAACACCGATGGTTGTTATAATATAGAAATTACCTTCCCATTGTCATAGGAGATACTAGAGCTCGAAGCTTTGAGGCGAAGTTAAGGCCAAACTGAAGCACAGCGCAGCTATTTGGGCTCGTCAGCACCTGAGTGCGGCATGTCGCACTGTTATTATACAGCGCATACCAAAAATACATTTTAGTGGTACAGTGCACTCATGGCTTGGGTAGCCAATGCTAGCCATGGCAAATATGAATGATGAGTGCGTAAGCAGCTACCCAGACCAACGGAACGTAAGTTGCCATATGGGAACACGGGAAGCTATGTGTACGGGGCACAGGGAAAACATGTCCCTGGTGGGGCCCTTCCCTGACATTTGGAACCGGAAGGAATACATTTTGTTCATTATTGGGTACCGGGGCAAACAGTGATACAGTCAATACGTTACTGAGACGTATCTGATGCCCCTGCATGATATGCTTTTTGTTGTCTCTTTTACTGTCTTTCCTTTCTGGTGTGTACAGTGAAATAGGTCCCATTGATGTTGTCTACACATGGGTGAACGGAAGTGATCCAGTCTTATTGAAATCTCTTCATCATCACAAACTTCTACTAAAGAAGAAACTAGGAATAGTCCCAGGGTAAGTCAATACTTGAACATGAATGCTTGCTTGTTTTGCCACGGTAAGTAGTCTTTGTCGTATGAGCATGCGTATCGGCAAATCCCCAACTCCACTGTGCCAGCCTTGTTTTGTGGATGAATTCCAGTTGGTCGTTCAGATGTTTTCGTATGTCTGAATACTCCAAATGCCAATTGTCAAAAGTAGCCGGGATGTGGATATACGAGTACATGTATTATCCTCCAGCCAGCCGATGTCAATGGAGTTGTACTCTGTATCAGTGTATGTCCAACTTGCCTTCACTGTAGACAGCATGCTGTAGGTGTACTCTGTATCAGTGTATGTCCAACTTGCCTTCACTGTAGACAGCATGCTGTAGCCGTGTACTCTGTATCAGTGTATGTCCAACTTGCCTTCACTGTAGACAGCATGCTGTAGGTGTACTCTGTATCAGTGTATGTCCAACTTGCCTTCACTGTAGACAGCATGCTGTAGCCGTGTACTCTGTATCAGTGTATGTCCAACTTGCCTTCACTGTAGACAGCATGCTGTAGCCGTGTACACATTCTATATACAGGCACATTGCTCTATTGGCCCATTTCAGGCAGGGGGGGGGGGGGGGGGGGGAGGATGCTGATGCAAATAGTCAGGGTCTTTACAGTGGTAGTCTCTTACAGGCTCTTGTGTTTGTCTTTTTTTATACCAGTTCTGGTGTGTGTGTGTGTGTGTGTGTGTGTGTGTGTGTGTGTGTGTGTGTGTGTGTGTGTGTGTGCGTGCGTGCGCACACGCGTGTGTTTGGATGTTATGCACAGGTCTGGAGAGAGTAATTGTAACGGTACTAACTGGGAACTGTTGTGCAAAAGGTGATTACTATCCAATAGAATCCATTGTGTACGGTGTGCCTAAGACAAGCTCACCTTATTCATCTGGCCACGTTGTCGGTGAGTTAGGTCTCTGTCTCAATCCTGTACTGTAGTCTGGCTGTGTGATGCACAGCTACAACCAGGTAACGTCTTAGCTCAGTTGCATGATTGTACTGGCCATTGTGTTCAACATGCATTCTCCTTGGCTTTCTCTGTCTGTGTGTTTCCTTGCAGGGCAGGTAATGTTGGTGTCTGCAACTTAACAAAGTGAGTTCATAGGGTAGGGCTAGCAACCAAGACCAATAGAGCAAGATTAGGTTGGACATACTGTGGAACCTGTTTGAGGCGACCCGCTCAAGGAGCCTTCAAATGTGGTCGCTGTATACAGGTGGTCTCCTTGTTCAGGGTCATTTGACTGGAAACAACACTCCCTGGTCCTATTTGAAGTGGTCCTCTGCGGCAGGTGGTCACCTTATCCGAGTGGTCGCCTTGACAGGTTCTACTGTATAGAACGTTAACAGTACTCTGAAGCATTGACCAGTGACGTACTTGATGTCCTACATCCTGTGTGAAGAATATAGTTTGCAATGCAAAATTGGCGAGAGCTTGCATCAATTCTTACTTCTCCCCACATTGCCTTCTGCATTCAACTGTCAGATGCCAGCTGGAGCAGCGCAATCAACAAGGACACCACCACCAGCTGTTTCCATGGAGCATAGCTGTCCTGGAAGGGACAAATATCAGCCTGCTGCAGTCGTACGACATTCATCAGATCTCACAGGCCCGGCCGTATCGTACTTTGGACCTCCAGCGTAGCAACGCGACGGCGCAACACTCCACCGCTTTGCTTTTCGCATCATCCAAGCAAGGTATGTGCCAAACGTAGCTCAGTATGGAACGAAGAAGATTGGAACTCCTGAGCTGTATCAGAGTTCTGACTCGACAAGAGTTCCTAATTTTCTCGTTCCTCGAACAGCTTCGTCATGACCGTAACCAGTATTTCTGTGACTTTCGCCGATTCTATACACTGTAGAGACAGGATGCATGCCGACCTTTCCTCCTCATGGATATGCGAGTACTGCCGGTGCATGCACTAGTACTTCAAAGTACACGTTGTATTCTATCCTAAGGTACATGATGTTGTGTATCTGTTGTGGTGTTGTGCAGCCTTGCAGCTTATCGAGTTGAAGAATGTAACTTACAGAAACAAGAATTACTCGGTGACTGAAGGCTATGTGGTGAGAATTGCTCATGTACAATTTTTCTTGGCTATGTCTCTTGGGATATGTTTCTTTTTCTTCTCACTTCTACTTTATCTAAATATTTTGCCTACATATCGATGAAACTGTAAGAAGACTCAAGGTGTTTCCTGAATCCAAACTCTAGTTCACTGAACAAACACCTTGTGGATATGCAATGTACTTAGTTTTAAAAGAGTAATTAATTACTGGTTTCCATCCATCCTGTCAATGTCTTGACTTTGTAGGTGCATGCTAGCTGTGGTGTCAGCTTGGAGTTTATATTTCATTGCACACATGCCGTGTACGCGTGCATGCGTGCGTCTGTGCGTGTGGGTGCATGCATGTGTGCGTGTGTGTGTGTGTGTGTGTGTGTGTGTTCTACAGAGTGCAACATGTTGCCGTGGACACTGTGCTCTTCTCAAGGATCACATCATTGTACAGGGACTGTCAGCCAATACCAGCTCTGAGACGCATCGTCGTCTGAAGCAGATTGCCAGCGACAACTATGGAATAAAGGTTGGCACCTGTATTTCAGAACAAACTGAAGTGTTGTCACTTCGGCAGTAATATTTGAAGACTGAAACTAGCAATACGGCTTGCACTTCCTTTTTGACTAACAGATTGACACACGGCTACCATTATAGAGTACATGAGAAGCATGTCCAACCTTTCACAAGGAAACCTACAAAAAAGCACCACTGCCTGCTCACTATGCAGTGTTTTGGAGAATTCACCCTTCATCAGTGTTCGTCTGGAGTGACCCGCACTGATCTGAGAGCAAAGCAAGCACATGGAGCAGTGTGAGCAGTCAGTTCTGAGGCGAACGCGATGGAGTACGCAGAGCAGTTTTTGTGTGACACGGAAATCATGATGCCTGGGTTCATCTTTTTCGATTTTGCAGGAAATAAAAAAAATGATGTCAGAATCTCAAAACGAAAAGGTAAGCAGCAGCAAAAGGAAACTGCTCTGCCTGCTCCAACTCAAGGCCTGGAGCAGCCAGAACATGCTCCGTGCGCTCGAGATCCGGTGCAGACCAGCCGAACGCGCGTGTTCCGAGTGATCCTGTTCTAGTTCGGGTGCAATTTGTACCAGACGAGCGCGCCCCTAATGAAATTTGTGCTCCAAGTGCACTGCATTATGTAGTGCTCTCTGAGCCAATACATCACTACCTACTGATAGTGACTTTTCGTTTCCAGCGCCATAGTCAACTTGAAAGCTCCAGATAGCAGCGTGAGTCAATGTTGCCCGTAAAATTGTGAATGCAGACGCTGAGGGTCGTTGACTATTCACAATGTGTCACTTGTGATCATCCAGCAGCATTCCCCCGCTGGAGACAGCAATGCGAACTGACATGTCGCGACTTCTGAGATAACATTAGAAGGGGCTGCCCCTAACGTTGGAGCTCGCACCTCCTACAGCTACACATGCGACACTGACTCCTGCTACATCCTGGTTCTTACCAGGTGTTTTTTGTCGCGCTGGAAACAGAGCGCCACTGTAAGCTGGTGTCCCTATTGATGTTTGGGCCGGAGAGGCACTACATAATGCTGCAGTGCTGTCAGAGCACAATTTTCATCAGCCTACTCAAGCTCAACTGAGGAAGATGAATTCCCCCGAAAACACTGTGTATTGAGCAGGGAGCGGTGCTTTCTTGCAGATTTGCTGAGTGGAAGGTTCCTCTACGTACTTCTCAGTGCTCTGGAAGTGCATGTGTTTGTACACGTGTTGCTAAATCTGGTCTTTTCACCGCTGTTTTTTGCTTTTCATCCGTGTCATTTTTTTGTTTGCCGTTTGTGTCCAGGTTTTTGTATGGCCTGCGGCAGGCACAGCCATTGTTCAAATGCCAGTGTGGGGAACACCAGCATCACTCAACACGGTAAGTCATCACTTACACACTACATTGTAAGTGATTCTCACCTGTGTTTGCTTCTTCCCGGGTGTTATGCCGTTAGGTGAAAATTATTCATCATATGTTTCTGTTTGTGTGTGTACGCGTGTGTGCGTGTGTGTGCGTGTGTGTGTGTGTCCAGTGTATGCCGGAGTATGTGGTGTGGTGTGTGTGTGTGTAGAAAAAAATGGAAAAATGAAAATAGGGATTCACTGGCCAGAAAAAGTCACTTCAATCAGCTGTGTGGTGGATACCAAGCTAAAAATAGTGGCGGTCAATTCATCAGCCTTGCAAGCTGTTGAATGGTGTAATCCCAGCACAAGTTGCTATGTCTAACATAGCTGTTCGCTATCATCGCTTCCGCGATGGGCAGGTCTGAGGTCTGAGGTGTGTGCGCGCATGTGTGTGCATGTGCGCGTGTTTCTTCCTGGTACAGAGCGTGTTTGCACTGAAGGGGACGCACTCAAGCGTGCAAGTGTCTCCGGCGTATGCTGTGTGGAATTGCGCTGCTGATCGGGTAAGCAAAGGGAGGGGCGCTGGACACACGCCGGCTGCTGGGAGAGTGGTGGACCTTGCTGACCGGGTTGAACAGATTGCACAGTTGTGGATCAATAATCATTTTACATCAAGAGGAAGAAAATATGCACAGCCAAGCTCAAACGCCAAGCCGAAACATCCAAAGCTGTCACTAGTTGGCCCCAAGTGGCTGGGCACAAGTTGCTTGCCCCACGAGTAGTTGGAGGAGATCATTTAGTGTGGAAATATACAAGTCAGTAGCTTGCAAGGAAACACTGAAGTCGACAGGTTTTCTTCCCTTTTAAAATGCTCCATTTTTGTTCCTCTCTTTCCTTTCTCTCTTTTGTCTGTATTCATTGTTGTTGTCTTTGAATTTGAATTCTCTATTCTCACGATTTTGTTGTTGTTGTTGTTGTTGTTGTTGTTGTTGTTGTTGTTGTTATCAACCAGGATGCTGCAGCACCTAGTGTAGATGTTGATGGTGAAACTGTGCCAAGTCGTTTCGAGGACAATGAGGTTTGTTATTTGATGTTGCTGTATGATAACACAGTTGGTCATTGTTCTTGTACATAGGCAGTGTGTGGTTCAGCTGAGAGTTCCTTCTTTTAATTGGTCTCTGTTGGACCTTGGAATTGGTTGTGCTGCGTTACACGGACATGTGATTGTTGCTGTTGTTGTTGCTACTGCTGCTGCACAGGAACTGCGTTACTCACTGCGTGCAATTGAGGCGAACGCTCCCTGGGTGCGCCATGTGTTCATTGTAACCAATGGTCAGATTCCATACTGGTTGAATCTCAATTGTCCAAGAGTATCCGTTGTTACACATGAGGTTAGTTATGCCTCTGCCATGTCTTCTGTGCTTGAATGGAACATCTTCTGCTCCTGGATTAGCCGAGACCTGTAATGAGTGCTGCACCTTTTTTTGTTAAACCTATATTATTATGTCTTCAAGGAGCTCTCTCTCTCTCCCTCTCTCCTCTCTCTCTCTCTCTCTCTCTCTCTCTCTCTCTCTCTCTCTCTCTCTCTCTCTCTCTCTCTCTCTCTCTCTCTCTCTCTCTCTCTCTCTCTCTCTCTCTCTCTCCCTCTCTCTCTCCCCCCCCCCCTCTCTCACTCTCTCTCTCTCTCTCTCTCTCTCTCTCTTTCTTTCTTTCTCTCTCTCTCTACCAAGAATGATAAACTAATGTTGTGTCCATATGGTTGCTCTATTTGCCATCAATCTGTGCTTTAGGATATCTTCCTGAATAAGTCTCACCTGCCCACGTTCAGCTCGCCATCCATTGAGTCTCACATTCACCGCATCAAGGGTCTGTCACGCTACTTCATCTATCTCAATGATGATGTCTTGTTCGGACGCAAAGTCTACCCATCCGACTTCTACTCGCCCTCGTCGGGACAGCGGGTATGTGGTCTCTTCTTTGCTACATGTACATGCCATGCTGCCAGTGCCTAGTCTTTGCTTAGTACCCTTCCCGACATGTACTGCATTGGAGTGTGTTTTGCATCAATGCAGATAAAAAAAACAGTTTAAATCACACCCGCACCTCTCCTAGTCCTGGGTCCATCAAGTACATGTACAGTGACGGTTAGGCGAGTGGATTTGTAGCGCTGTGGTGTCGCTATGGCGAACTCATCGTCAAGTGTGTACTGTCTTAGCTGGGCATTGGCACACAGTTGCTTCCGTTCTTCACTTCCACACTAGAGCACTAACAATGCATCTTGCATCGTATGAGCAAGCACATACTATGCTGTGGTTTCTTGCCTGACTGGGGACTGGGGGTAGCAGAACGGCAAGGCCAGGATGGACATTGCATTGCCAGGAGCCGCCTGAACCTTTCTGTCTTGCAAGAAAAGTAGCGGAAACTAGAATACGGAATGAACTGTTTTGTATTATTCATTGCGTGTCCTTCACCTGCGTTTTGTCAGATCTTCTTATCCTGGCCACTACCCATGTGCAACACTGGCTGTACTGCGTCATGGCTGGGAGACGGCACCTGTGACAGGGCATGCAATAGCTCTCAGTGCGATTTCGATGGTGGTGACTGTAAGTGCGTGTTGTGATAGATATTATATAGATACTAAATACTATGCACAAATAAACTTGAGATAATTCCAGCGAACTGAACAACGCGACTGTCACAAATGCAAGAGGGCCTTTTACACTTCAGAGCTGGTGGTTTGTAACAGTGCGTGCTGTTGTGCGAACCGTTTATGCGCTCATCTGGGCAGTCAAGTCCGAAACTGTTTTTTTGTTGTTGCTGTTTTCTTCTGATGTCTATTGTCGTATGCCCATACGGTTAGTGCACAGTACTGGCATTTTCTTGGAGACAAAACTGCAATGGCGCTCGGTATCTTGACGTTTCTCCGTTTCCTGTATCCACCAGTTCCTATCTGATACATGTATTTGAAGTAAGATGCATGTATTGGTGTAGCTGCCAAGTACAGTGCTGCTCAATGACATCTGATTGTCGCATCAGTCAAGGTTACTGGTAGAGGGGACGGTTCGATACCGGAACGGCTGGACAGCCAAATTTGTATAGACCCAAACCGATCATCAGCGTTGATTGTTCACTCGAAATATGTTTGTGGAAGGAAACTGGCATGTTGAAGTTTGCTCTGAGGCCAGAGTCAATCGAACTGAGCCACTCCTTTGTGTTGACCCATTGCCTCCAAGTTGCCCAATTTTTCGCTTCAAATCAGAGGTGGCTCCAAACCGGACAGGTTTTAGAGTGCACGTCAAATTCACTCTGGGTCTGAAATTACGTAATTGCTATCGCTCCACGGCGGCCACTACAGAATAACAATAAGCCTTGTGTGTGCTTCCATTAGTTTTGATTGGTATGCGGTGCTTTATTGGCGAGAGGCAAGCCGCTGTTTACCTGCGACAAGAAGTTGATTTTTTGAAAGTCGTAAAACTCAAGTCGCAGTGGGAAGCAACACGTCAAAAACTCAAATGCTTGGTATGGCGCTTCTGGTCATCGCAGAGCCATGGAATTTTGGCGCTGAGTAAAATACATCGTAGTCTCACTGTGACATACGTTTTCTAATCAAAATACCAAGAGAGAAAGTGAATATTGAGACCGTTCCGGTTTGCAACCTATGTCCTATTTGAAACTGTCGGCTCTACACCCTGCACCAGTTCACCCTATCCCAATGTTCACAGGTCTGGGGCTGCACAGCGCCTGCACAGTGTGGCGTTGACTTGCCGGATTGGACTTCATTGAATAGCACTGTACATGTTCCTGCACAGTGCTAATCATCAAGAGCCTGAAGTTGATAGTTATCGTCGGAATCTAGAATGACTGCTGTACTCGTAATTTTGAGCATGCATTTCTTGTGGTCACCCATTTCTTATTGTCAATATGTCGCTTTCGTTGCTATGTTATCACCTCTGCCACTGACTCAGGCCTGAAGACGGCCAAGCACTCTACGGGTCGATTCTCCTTTTCTTCCTCCGAGGCTGCATGTAAGGGATGTTGTGCTGGAGCTGTGTGTGTGTGTGCGTGTGTGTGTGCGTGTGTGTGTGTGTGTGTGTGTGTGTGTGTGTGTGTGTTTGTGCGTGCGCGCACGCGTGTGCGTGTGGGTGTGCGTATGTTCGTGTGTGCATGCGTGTATGTGTGTGTGGATGTTTATGTGGTGGTTTAGTCCTCGCACATGAGTTACCCCCAAGTCGATGTGACTCCATTGTGTGGCCAAGATGTGCTACTTGCTATCCATGGTATCACCTTTTAGGATAGAGCAGCTGGACACGGTGGTGTTGAGACACCAGACTGGGCCAGATATCAGAGAAACACAAGTAGTGGCCCAACCGATAAATTGCTGGTCGCACTGCACTGTCATCAGAGTTGGTTTTAAACTCAGGCATGTGTTGAAGATGCCACCTATGTTAATGCACTCGTTGTACTTTCAAAACGTAGTGCATCTACACCATGGTGTATACCTGGTTGACGACCAGTTGGGTGACAAGTTACTGAAAAACCTCCCTACTACCCGGAGTGCCGTGGTGTTCATTATTGTAATGTCATTGTGGTGTTGTTGTTGTCTGGTTTATGGTGTGTGTGTGGTGTGTGTGTGTGTGTGAGTGTGTGAGTGTGTGAGTGTGTGTGTGTGTGTGTGTGTGTGTGTGTGTGTGTGTGTGTGTGTGTGTGTGTGTGTGTGTGTGTGTGTTGGAATTGTCTGGTATGCGGTGCGCGGTATGTGCTGTGGTTGGTGTGGTGTGTTGTGCAGTGGTCAGATGCAGTGGATCGTGCAGGGACTCTTGGCTAGGCGATCGCTACTGTGATTCTGTGAGTACCTTGGCGTGTTTCTGTACATGTACATGTAGTTCCAACACACTCCTCACCAGTCCTATCCAGTGTAGCTAGAACAGTCAGTTCTTACCCTGATCATGCTACAGTGGCTGAGTTGCCATTGTTTTTTTAATGTTTAGTTTTTGTTATATACGAGTGAGTGAGTATCACAAGTGAGAGATAACCGGTCAGCATATTCCAATAGACGCTTCCATGTATTATTCTACCTGCAGTCCCCCCCCCCCCCCCCCACACACACACACACACATACACACCCTTGTGTGTGCATGCGCGCAAATATATTTACCGCTGTCACTAGCAGAGGTATGGCAGTGTTTCGAAGCTACAGGGAGGATGCATGCCAACATTGTTTGCTGTGCATGCACATGTAGGGATGAACGGCGATTCCAAAGTCATTCCAATGTGTGCGTACATGCGTGTGTTGTGTCACTCTTTTTATGTTGTGTGTATGCGCAGGCTTGTAATGTATTTGAGTGTGGTTATGATGCTGGCGATTGTAAGGAAGAGGCTGGTCGACCACTCTTCAGGGTGCATATATCAAATGCCTTAGCAATGGGGACTGTCCTCATCCCAGAAGGTAGGAGGAACTGTTTATTCTGGATTTCGGAAGATGCTGATCTGCTTATAACATGTTGAGGGGTGCATGTGGGGAGGGTCGGGGCGGGAGGGGGGGGGGGGGCACAACTATCACCAGTGATCTACTGATCTACTTCCCCAGCACTTTGAACCTTCTGTAGTTTGATGATGAGGATGGGAGGATGACACTATTGACAGGCCTCCGTGATGCTGTGCAGTGCAAACCCACGGCCAGTCACTTTAAAGTCATGCAGTGTAGGGGCTATGCCACATTCATATGCAAAACTTTTGCCATTGATTCCCAAGCCACATGCTGCCAACAATCAGAAGGCCTGTAGCATGGTACAAGACTACAAGTATATTTATGAAGTTGGCCGGAGTCTAATTGAAACACTCAACCGTGCCCTGGCTTTGTGGATGGTAGGGACGACCATTTATCTTCAGGGATTTCATTTCCTTCATCACCTGAGACCCGGCCGTTGTCAGTCTGCAGGATTCCTGGAGGGCCGGCCGTATGCATAACTGTACTTGAGCACCACTGCACATACATCCTTTGCAGACTTGGACTTGATGCCTGCACCCATCGCGAACCGAGGGTAGCAGTCCACAATGTTGCGGACGTACTCAAATCATCGTACCGACGGCAACGTAGTGGGATGGTACGGTCCCCCGACACAGCAAACACACACAGCAAGGAGGTCAAGTCTTTATATATGATCCATTCATTTAGTTTCTTACGCGTTTCTGCCTTGTAGGCTTCGTCAGAGACATATGCATAACTGTACTTGAGGACCACTGCACATACATCCTTTGCAGACTTGGTCATGATGCCCGCACCCATCGCAAACCTAGAGTAGCAGTCCACAATGTTGCGGACGTACTCGAATCCTCGTACCGACGGCAACTTCTTCAATTCCATCTGCCATCGCGGATTTGGGTACGTGACTAGGATGGAGCAGCGGAACAAGGACAAGTCGGCACCACGATCTTTCGTTTTTTGGCAAGGCTCTGGCCTTCGTGCGTATCCTTATTCCCTCTATGTTATCTGCCATCACTACCTCACCTACAAACAAAATACTACGAAAAGGGAAACAAACTGCAATGTCACAAAAGAAAACCACTGCCACTGGAAAGGAAGTATCGAAGTGGACACAACACAAAAAGCAGAACCCCGTGGTGGCTGATCGTTAACCACGCTGTGCATGCCGATAACAGCCAAGCGGTCGTAATATTTAGATCTTGATTTTGTGATCGCTCACAGGAAAAGTCGTGTACTTTAGTGACTGGTCATCAAGAGAGAAAAACACCCAGTCCGTGACTCGGTGACAATTTGTGACCGCTCACCGGGCGTTGGGGACTGTATGATTGGGGTTGGTGGGACCGTGATCGGTCACTGAGACGTGATCGGTCACAGGGATGTGATCGGTCACTGAATTCTAGGTAATTATAGGCGTGTAGCCGCCTGGTACGCCTGTAGCCTAGCACACCTGTAGCCAAGTAGCAAGAGTAGATAAACACGAGTGTGCAACTTGCGGATGGAAATCTTTGTCGATGTAATCCTTTCTACGACGCACACGCTGCGAGTCTTTTGGGAAGTTTTGCCTCGTGCACTTGGCCGGGATTTACATTACAAGGTCGGTGCCCTCCCCTTGCAAGAAATGAAGATGGGATGCTTGTGAGAGGCATGATGCTCTAGCAGGTATTTCACGGTGCTTGCTGTAAAGATAGCTTGATTGCAGTCACATCTGACCTGCAGCTTTGTGCCAACACTGTGTCTTGTCCTACTTTCAGTTCATTTCATGTTGAAGAGGCCGTGTTGTTCACAATGGTACCGTATTTTCCCGATTATAAGTCGCACTTGATTATAAATCGCACTTACAGTAAAACCTGGTTTAAGCGACCACCCCACGGTGCAAGCAAAAGCGGTCGTTCAAGCCAGGTGGTCTTTAGAACCAGGTCCCACAGTGTCTGTGAAGAAGTCGCACCCCAGTTTTCAGGTGTGAGCCACACTGATTCAAGAGATTCACATGTATAAGTAGGAAGTCACTTTCGATTGTAAGTCGCACCCCCTTCTTTTCCCTTGAAGTTTAGCGTAAAAAGGTGCGACTTACATTCGGGGAAATACAGTACAGGTGGAATCCTGATAATTCCCACATAAAATTTTCTGATAATTCGAACCTCGAACCGGACATATCCGTTAATTCGAAGTTCCACGGATTCCACTTACATAGAAAATGTGTGGGATTTGTGCTGATAATTCGAAGTTAGCAACGTATAATTCGAAGTTCACTGTACACTGTACTGGTCAGTGCAGTTTGTATGAGCTGGCTGTGCCTGTCAGTTCAGTATCCGTGAGATCTGTGTCTAAGGTCCATAGCGCAACTCTGCGTGACAATGGGAGCATTTTGACATACATTATTGTGTTGTGGGTTCATGTTTGGATAATTAGAATGTCCGGATAATTAGAAGTTTTTTTCTGGCATTTGGAGGTTCGAATTATCAGGATTCCACCTGTATACCATTGTGTTCACACCCGTGGATTCTGTTGTTGTCCATCGTAAGATAAGTGTGAACTGCATGCAGCATCCGAAACTGAGTTATCATGTAGAGTTTGTGGCATGATTGCCTTGATATCTATACCCATGTGTGTGTGTGTGCGTGTGTGTATATATGTACGTGTATATGTACGTGTGTGCGTGAGCGAGAGTGTATGTGCTCGCATGCATATGCGTGTGTGTGTGTGTGGGTGTGGGTGTGGGTGTGTGCACATGCTTGTGCATGTGTATCTGCAGGCCACTTGTCTGCAAGAATCATGCTGAACGGATATCCGAAGAACATCTCCGAAGGCCAGTACACTGTTGCGTCCGGCAAGCAGCTGGTCCATGCTGCCGTGGTGTCCAGGACATACCACTACTTCACTGTAGTCTTTGTGAAGAATTGCACTGGACTGGTCAGCTTCAACCTGACTACTGCTGACAAGGCCAACAAATCAGCAGTACGTTCTTGAACATCCGCTCAAGTTGTAGTCGTTTCACTTTTGGTAAATCGGGATTGCTTCAATGCACACATTCGCAATCTTTGCTGTTGCTGAACATGTGTCTGACCAAGTCTGAGAGATTTCTAGAATGTGGACTTGACATGCACCATGGGAGGGGGGGGGGGAGGGGTCCCTCTCCCCTACCCCAGGTGGAGCTCAGTGATTGCTATCACCCCGCCGTCATTACACGCAAGTAACAGTACAATCATGTGAAGCTTGTTTGTCCAGTGACAGTGTGGTCCTGTGTCGTAGGATGCGAATTGACATGGTTCATAATTTCATATCATGTTCCATATTACATTTATGTTCCTAATAATGTTACTGTATAGCAGGAAATTTTCGGACGGAAATAGTTTTCGGACAAAGCCGAATTTCGACCTTTCGAACGGATTTTATTTTCGTACAGTGCTGCATGCTAAATGCACGTGTTCGCATGCGGTACGCATGTATAGTGTACATAACTTCACAGGAATAAATTTTAGTATGGAATTAATTTGAGTAGTACAAAAGAGGCCATGTACGAAATCGTACGAAAATAAATTCTGTCCGAAAATTTCCTGCTATACAGTATATCCGCACACGAAGCACAGAAGCCATATCATTATTTTTGACTAGGCCTTTTGTACCGTTACTTTTCAAGTCGAATACAATGGTGATTAAAGCCGCAGCAAGCATGTCCTTATAACCGGCACGGTGGCGGTCACTGCTAGCCCCTCAGAAAGCGCTAGGTGAATGAATGTTATAATTTATCATGTTCACTGTAATGTTCTTGAAAAGAAGAATGCTGCTTGCATTTCAACTTCCGTTGCCAGTTTGTCTGTCTGATATCTGCTTGCCAGTTGTTCTGTCGGTTGATCTGTCTGTTGATCTGTCTGTTGATCTGTCTGTCTGCAGCTTCATTTTAATTCAACCTTTGACACACGCACAGTACTTCCGAACTACACTCGTCCAGCCCCAGTAACTCCAGCTTTATTGGGATCATTGATTTCAAAATTGTCGGTATGTAGCCAGTCAGACCAGTACTGTTAGCAGCCAATTACTTTCAAGTATTCATATTGTTCTGTGAAACCCAAGACTCATATGTACCTTCAGTGGGCTGGAGGTGATGCGTCGGTGTGTTGGTGCACATGTGTGTGTGTATATATACCGGTAATATGTGTGTATGTGTGTCTGCATGTCTGTGTCTGTGTCTGTGTCTGTGTGGTACATGATATGTGTGTGTGTGTATTTGTGTGTGTGTGTGCATGTTCGTGTGTGCATATAGATCGAGTACTTTGCAGCTTTCATTGCACCATTGTCACGGTCTGTGTTACGTATTATGATTGTCTATTCATGTGTTTGTTTGCTGTTAGGGCAAGAAGAATATCTCTGGTATATTTCCACTGGACAAGTCACTACAATTCTGGAAAGATGGCAAACCAAGGTACAGTATATGCTAGTGCATCAGTTGTGGCAAGTGAAATGCGGACTGTTTACACTTTTAGAGCGGCGGGCAGACATTGAAAACCTCATGTACGTGTGCTGGAGGGTGCATTCGGGGCGTTGAGACCTATTGCAGGGTTGCCTTTGGTACTGTAACTGAATCACGACCGGTCAATGCGTGGAGAGGGATGACAGCACTTGCAGCTGTTGGGCCAATCGTGCCTGCAATTTTCAGACAGGTCAATGACCCTCTTCCGGTGTTTGGTCGCAGTCCTGAAGAGGACCGTGCCGCCAAGCTGACTGGCCAGCGCCACTCCAATTATTGCCACATCCGTATCAGGTGATTGGATGACAATACAGTTGGCACCACCCTGGATGGCATCAGCAGCATGTAGGAAAAGTTTCGTATCTGCTTCCTCCTGCGTTGACTGGAGCGAAGGAAGCGCCTCTCGAACCACAGACGTTCCAGACGAATCGAACTTCCAGCAGCGGTCTTCAACAGACAAGACTACTGGACATGCAGAGAAGTGGTGCGCGTAACTTGTTAGGTATCTTTACACCACTCCTTCCCCAGGAAGAGCAGAAATGACAACGTGTTGCTGCCGCCGCGCAGAAAGCCAGACCAGGATGTTGGGCATTTCTGTGCTGGATTGGAGACCTGTGGTAGACAAAACGCACTTCTGTGCTGAATTGGAGACCTGTGGTAAACAAAACGCACTTCTGTGCTGGATTGGAGACCTGTGGTAGACAAAACGCACTTCTGTGCTGGATTGGAGACCTGTGGTAGACAAAACGCACTTCTGTGCTGGATTAGAGACCTGTGGTAGACAAAACGCACTTCTGTGCTGGATTGGAGACCTGTGGTAGACAAAACGAATACCAAGAGTACCTGTAGGTCATTTCGAGATGCAAGCTGCTTAGCATGAAGACAGAAATCCACAGTCAGTGTAAATGCCAAAATTACCAGCCTGATTTATGTACAGCAAATTACAGAGAATATTTCCAATTTGGTCACATGACTAGTTTGGATTCAGTAGTAACAAGCCAGCCATTATCCAACTCAATCACAGTAAGCAATCAGGAGCAACTTACCAGACATTGAATACCATCGTGTTGGCTGCGTCGCTTCCTTTCACAGCTCTTGATAGATAGATCTCGGTAACAATCAGTAACAAAGTCAATGCGCTTGCCTTGACATCGCTGAGGTGTTACAATGGACTTGAGCACCATCTCTGCTACATCGCCAAAAGTGCACTGACCGACGGTCTGTAGTGACTGACGGAGAGCCATGCCATCCACGAGCCATACTGCACCACTAGGTATGGCATCAATGACGCACGGTGAGCAAGATCCTTGGAGACATTCTAGCAGTGATGACTTTGTATTCTTTTAAACAAGGCCGCCATCCGGTGTGGCAAGGCTCCATAGCAAGGGGCCCAAGGGAGTAGCTGAGGATTTTCTTCATGTCCATTGCTCTCGATTGTGCTTAGATGATGACACGGGAGAAGAAGGTACGGTCTGCTTTGATATTGACTTCAAGGCCCTTCACTTGTACAGATTTCTTCTTCAATTTAACCAGAGTCGAGAAGGTCTTTGTGTTCACTTTAGGCAGGGGTGCGAAGAAACTTTGTCTTTGCTGTCACCAAGCGCTCAGCATGAAATACCGTGTAGGCCGCCTCACCCGCAGAGACAGAGTTGAGCAGGCTTTGCTGCTCGTCTTCTGGTGCAACTGTACCGGTGCCTACAGCAGTCAAAGAAGCCAGGCTTGGGTCAAACGGATCACCCCAGTCGCGTGTGAGGGTCACCACACGGCTAATCGCTTCCTGATCAGCTTGAATCCACTTTGGCTTTTGTTCCTTGTGAGTGTCTTCACTGCCATCAACCAGCCCCGCCATAGATAGACAAGCACCGGCTCCAGCGGCCCGAGCGTGAGCCAAGAGAATCCATTTATGAGTGACTGATTCTCGATGGCTGAATCCGATGATGCCACCTGCAGACTTAGAATGCTTGTTCAGGGTCTGTTCGATGGTTTGATCCACAGGCAGTGCTGCAAATGCCTTCCCGGAGCGTCGAACTGCGAACTCACCGTTGCAAAAAGCATTGAACACATCGGGATGGTTGGCAGGAAGTTGGCACATCTCTGAATAGTAGTACGACAGAGACCATGCATAGTTTTGCCTCTGGCAAGCAAACATGAACGGCAACACCCCGTGCACACAGTTAGTATGCAGAGACCAGTTTCCTTCTCGAAAGGATCGAACGAAGCGAAGTAGCAGATTCACCATGCCAATGTAAAGCTGCCAAAAACGGAACATAGGCTAAGGTGACACCTGGCGATTGCAGTACTCCAGAAATGCAGCGCGTAGCTCACCGAAATCAGCACTGGACAGCAGCTGATCAAGCGTATGATGTGAAGGAGATTGCCGTTCGCTCTTCACAAGATCAATTATCTCAGGGCTTGCAGCACACTCTTCACAAGATCAATTAGCTCAGGGCTTGCAGTACACGATGCGTCCCTGGTGCTGGAAAAGTGCTCCATTTGGAGTCTCTCAAGAGCTGCCTTCAACACTTTGTGTGCACGTAGGCTCATATTGTAGTGTCAACCATTCAGAACTCAGTCTTGAAGTCCTGGGAATGGGCCCAGACAACCTCTACCGCTTTGGCATAAACAGCCTGGTCAGCAACAATTACGATGTCCTGCTGGCTGAGATGAGTTACCAACTTGCCATGTCAACAGACCGTCTCGAAGCAGTATACACAACATCAAAGTGAGTAGGCGATCCATTTATCATTGGGCAGTAGGCCACCACACTCCTCCTTGCATCAGATGCTGGTGACGTTGTGGTATCGAAGCCACACCTTAGCAGCTGACGGAGCTACAGAGAGTTGGGGTGCGAACTGCACAGCTGTGTAGGCGAAATCCTTGCGAGCAGCAAACTCTCACGCTGTAAGACGTACGTGTTGCTCAGCAAGAGCGGGATCTGCTTGTTGACGTGGTGGCTCTGGTCTTCGGCCACAATGATATCCGAGTATACCAGTGGCTGGTGAACTGATCTGCCTTGCACGGCTCCGCATCATGACTGGGGTTGGAGGAAGCACTGGGCCAAACACTCTGCTTTGAATTGCAATGCCGTTCGTCGCATGTGTCGTGCCTTTGCCAGACAGAGTTTCTTCGGCAAGATCAATATTATCCCAGCAAAATGTAGTAAACACTCTGGGCTGCAGTTGAGAGGGCATGGGAGCATCAGTGCCAAGTACAGTACATGTACTGCCTGATTGCATCTCCGCTTGTGATGCCTCAACTCGCTGTAGATGGGTAGCTGACACAGCCCTGAAATTTCAAGATTTTCACAAAAAAAAGGAAAAAGGGAAGCTAGGAAGAAGAGGAAAACGGCGACGGCCGAACAGATCGAAGACAAAAAGAAATCACCATAACTCCCAAACGGACAAACTCCTGCACACCAAACTTCACCACATGTGTCAGGAACACATAATATGCCGGCGTTTGCCAACTTCAAACCTTTCCTGGACGAGGTGTCAAATGCAACTCCTAAACGAAGCGGCTTTTTCGGACTTGGCCCCAGCACTAAGTACTTTGATGCACTCTGTGGAAAATTGACAACTGACAGACAAACCAATGAACACTCAAGTCGTCGGAAAACAGAAATGAAAAAGGAGTTTTCTGCAAAGCAAGATTTGGACAGCACGCGTGGGAGAGTGGTGCGCAGGATGCGCATGCGCATATCATTATAGCAATGACATCATAATCAGAGGATGCATGATCATCAGACTAGGTATGAGTGGTCGATGTTCCATGTTCGTTAACAGGGCTTGGCGCACACGCTAAACCACCATTTTTTTTTCGTGTAATGTGTACTATTCTGTTCTTGCACAGCTTTCCACTTCTCAAGAAGCGGCAGAAACCCGGGGAAGGGAGTACTGCCATGAAAGGCGGCAGGCGGCAACCCCCCGTTGGTTTTCGTCAACGTCACCTCATGAGCTTTCCGAACGATGCAGCAGGAATGCCTGGGAAGACGTCCCGGGTGAAGAAGCACACTCTTTCAGAGCCTGTATCCAGCTCCTTCTTAGCAGACATTGCAGCTGCGGAGCTCGCACCAGCGGACCCTTACGACCAGGTAACAAGGCCTGTGTTCCGTCTAAGAATTTTCACGTGTTTTTTTTGTTTTTTTGTTTTTTTAGAGTCGAAGAACAAACAGGCAAATTTGCCTAATTACATGATGAATGTCACTGGGCATTTTGGCTTCACGAAGGCTTACTGTATTCTCCAGGATCAGACCCCCTCCCCATTTGGAGGTGAAATGAAACATTCCGGTTTGTGTTTTTTTTCTCGTAAAAAATGACTTTTTTTGGGGGGGTGCCACAGGGGTGATTAGGCCCAATTTTCGTGAAAAAATGTATTACAGAAAAATTGCTACGTACTTCCGCTCCAGTGGTCTTGTTCTTTGAGTGTGTCGTGGTTCTCTGCTTTGCACCTTGAAAACTATTCCAGCAGTGTCCACCACCTTCTTTATGCTATTGTAGACACTATGTGGATGTACATGCATTGGTGGTGTATACTCATATACACAACGCCTGCATTGGAGGTGTACACTCATATACACAACACCTGCATTGTGTGTTTTGCTGACTGCTTTTCACAGGGTACGGCCAACCTGCCATGGGAAAAGCTGGGTGTCTTCAATGATCTCACCAAGGTCAGTCTTCTATAATTATAACATGTGTTTATGGTGGAGGTGAATGTGCTCATGGTGGTGGTGAATGTGTTCATGGTGTGTACTACAACCAGCTGAACAGTCATGTGGACAAGCACATTCATTGTGCAAGTGTTGTCTGATGATTACTTTGGTATGAAACTTTAAGTCACAGCAGATTCCAATTGGATCTCTCTCTCTCTCTCTCTCTCTCTCTCTCTCTCTCTCTCTCTCTCTCTCTCTCTCTCTCTCTCTCTCTCTCTCTCTCTCTCTCTCTCTCTCTCTCTCTCTCTCTCTCTCTCTCTCTCTCTCTCTCTCTCTCTCTCTCATGTGTACATCTACATGTACTAGTACTGAGCACAGCTTGTTTGACATAGCGGGGGTGGAGATTGGCCAACACTTTCACATGACTCACCGGCCTCTGAATGTAGTAGTTAGCGAATACCAATGGTAGTGTACCAATCTCCTTCTTTCCTCCCCTTTTTATCATTTTTATACGTGATAAGTTGATAACAATGAGCCATTGGTGGTACTTGGTGTGGCAAGAGCTGCTGGTGCACGTCATGTAGCCTGTAACCAGTGGGCATGTGTCATGGCCTGGATGACATGCATACTACTTGTTCTCTGAAGCACATCCTGACACGCGGCGGGAGGACTCTGGGTCCAGTGCCTTCTTCCTTTTGCTTTGGTGTGAGCTACAGTAGTCTGGTGTTGTTGTTTCCTCTTGCTCAGGCTCTGGACCGGAAAGCAGCCATGGGCAGCTACACGTCTGCGGCGGCAGTGAAGTCGAGGCATACCCTTTCTGATTCGCTGGACACGTTTGGTGCATCGTTGACGCACGTCAACGCTCTCTTCAACCGCAAGTTTGGCTATAGTGCTCGAAAGGTGCCGGCACACATGCCTCACTTCATCGACAAGACCATTATGGAGCGCCTTCATGAGACGTAAGTGCCAGCAGCAGCAGAGTAGTATGCTGCAATCAGATCATGAACATGTACGGCCTATCTTCATTCTCGTTTGTCCAATGGTTTGAAGCTGACAATTAGAATGGTAACGTACGGGTGACAGCTAATTGGTAGATGTTGTTACATCATACTCTGTGTATGGGTCCTGGATTATGATTGCTGGCACAGAAGTTGTAACTTCAACTTGACACTCTACCAGATAGGACTACATGTACTTGCATGGCCTGTCACTAGCAAGACTTGCTCTTTCTTGCCAAATGCTCTGCAGTAATACCATTAATCTCACGTCACTTTCGTTTCTTTTTGCCCTTGCAGGTTTCCAGTGGACTTTGACGTCACCTCAGCTCACAAGTTCCGGCAGGGCAAAGACATGCAGTTCGCTTTCTCATACTTCTACTTTCTTCAGGAGGAAAAGCGTAACGCTTCAGCTTTCGACATTTTCGACCAGCTGGATGTGGACAAGTCCGGGTAAGCTTGTCATTGGCTTTTCAGCTGTGGTCCCGAATTTGCAAGGTTGAACAAAAGAACACCGACATCTTCGTAATGCTTAGTCTTGCAGTGAGATCGTTGAAGATGCGTTTTCTCACCACGCTGCTGGACAGCATTGATAGGGGTGTTTGTTTGCCACTCTGAGAGACTAGTCCTAACGCATTGGAGCCATGCCAGCCACTGCTCCAGGCTCTTAGCTGTTGCAACCACCTAAGGCAATGCTAACCAATCAGCATTCACCTCTCTTGGTGCACTTCTGTGTCTGCAGTGTATTTTAGCACTGTCGGTTTCCAGAATACGGCTAGAGGCAGCAGTTGTGCGACATTGAGTTGCTGCATATCCGTATGCGTGTGTGCATGTGTGCGTGCGTGTGCGTATGTGTGTGTGTTTGCATGTGTGTGTGTTTGCATGTGTGTGTGTGTGTGCGCGTGCTTGTGTGCATGTTTTTCCTGTATCATTTCTCACTGCTGTCATCTGTAGAGAACTATCCCCAGGCGAGACCAGGTCTCTGCTACTCAGACTGCACGATGTACCGCTCTCAGACAAGGTATTCTAAGTCAGACTTTCACTGTCCTTATTTTTCTTTATGGTCAATGTAACATCTTATTCTGACAATGCCAGTGCATGCATTCATTGTGATAATTATTCCTCCCCTGTCTGCTCTTACTCTTGATATTCCCATTTTCTTTCCAGGACATTTTGCAAACTCGTGAAATGTTGACAGCGTGTGCTCGTAACATGTCCTCCGTTGGCACAGCGCAAAGTGCACCTTCCCTGGTGAACTACATGAGCCATAGTGCTGCAGTGTTCACTATCTGTGGTGGCAGTCCTTGGCTAGTGTCGCCGGCACGGCTAGCTGCATTGAACACCACCGGAAACTGCAGTACTGCCAGCAACTCGTCAGCGTGGGTGAGTCGTGTTTGAAGTCGTGTCTGAAGTCATGTGTAATGTCATGTTTGAAGGTCATCTTTCCTCTAAACCTCCAATGCGTACCACACGAACAGTCCTCGGCTACACCACGCACAATGATCGTTTCCTTTGAAGGTGACATTCATGTAATTGCTGCTGCTCCTGCCAATTTGTTCTTTGTCAACACTGTCTGACAGTCATGCTCCATGAAATGTGATCTCGTGAAGAAGCTTGCACCCTGCACTGGCACAAAGCTCAGTGCTCGTAGGTCTGGGGCTGCACAGCACAACGCCCGGTGATAGTTGACTCGTCCGATTGGACTTCATTGAGCATTACTTTTAGTTCTACACCCAAAATATGCATGTATGCATTATTGGCCCATTCACGTCATCACAGTAGTGTCAACTGAGCTCAAATGTGCATGTGGTCAGTCGACACGAACGTCAGTCAGATCATCGACAATAACAAACATACATGTAGGCATTATCTCCGGCAGGTGTACTCTGTCACGGTCTACTGTGAACGGTATATACAGAACTTTACTGATATGACCCTTGTGTTGATATGGGCGAGCCATGCTGCCAGTAGCTGCTGATCAGATATTTCTGGAGATGTACGGCAGTTGCATTCGCTGACATGATCTTCTGGCTGCATTTGTGACTCAATTCTTGCATGCTCTTGGTACTGATTATGAGTTCTGTTTTCTGTAGCACAGACTTGTGTGTAACTAGCACTTCATGTAACCACTATCCTGTTCATTATCTTGTGTTCTGTTTCCTATTTTCTTCAGCCTGTTCTGACAAGCAGGCTACTGGCAAACTGCTCTGGCATCGCCAGGAAACTTGTAGCGAAAAAGGACGCGAGCAAGACAAACAAGTGAGTAGTGCATGCAAGTATTCGCATACACATGCGCACGCACGCGCGCACACACACACACACACACACACACACACACACACACACACACACACACGTACACACACACACACATACGCACATGTACGCACTCACGTACGCACACACACACTGAGTTAGGATACCTAGGACGACTGACTAGACCTTTGCTCGTTATTGACTGGTGTGTGTGTGTATGTGTGTGTGTGTGTGTGTGTGTGTGTGTGTGTGTGTGTGTGCGCGCGCACATGTGTGTGTGTGTGTGTGTGTTTGTGTGTGTGTGTGTGTGTGTGTGTGTGCGTGTGTGTGCGTGCGTGCGTGCGTGTTTGTGTGTGTGTGTGTGTGTGTGTGTGTGTGTATGTGTGTGTGTGTGTGTGTGTGTGTGTGCGCGTGTGTGTTTGTACGTCCTGGTGCTTGTGGTCAACGCATATTGTTCTGGCCAGGTTTGAGAAGGGTGATAGTGAAGACGTTCATTTCATGATGATCCGCTCTAATGTCAGCAAGGTTAGCAGATACAGAGTGGCATGTGTGTACTTGCACAGAAGTAGAGAGTGCAGTAAAATGATTGTCATACTCTGTATGTTTGTGCCTATGTGTGCTTTTGCAAGTGTGCCTGTATCCATTCGTCTGTCTGTCTGTCTCTCAGTCTGTCTGTCTGTCTGTCTGTATCTCTGTCTGTTGGTATGTCTGTCTATCTGTCTGTCTGTCTTTCTTTCTGTCTCTCTGTTTGTCTCTCTCTCTCTCTCTCTCCCTCTCTCTCTCTCTCTCTCTCTCTCTCTCTCTCTCTCTCTCTCTGTGTCTCTCTCTGTCTGTCTCTCTGTCTATCTCTCTGTCCCTCTGTCTGAATCACTAAATCAAGGGCAATGTATGACCTCGTCGTGTGACAACTCTCTGAGCTTTCTTTCTGTGCTCCTGATACCAGGCTTTGCAGCAATTGGATGAAGTTTTGCAGTCCAGAAAGTGAGTATGTCCCACTGGAACATCTGTACACTGCTTTGGATTTTACTTTCATTTCAGTACAATCCTGATAATTCGAACCCAAAATTGCCAAGGAAGACGTCTAATTCATTATCCGGACATTTTAATTATCCATACAAGTGCCCACAACACAATGTGTACCAGGCAGTATGTCAAAATGCTCACTTTGTCACATAGATTGCGCAATATGCACTATAGACACAAATTCCGTGCACTCTGGACTGGTCAGTGCAGTGGTCAGTGCAGTGGTCAGTGCAGTGGTCAGTGCAGTGGTCAGTGCAGTGGTCAGTGCAGTGGTCAGTGCACTGGTCAGTGCAGTGGTCAGTGCAGTGGTCAGTGCAGTCTGCTTGCACACACTGAACTGACTTGTACAGTATAGTGTCTACGGTGAACTTCGAATTATGCCGTGCTAACTTCGAATTATCAGCATGAATCCCACACATTTTCTTTGTAAGTGGGGTTCGTGGGAGTTCCTATCAGGTGTACTTGCTCAGTTTGAGGGTTCGAACTATCAGACAGACAGACAGACAGACACTGTTATGGGAGTATGTCCAAGTGTGTTTTTGACATGGTCGAATAGAAACGGTCATAGCCGTACGATAGTATGATGTTAGAGCCATTACTGGCATTAGTTCAGCATGCGCAACACTTGACTGTGTCCAGGAAGTAGAAATACATACCTTTAACCCTCATCCGACCGTCAAAGTGGACAAATTCTCAGTCCCAGCAAGAGACGCCGCGACTCACTTTGTTGATAACTTTAGTTTCCCTTGGGTGACATTGGCAAACTTGGGCTTTTTGGAAAGCTTGAGCCACGAAGAGTTCTCTAGAAACAGTTTCTAGCCTTCATTTGTAAGAGGAACAAAATCCATCTCCAATTCCATTTTTGAAGAGAAGTACGGCTCATCGACATGTGGACTATTTGTAGTCTTATTTAAAGTTATTTTGTATTTTCATGCTAACACATTTTGAATATACCATCAGGGAAGCCTCCAGGCAAAGCTTTCCCCTTTACGATACATGTATAGTTGCGCTCACTGATACCTGACCCAATGTGCAAAGCTGGCGCCCTCAACTTCCACGTCCCTGGACGCCCTGGACGTGGAACGAATACGGCTGCACGTGCACATGTACACATACAATGATGTAATCGGAACTGTTCCAGGGCGCCAGCTTTGCACTTGGGTCAGATTTCGGTGAGCGCAACTGTACATGTGTGTATGACGTATGTAGGTGTTGTGCTTGTGTTTGTATGTTCATTTAGTGTGCCTGGAACTTGTGTTTGTGCCACCAGGAAATTCTTGTGTATGAATGACAACTTGGATCATCGCAGCCGCGAGGCTCTTCAGGTAGGATTGCTGTTGCCGGTGTGTCCACCATTGTGTGATGTGTACACGCACGCATTGTGTGTGTGTATGCGTGTGTGCATGCCTGCTGCCTTGCACATGTACATCATCATCATGCATGTCCAGTACTGTCAATGGCAAACATGCGTTGATGTAATGTCGTTTTTTGTTTCAATTTTGTCTGGTGCCTTATACCAGGTGAAACATTTGCTGAAGGACTTTTATCAGACATTGTTTCCCGCCCGGTCACAGTTTGAACTTCCAGAAGGTCAGCAGAACCGCGTTCTGTATGCGCAGCGCGTCAGAGAGTGGTAAGTCAATGGTTGACAATACGCACGTACATGTATACGGTATAAGTACAAAGTTTCGTTTTGGAATTAACTTTCACTATATTCGTTAGGGGGCAGGAAAAACTAAAGTTTTTTGTTCTGAATGTTCGGGGTCACAGACCTCGACCAAAAACGAAATTTAGTACGTAACGAACCTGCTGGTGGAGTGATGTAACGAAAGATTTGTACTTATACAGTACCCTGTGTTTGATGTGCGCGTGTGTCCAGTACGTATATGACAGTGTGTCCAGTATGTATATGACAGTGTGTCCAGTATGTATATGACAGTTGTAGCGATGGGCATGCTATCGTGAGTACACGTGCTCAAAATGTGAATCTGAAGTTTACCCCGTACTATACAATACCGTCACGCGGTCATATCTGAGTAGTTAGTTCTTGCAAGTCCCATAAAACTGGCCTGATCCCTTTGCAGCGGCAATTCTGTAGGTGAGCAACTTGCTGTGCTCCTTTTCGTACTGTATCTGTCACAGGCACACCTCATGTACATTATACCTCATATTTTCTTGTATCTCATCTTGATAGTATCCACCCCAGTCACAAAGTCGCGATTGTCTGCGTAAGGTAATAGATCTACAACTGGCTGGCTTCCTCTCCTATCTGATTTTTCAATGATCTACTCGTACGTGTGCCACGTGATCCTGTTCGGTTAGGTGTAGATTAAGTGTTTGTGCTTCCTGGCTTGCTTTTTCTTCATGTACGAAAATGTGCGTGCACGTACATGTACATGTACATCCCTTGGATGTGCGATTGCCTGATGTCCCTGTCCATCTGTTTGTGTATGTGCTATGCTTTGTTTTCTGTGATGAATGTGTTTGAATGCAGGCACACAGACATCGGGCTAGTCGGCAATCTGGTTCTCAGCTTGTTTGTGTTCCCCACGCTACTCCTGCTCCTGTGGAGTGTAAGTCATGGAGTGTCTCTTCCTGCCGTCTGTGATTCTGTGGTTCTGTCGGTCCTTTGTATGCGGCTGTTGCCGCTAGCGTTCTTGCGTGCGCTGTGAAACAAAATAGATCAAGGGTGGAGTCTTTAGACACTCCCCTGCTGCTCATAACGTGGTCCAGTCCGCTACATGTGCGAAACCACTTGCTGCTCCCGACCTGAAAGGTATAACGGAGTAAATGTCATTTTTCAAGCTGTCACTTGCAGTGATGCTCCTGGTACGGACTCAGTAGGAATATTATTGGGCGCACGTGGTTTGTTATGCCAAACATAGGTCTTATTGCAGACACCAGATTGATCCCAGCATTATACTGCATGCACTGCCACGTGTAGCACGAAAGCAAGAGCCTGTACTTCTCAAGGAGAGAGAGAGAGAGAGAGCTTTGTATGATGTGATGCTTGTGAGTTATGATGCCCTACACTGCACTCCTCTTCGCTGTGTTGCAGGTGAAAAGCGAGCTACTGAATTGGCAGTCAGCCACAGTATCTTGATGTGCATTGTGTCAAGGGAAGCTGCCACACGTGCCAGATATTGGACAGCTAGCGTGTGACCTGTTCCGACCGTGCATGCTGTTTGCACGTTTAGCTAGTAGTGGTAAACCACACAAACTGGTCAGGTTGAGTAGCCCTCCGTTGCTGCTCACCTTTCCAATGCAGCCGACCACACAACATATTCAGGTAGTGTAGCTTCCACTGCCATCACACATCTTCCAGTGCAGCCGTCCACGCAGCAGGGGCATGTTGAGTAGCCCCGCTGCCACACATCTTCCAGTGCAGCCGTCAACGCAGCATGGACATGTTGAGTAGCCCCACTGCCACACATCTTGCAGTGCAGCAATCAACGCAACATGGATATGTTGAGTAGCCCCACTGCCACACGTTTTCCAGTGCAGCCGTCCTCGCAAGACACATTCCAGTACTGGTTTAATTTTCTGTTTTTGTTGTTGTTGGATCATGTAAGTTGAATGCATGCTAATTTATTGGGAGAAATATACCAAAAGAGCTCTGCTCTCCCGTAATAGATCATGTGGACACATGCGTAACCATGACATTTATTTCCTCTCTCTTCTCCGGGCAATTCTGCCTCTCTTCATCTTCTTCTTTCCCTCTTTGTCTTATCAAGACTATTAAACATTATTTTAATGATTCTGCCTCCCCTTTTCTTTCTTACAAGTCGGTCACTCTTTCTTGAGGGACTCTGCATTGGAGTGTCTTGCGCTGGTTCGCAAGGGCGTTTCTTCACATTCTCGTTATTTATGGCTCATGCCATCGTGGCATGAAGAGAAGTCTTGAATTCTTCACTCAGGTCTTCCGTGTGCTGTGTGGGTGGGTGCGTGTGTGTACTGGTGACAGGCATGCATTATCAGTGGCACTACTGCACGTAACATTCTCTGCGTGCATAGACTAGTAATGATACTAGCGGTGGGAATAGCCCACTGTGTAACATGCCCGAAGCACCCGCATGGAGACCTTCACTTGAAGCCTAGAGAGGCAGGCTGGTTGAGCATACTGATATGCCACTCCTGGACTTGTTGAGAGTCATTCCGTGTCTTGTATGTATGAAGAGAGCAGTGGTGTAGTCGTCCATATTTCTGTGTGTGTGTGTGTGTGTGTGTGTGTGTGTGTGTGTGTGTGTGTGTGTGTGTGTGTGTGTGTGTGTGTGTGTTAAACTTTTTTTGTCTGGCTGCTTGTAACGGTGCACACTTTTGTTTCTGAGAAACAACATAACATCCATAGTTACAGGATGTTATGTTGTTTCTCAGAAACAAAAGTGTGCACCGTTACAAGCAGGCGGACAATGTTCGTTGATCCCTTATGACCTAGCGGTAAGCACGAGCGGTGATTGTGTAACATATCGAAAAGAAACAAAACATGGCCTATAGCGGAGCTGGCTTTAACCAGGCCAGTCGTCTGTATTGCTGGCACAAAGTCCAAACTCTGTGTCAAGTAAGCTCGTAGACAAATGCAGTACATAGTCATGTCCTTGCTGTTTTTTCTTCTTACATGCATGGACTACAGTTCCATTGTGAAGTAAATTCAAACAATCAACTCCTTTTTGCTTCCTTTTCTTGGCACTTGTTACACTTTGAGCTGTCGGATACGTGGGCCTGAGGTTTGCTTGTTCTTATCTGGCATCTGGTTCTGCAAGAATATCATTCAGTAGGCTATCGACTAGAAGTTTTGTTTGGAAGGATACTTGGCCCTTGCTTGTCTCCACCAGTGTTATCTTTTTTCCAGCGTTTTCATTGGCATTGCCGGAAAGGCGTAGTCGCCGCCGCCGCTCTTCATGCTTTTGCCGGGCGATGCCATACAGTGGTTTGGAAGCCGGGGGAGCACGGTTGCCCGCCTGCCCTCGAGTCTGGACATGGCTAGTCCCTGGACTGGCTGTCTTCTTGTCACGTCCCGGCCTGGCCTGTTGTGGTTGTGTTTCCTTCCTGTCCAGTTTACCGACAGCACTGGTGTCCTTGCCGCCGTCGCGGGGTTTAGTTTGCCCAATCAGCATACAGGCATGTCCGCCAGTCTTGTCATTTTCGTCGCTACAGTGGTAGTGCTTGCCATTAGCCGCTATGTACGTGTTGAACTCGGCCTGAGGTATATCAACAACGTTGTCTGCCCCTTCAACGGTGCCCTGCACTGCCAGAGTGTTGTCGGTGTCTCTGCTTACTTGCTGCTGTTGGCTGTTGGCTGCAAGCGGCAGCAAATCACTGGCTTGCTGTTGGCTCTGACCGCTCAGCTCATCATCTATGTCTGACTTCTGTGAAGCAAGAGCTGCCACAGCTGCCTCTGTTGTTATCGACTCGCTCAATAATGTGAGAAGTGACTGGATATCCGGCAGCTTGGTTTTTTTGAAGGCCGACTGAACATGACCAAGTAAATCTGCGGTGAGGGCTTCAAGGTCAGCGACTTCATTCAGGCGTGGTAAATCCCCTTGGCCCTTGTGCTTCAGCTCGGTTTGGGTGCCAGTTGGCTGCAATGAGTGTTGGACACCGTCAGCCTCCCGTTGCTTTGCAGTCACTATCTGATGAAAGAATTCGTTTGCTCTCCGCTGTGACTTGGGTGTGCTGATAGTCTCAGTAACATTTGACGCCGATGAATGCGTTGTTGTAGACACTGCACGATGGGGAACGCTGCCTCCCTCTCTCTGTTGTTTTGCGCCTCCTATGATGTGGCGGCCTGCTAGCAAGTCCTGTAGCGACATCGTCAGTAAGTGCTGTGGCCTTGGAATAAACTTCAGGGCCGTTCTCGGATCTCTCAGTCTGAAGGCAAAAGGATGAATGCGGTGCTCTTCCGGCTGAATCTCATCACGCAAGCCGGTCATCATTTCAGCCCATTGCCCCTTTTCCGGCACTGGTGGGTCATCCACCTTGGTAGCAGACCTTTCCAGCACTGGTTCTGATATGCTGCTTCTTTCCTGATCAGCTGAAGCATTTAGCCAGTTTTCCCGTGTAGTAAGCAGACTGCAGGTTGGGATACACTTCATGGGCACATTGCTGGGCTGCCGGCGCAGCATGCTATTGCTTGCTCCTTGGCCATGTGAGTATCCATTCAGCACTGTATCTTGATAGGGTGATGGTAGCTGAGAAGGTTGGCTACTGGCAACCTTCGCAGAGCCAGCTGACTGTTCTGAAGGTGCGGGCAGTGTTGACCGCATTCCAGCAGCAGAGGGTGTCAACAGTTGCAGTGACAGTGTTGATGATAATGAGGATGATGATGATGATGATGATGATGATGATGATGATGATGATGACAACGACGACAACAACGATGATTCTGATGATTCTGATGAGGAAGACATTGGTGACATGGACGACTCTGATAAAGTTAGTGTTGACTCTGATGAAGATGATGCGTTTAACATTGTCCAAATAAAAAACTGTTGCCTATCCAGGTGTGTTGGTGTCAAGAATGGTCCGTGCCTGGTCGCTGGTGCAGATGAAGGTGATGATAATGAATATGACAACAATGAATCTGACATTGTTGGAGCTGCCGTTGTTTGTTTTCGTTGTGACAGTATTCCTGGCGATATGCTTGGTATCTTTGGTAATGGTGTTCGGGGTGTCGGCGGCAGGGACATGGATGATTCTGGCGATGTGCCACTCACGGAAACACTGCTTGGCTTGGCTGCAGCTTGGATATGTTCATCGTGTAGCTGCTGGTAGAACTGCCTTGTCTTTGTTACCCACGCTGGTGTTGGTGATTGTGATGAAGAATGCAATGACTCCACAGGCGAGCTTAAACCAATAGGTGAATGTCCGCTAGGTGGCATGCCCGAAGGTGACTGTTGTGGGGATTGCAACAAGGACTTCAGTGGAGACAACGATCGTGTAGACAGGTGTGGTGCCTGCAGTTGAGATTCCTGGCTAACAACTTTCGGAATGTGCAGCTCTTTTCGTCCACCGCTACCTGGCCGAGGTGGCGATGCCATTGCACTGGGTTGGAAAGATGTGAATCTGAGCGGTGGGAATGTCCGCTGTGCTCGTTGCTCCGGTGCAGGTGTATGTGACGTGAATAACGGTGTTGATGCGACTGAACTAACCTCTGATACATCACTCTCCGAGTATGGGTTGCCGGGCATCTCAAGTCCCAAAAGACGTCTCTCCTCGGCTATTTCTGCATCCAGATAGAACTGCCTCACTTTCGTCACCCATACCAAAATGGCTTCAGCTTGTTGTTCGACCTCGCTGGTATTCATCGGTGCTGGAATGCTTTCAGCAATCGCAGGGAGTTTCACGTCTTCTTCGTCACTGAACTCAGCTCCTGCTTCATCACTGCACTCAGCTGCTGCTGGTTTCGCAAAACTTGCGTGGTCTTCTTGTTCTCGTTTCTTTTTCTCCTCCTCTCTTCGTAGACGATCCTTCACTTTATCAAAGTATGTGCGAACAATTACTTTGGCTTTCGGTTTGGGCCTGTTCTGCAGTGCGAGATAATGGCTCAGTGCTATTGGTTTTTTCTCGCCGGGCAGCCTTGTAGGTTTGCAGCTTGGATTGGCTATGTAGATTTGGCCGTGTGATCCCGACCACCAGGCCTTGCAGCCGGAGCTGAACTGCTGGTGTGCAAGTCGTTTCTCCACCAGGTGCGCGACGATCATTTGATGCAGCGCGTCGACTGGTTTTGCCGGCACGGCCGTGTGGCACACTGGCTTGCTGCTGATGGCCCACTCTACAAAGACGAGGCTGCGGTGGCATGCCGCTTTGCCGTGCAGAAGTGCCAGGTGGCTGGGCCGCCGCCAGCCTGAGTCCTGCACCTGCACATCACTGCCCTTCTCTATCAGATAGCACATGCACTTCCAGCGGCCATGCCTCGCGGCGCAGTGAAGTGGCGACCTTCCAAACAGTGTGATCTGACGCAAGCACAGCGGGAATTCCAGTACCATGTTGAGTCGAATGAAGATGTCAAAGTGCTCGAACAGCGCCACTACTATTTGCAAATGACCAGCGTAACAGGCCATGTACACTGCTACCATCACACGCTTCTGAGTCCAACGGTTGGTTGTAAACTGCGGTGATACTTCCGTCAGTAGGTCCCTGAGATACTCTATTCTTCCTTTTAGCGACAGGTCTGCCAATCTCCTCCAGTTTGGATGTGGTTCAATCAACACTTCACAGCCGTCGTACAAGTACGCTGCGAGTTGAGGGTCGCTGATTCTTTTCTCAAGGATGCGTGTGTCAGCGCAGTTGTGACCAGACGTCTTGGACGTGAAGATCAGCATGTAGACGACGGAACAGATGCCATACTGATCCTCGATGGCCTCACGCAGTGATTGCACAGTTCCGCTCACTGGATGGCGGGGCAGTGCTGCACTCTTCGACAGCGTCAGCGGGCTGCGCAGATGAATCATGATATACCCCTCTTCGTTTGCTGTTGCTCGCTTAGGACCACCGCGTACCTTGCTCGCAGCGCTGGATGGCGTGTTTCCGCGTGACTGCCAGATCTCCGACTGGGGAGCTTCATCAATCAGATACCCCTTGACTGAGTCATCGACTAATACACCAGGCCCATAGGCAGTTCTTGGTTCCCTGCCTTTCATCAGACTGTACAGTGGGAGCTTAGTCGGCACAGCTTTTGCTTTTGCTGACATCCATTTGTTATAGTCCCCTTTCTCGAATGTAAGGCCGTCAGCTGCCGCAGATCCGCCTTCAGCACCCTGTGCTTGTGTTTTGTAAACCGGCTTACCACCACCAGCGCCAGCCCGTGGGTTGTGCCTGCGTGCTGCCGATTGATCAGTGTTCTTGCATGGTGCATTTCCCGCTGAAGAGCGATCAACTAAATCCGAAGTATGCTGGAACGGAGGGGGCGATGCAGCGCTCCGTTTCTGTTTTGCCTGGCCTCTTCCATGCGTGTTTCCGCTTCCTGGTTCTCTACAGGGCTGTGGCTGACCGAGAACATCTTTCAGACATTTGCTAAAGTACTGATGAGCAGCACTGCCCGGGGAGACTGACTTCATCGCGTTCCCCTTCGCTTGTTCCTTCCCTTCTTCATTAGCCTCCGGCTCGTCGCTGACGGGCGATTCCGTCATGTCAACTGGACATACCGTCATACGTCCAGCTGGCCTGCTCCGTCTTCCATGGCATACGTCCAGCTGGCCTGCTCCGTCTTCCATGGCTCAGTTCTTCGTACGCAAACCATAGCAATTCCGCGGCGCCAGCAGGCGGCTGACCACGCCAGGGCAACAAATAGTTTAGCGAAAAGTGAACGTGGAATCTAAAGCAAGAAACAGCTCTCCAGCTGCAGTGCTAGCTCTACGACTACGAGCGTGAAACTCAAGCGGCTAGCAGGGCTGCAGAGCAAGCGGTTAGCGTATCCTCTGCCTCCGGGGCCAATGATTGCGAGTTCTCAACATGTAATGCATCTGGTACGAGTACAGATATTCGACGACTTACTCGCAAAATTGTGCATACTTGACCGTTTCAAAGAGTTGAAAGAAGCATGAGTTTTACTGATGAAGCGCTACGTTGTCGGCCGGGATCGATGGTCACCAAAGGCAAGGCACGGGTCAGATCATCGCTGTGGACGTAGTGTGGTCGTGTGGAGGCGAGCAGACTGCCAAGTGCCAGAGATACCTTGGCTTTGGATACCATTACTAGGCATTACCAGTAGATCTACACCAGGTAGACTACACTGTCACGAGTAAGTAAATGGATCCCCCCCCCCCACCTCCTGGCCCCAAAGGTCCCTGGTTACTTGAAGCAAGCCAGCGCTAGTGTGAATCATACTGAATGTTTGAAGCCGTTGGCGACTGTCTGCAGATTGGACTGACTGTGGTCCAGTGTGGAGGCACTTCATCATGTCAACCGCTACCATGGCTACGCGAAGTACAATATTTTTTGTAGATCACCATGAATCACTGCATCATGTGAGTCAGGCCCATGCCATAGACAGGCATAGTCCAACTGCAGAGAAAGCACTCACAACAACTCGGCGGTCTTTTTGACTTTCGGTTGTTTTGAAACGACAAACATCGTTGTGTAGGGGAGGTCCACCTACATCACGCAGACTCGTACTCCCGGGATCTCCGAACTGGCTGAGTCTTTTTGCCCGAATCTGCGGTGTGCGACTGACCTGAGCAGAGCTGCAGTGAGCGCTAAGTCCATCCGAATACCGATACACAGCGTAGTTGTCTGAAATAATTGTAAAGTCGAGAGCTAGCAGACGTCGGGTAGAGCGGATGAATCAAAACTTTCGAGAACGCAATTCATGATTGGTGGCTGCACTGCATGCGTGCAAGGATTGGTTTGCCAAGGCGAAGCAAGGGTGGTGGCTGTACTGCTTGCGTCCAAGGATTGGTTTGCCAAGGCGAAGCAAGGGTGGTGGCTGTACTACTTGCGTGCAAGGATTGGTTTGCCAAGGCGAAGCAAGGGGCAGGGGAGCAGCCTGACCTGCCGTAGGAGTGGATCGGTTGGTTGTAGAAGATTGTAACTGAACCGGGCTGGCCTTGACTGGTAAGATGATATCATCACCTTCGGATAGTATTCACCATTACCTCAGAGCAGCGTAGTCATTCGCCTCATTCATTACCGTAGAATCCCGCGGATAAGCCCATGGGCTTATCTGTTTCACAAGGACATTTCGGTGGGCTTATACGAGAACATGGGCTTATACGCGGACATGGGCTTATACGCCGACACCAAGTTGTGTATCAAGGAAGTGAGAAGTATGTATGTATGTATGTATAACTCATAATCACATGGTGATCGTAGAGGCATTAATCAGCGAGAGAATTGTGAATGATGTCTCTGAATCCATCTCTATCGTGTGCTGCATGAGAGAGAGCATGCAAGGGAAGACCCGTCCAACTTTTAATGTTAGAAATCCATGATGTTGCGGGCCTTCCTCTCGGTCGAGATCCAGGAGTTGATCCTTGCAGGAAGGGCTTGGAGAAAACGTCATGTCTCGTAACATGGCCAAACCACATCAACTTAAATTTCTTGACTTCGTTCGCTAGCCGCATCCTTGCTCCGATGATGTCATTGATTTCTTCCAGGATAGATTGGTTGGTACGCCGGTCGTGGTATGTTACTCCTAAGAGTCGGCGGAAGCATTTCATCTCGAAGGATGAAATTCTTCTCATTGATGAGGCAGATAGTGTCCAAGATTGGCATCCGTATAAAACAGTCGCTAGCACAATAGACCTAACAAAACGAAATTTAGTAGGCAAAGAAAGTGATGGCGATTTCCAAATGAATTGAAGCTCAATGATCTTTTGCTTCCCTAGTGCTAAGCGTCTTCTTATCTCCACATCGGACTTGCCATCCGACGTGATTACGGCACCTAAGTATTTAAACTGGGATACCTCTTCTATTCGCTCATTGCCTACTTGAATGCACCCCAGATCACCACCGCCCTCCGGCGCTGCCATTGACTTGGTCTTGGAAGCATTGATCTGCAATTGAGAGGGAGCCGCTTTGGTTCTGCTGCGGCACAGGAAGAGTATCGTGTGGCGAATCGGGAGACCAAGCGGTTAATCCGACGAGACAAAGAGAATTGGCTACAAAATAAATGCAAGTCAATTGAAGATGACATCGCCAACCACAACCCCCACGGAGCATACCAAACTCTGAAGAGTCTATGCAGCAAGAAATCAGGATCAGCAATGCAGGTGATCAAAGCAGCAGACGGATCCACTTTAACGAAAAAGGAAGAAGTAGCTCAGCGGTGGTGTGAGTACGGTGCATCTTTGTACAACGTGGACCTGAACGTAGATGATAAAGTCCTTGACGCAATCGTTACTCCAGCCATATCAGATAATGCCAACAACAATCCCATTCTGAGGACCGAAGTCGAATACGCTATCAACTCCCTCAAGAACAACAAATCAGCGGGGTTTGATAACATTCCTGGCGAGCTTTTGCGACATGGTGGAGATACGTTGGTGGCTGTTATGCACAGGATTTGTGACCTCGTATGGACGAATGGTAGATGGCCAACATCATGGACAAGGTCCATTCTTGTTCCCATCCCTAAGTCTGGAGACCTTCGGCAGTGCCAAAACTACAGGACAGTGAGCCTCATCAGTCATCCGAGCAAAGTGCTACTGAGGATCTTGCTGAAGCGCCTGCAGCCGCAAGTGGAGGGTTTGCTGGCGGACGAGCAAGCAGGGTTCCGGAAGGGAAGAAGCACAGTGGAGCAAATCTTCAACCTCAGAATGTTAATTGAAAAGTACCGTGACCATCAGCAGGCTGTGTATCATTGCTTCATCGATTTCCGTAAGGCCTTTGATAGGGTTTGGCACAAAGCGCTATTCAAGATCATGAGAGCGCATGGCATCGAAGCAAGAATTGTGGACCTGATTGAAGCGCTTTACGCTACTACTGAAGCTGCCATCGTTGTTGGATCCACTATCACCGACTGGTTCACCACGTCAGTGGGTGTCAGGCAGGGCTGTTTACTCTCGCCTTGTCTGTTCAACGTATTCCTGGAGTACATCATGTCTGACGCTTTGGAGGAGTTTGATGGGTCAGTATGTATCGGCGGCATGTGCGTGACCAACCTACGTTTTGCGGATGATATAGATCTAATCGCATCGTCTGTGGAGGAGCTGATGGACCTGACCGAGCACGTGGATACGAGTGCAACAAGACTAGGCATGCAGATCAATGCTTCCAAGACCACTGTGTAAACAAAAACAACCGATGATTGTGCTGAAATGTACGGAAAAAACTATGTGCACGTACTATGTACATGGTATGGCCAAGAGTCCATAATTTATGGACTCTCGGTATGACCTAGGCCCATGGGCTTGTACGATGAAGCTTTGTGATGTTCGAACAAACCCTGGGCTTATGCGCGGGCATGGGCTTATCCGCGGGATTCTACGGTATTGGCAAGACTTAACTGCATAAATGTTCACATATTAGTTCAATCATTCACACGCATGAACAGCGCATCTACAATTGTGGCCGAAGAAATCCGACCCGTGAGCTGAAAGCAGCGCCAACGCTAATGTGGCCCCTGCGGCCCTCGGACAGTTTTTTCCGACCTTGCATGATGTATCTCAGTGAAATGGAAATGTGGCGCTGCTTTCGACTCGCGGGCCGGGTTTCTTTGTCCACGCCGACTGTACAAGACTGGTCTACGGAATCCGAAATTATCCTGGGCTACGTCACAAAAGTCCTGCACTAGCAATGACACACAAGCGCTGCAAAGGAAAAAGTGCCAGTGCACCGGCACTAGGTAGCATGCTTGATGCCATAGCTGCACTAGTCATGGCTGCAGCAGCCTCTGTGGATGCACTCCATCCCCTGAATGGTTCCCTGACAGAAGCCCAGGCAATGTACAGTAGGTTTAGAGACTACTGCAGTACTGGTGATCATGAGGTTGATAGCAGTGGACTGATCATGAGGTTGATAGCAGTGGACTGATCATGAGGTTGATAGCAGTGAACTGATCATGAGGTTGATAGCAGTGGACTGATCATGAGGTTGATAGCAGTGGACTGATCATGAGGTTGATAGCAGTGGACTGATCATGAGGTTGATAGCAGTGGACTGATCATGAGGTTGATAGCAATGGACTGATCATGAGGTTGATAGCAGTGGACTGATCATGAGGTTGATAGCAGTGGACTGATCATGAGGTTGATAGCAGTGGACTGATCATGAGGTTGATAGCAGTGAACTGATCATGAGGTTGATAGCAGTGGACTGATCATGAGGTTGATAGCAGTGAACTGATCATGAGGTTGATAGCAGTGGACTGATCATGAGGTTGATAGCAGTGGACTGATCATGTGGTTGATAGCAGTGGACTGATCATGAGGTTGATAGCAATGGACTGATCATGAGGTTGATAGCAATGGACTGATCATGAGGTTGATAGCAATGGACTGATCATGAGGTTGATAGCAATGGACTGATCATGAGGTTGATAGCAATGGACTGATCATGAGGTTGATAGCAATGGACTGATCATGAGGTTGATAGCAATGGACTGATCATGAGGTTGATAGCAGTGGACTGATCATGAGGTTGATAGCAATGGACTGATCATGAGGTTGATAGCAATGGACTGATCATGAGGTTGATAGCAATGGACTGATCATGAGGTTGATAGCAATGGACTGATCATGTGGTTGATAGCAATGGACTGATCATGAGGTTGATAGCAGATCACGTGCAGACCAAGCATTGGACTACTACAGTAAGCATGGCCCAATGATGTGACTGATGTCAATACTGATCTAGGCTCCGCATCATTTCCAAACATGTCGCAGTTTGCATCTTAACCACCGCAGTTGGTTTCATGTTTTTATGCGGACCCTACTGCCCCCCCCCCCCCCCCCCCCTCTCCACATACGTACGTAGCAAGATCTCCCCCCCCCCCCCCCCCCACACACACACGCATGTAGCAAGTTTTGGATCTCCTTTTTATTGGCGCATTCAAGTGTCGTGTGGTATGTTATCAGTGGCACGTGACGTGGTGCTTGGTATGGTAGCCAGTATAATACGTACATGTACTGGGTTTGCTTTGGCATCACTTCACAGTCACCATTCTCCGCCGTATGACTAACTTACTGCAGCGAGCTGGGAGCAATGGCGTCGGAAATCCGTCTCATGGAGCCACGCTTGCTCTACAACCTGATGAATAGGGTAAGTGTGTGTTTTGAAGAAAGTAGCAGATGACTTGCAACTGGTAATGGCTGGGGAGGCATGCTGTCCAATGCAGTTTGGAAGAGGTGTAGAAGCAAGAGTATTATGTTATGGCTGTCAATATCATCACCTTGGCGGGAATGTCGCTGACTGGTCATTTAGGAGACAGTGGCACTGGCCTCGTTGTAATGTAACTTAAGTCGTGAGTGTGTTGTCTGATCGGTAGCATGAGCTTGTGAGTTCGTTTCTCACTTGATCCTAACCTAGTATCATCCATGTTTATTTTTAGCCAACACAGTCTTTCTGAGAGCTAACACTAGCAGGCATACCATGGCATACAAGCTCACTATTTCCCATGGCATCTGGGCGCTGCTGGCATATCTATCCCCTCAGGATGCTCCGGTACATGCATGTGGTAATCCATTTCTTTACGTATATCCTAAAATAGAAAGCCAGCAGTAGTAAAGAAAACGCTGCCCGGACACTGCCTCAAGCTTGAATTACATTTTTTTAAGTATACCCGGGGTGGCTGCGTCGGAGCTGGATGGACTGTACAATTTTTCTAATTTTTGCTGTCTGCTTTACATGCTCATCTGCAGGTGCAGGGTGCCGAACGTAGACCAGTGTACATGCAACATAACTTCCTGGTTATCCTAGGTAACTACACATACCTCCTACTGTCTTATTGATAATCTGACAATCTGGGTCACTGTTAGTGGTGTGTTTGTGGGGGGGGGGGGTATGCTTTTGCAAGTTTGTATCAGTGTGTGCATACATGCATGTGTGTGTAGATTTGTTGTTGTTGGCGATGTAGCGTTTATAAGTTGTGGATGAATGGCATCACAAAGCTGCACTGCTCTGCACCGTCAGACTTAATGCACATGTACGTTTGAAATCCGACCCAAAGTGCATATCTGGTGGCCTGGACTTGCTGCACACCCATGATACCCTGGGAGTGTTGCAAGTGGTTCCGAACTCCAGGTGTCAATGCGAGCATTTTGACATACATGGTGTATTATGGGCACAGGTTTGGATAATTAAAAATGTCCGGTTAATTGCAAAAAATCCCTGGCATTTCAGGTTTCAAATCATCAGGATACCACCTGTACAACACACGTAGCCTGTGCCTCCAACACTATGATTGTCTCCTATGTGCGTAACCAGTATTATGTGTCCTACATTTATACTTGAGAGACAATGGTCACATTTACCTTTGCTGTAGATGCGAGGGATAGCAGTGCAAAGTACGAAAAGCATCACATCCGTGGAGCAATCAAACCCAAAAATGTAAGTTTTGTCGTTAAGATTAGGGTCATAACAGGACACTGCCACTGTTACAGCACGTGGATGTGTTTGTGTGTGTGTGTGTGTGTGTGTGTGTGTGTGTGTGTGTGTGTGTGTGTGTGTGTGTGTGTGTGTCCCATGAACATGTGCAGCTTGTTGTTATTGATGTTTCTGGTATGGTCCATGGTCTTGTGTTAAAACAAGTGGAGGGTAAGTCAGTACATGATCTGCTTGCAGAGTGGCAGAGTATTGATTGGATACCTGTGCACAAATCAGCGGCTCTGGTCTGCCTCTTTCTTCTCGTTGCACTGCATGCGGTCATGGCAGGGCATTGAGGTGCCACAGACTATCAACGTGGCCAGCATTCGCTACTGTGTGGTGTACGACAGCGAGTCAACCACCATCCTTCCTAATAGTGAGTCCCACATACTCTCTCTCTCTCTCTCTCTCTCTCTCTCTCTCTCACACACACACAAACACACACACACACACACACACACACACACACATACACACACACACACACACGCACCATGCACATAATTATGCATACATGACGGAACAGCATACAGTTACGTTTTGCGATCAAGTAGGTCCTGGCAATGGAAAACACTGGCGTACAGAGAAAGGGCATACTATCATGCCGAGTTATGTTTTTGGTCTTGGCCACTGCACTACAGGCCCAAATACGATTGATACGAACCAGAGAGTCACTATGTACCACCCGGAAGTGTTCTCTTAACCATAGGCCGGACCTCCAGGCTCAATCTGTACATGGAGCAACACTGTGACGGGAAAAGGGTATGGCGTAATTGGTCCATGCAGCCACCACGGTGGCACAGCTTGACATTCGTGATTTTGTGTTCTATCTTGCTACTGCAGCGGACGCATACGCCCTTGCCGAGGAGCTGGCCAAGGTCCGCGGTGATCCTGTGTACATTCTAAAAGGTACTTGCATGTGCGTTGGCGGTGCTTTAAAAGTGAAACAGTGACCCTGCCGATACTGGGTAACAGCCTTCGGCATGAGATATGTCACGGGATATTGCGTGGTATCACACTGACGTTAGCCACTGCTCCTCACTATAATTACATTGTACCGTATTGTACCGTCAATCTGCAGAAAATGGAAAACTAGCTGTTTCGGCCTCCTTAGGTCTCACAAGCCGAGCTCAGAGTGTTTTGTGTTGAGATTAAGGTACCGTAAAGTCGCGGATAAAAGCCGGGTTTGCATACAAGCACATCGTGGATAGAAGCCTGGAAATCAAACGGGTCAAATGCATTATAAGCCTGTCGCGCGTAGAAGCCTGGCTTCTATGCAAGCGCGGATCGGGTAGGTCAATAATGCGCTATGTACAGTGCATAGTAAAACTGCCGCCATACCGGTAGCCAGTGGTAGACCTACGCGTGTCGCGCGTAGAAGCCTGGCTTCTATGCAAGCCCGGATCGGCCGATGTGCATACAAGCCTGGCAAAAATATCAGTGGTGCATATAAGCATGGTTTGCATTCAAGCCTGGTTTGCATTGAAGCCTGATGTAGAAAGCGGCTTATGTGCTTATAAGCCCGGCTTTTATCCGCGACTTTACATGCCTACTGTAATAGGGTCAGATCGTCAGGGCATACTTCAAGTACATACTTCAAGTACATACTTGCCAACCCCAGGCAAAACAGTTTCCTTGACATTGATATGATTTTTCCTTGGTTTTGCTCATTATCCTTGATGTGTTAATACAGTGTACATGATGCCCAACGGGGCACTATATTGGCAGTTATTTTATACATTTTGTGCAGCTGAGAGCCTGTTCGAGAACGAAAGTGCACACACATAGACGTTGTACACCGCCGCGCTAGATTGCAGTAGACGCTAGAGCGAAGATTAGATCTTTTTTTTTACATGAGCTACAGGGCCTAAAAGAGGGAAAAGGTTAGCGTCTAGTAGCGATCCATGATCCAGTGCAGCCGGTTCACGGTCAGCGGCCAACGCTCTCTGCTGTCATGGTGAAAAGCTGTCAGATTGCTTGGATGTTAGCTCCACAGGGTTCAAGCACTAAAAATCAGCCAATTTTCCGGCCAAACTTGCACTGAAAACTTGAAAACTAGGCGCCGAAGCACATTTTTTCTCGAAATTCCGGTAGATTTTAGAACTTTTCCGGTGTACCGGGACGAAAGTGATTTTTCCAGGATTTACCCAGAAAATCCGGTAGGGTTGGTAAGTATGGGCATAAGTGGGCACTCACTTTCAAATCTTCGCATAGACCCATAACGGGGGGATTTGGGAGCGGATCCGCCATTGGCCAGTCCAATAATCAATTGAGTTATCTTCCCAAGATCAAGTTTCTTCTGGCGGTCTCCTGTCCCGTGGGAGATCATGTGACTAGTGTCCGGCAATGTGCAACAGTATTACAATAGAGTCTTGTGTGTGTGTGTGTGTGTGTGTTGGGGGGGGGGGGGGGGGGGTGGAGAGGAGGATTCGGAGATGTCGGTGGCTGGTTGGTTCAATAGCCATTTGAGAGTCGTCTTTCCGAGCTTTCTGCTTATTCTCCACTTTCCCGGAGAGACACACTTGACCGGTTTCTGGCAGTGAGCAAGTACAGGGTGTGTATGTGTGTATGTTTCTGTGTGTTTGTGCGTGCGTGGATGTGTGGGTGTGTGTATGTGTGTGTATGTATGTATGTGTGTGTATGTGTGTGTATGTGTGTGTGTGTGTGTGTGTGTGTGTGTGTGTGTGTGTGTGTGTGTGTGTGTGTGTGTCAATTATCGTTGTGCAGGTGGGATAGCAAGATTCTCCAGGGAGTACCTGTACTTGGGTAGTGAAAGTCGAGTACTGTACACACCACGTGTAAGTGATAGGTACTGCCGCAGTATATTACAACATTTAATAGAGGTTTTGCGAATGATTTTGTCGAGCTTGCTTTGTAAGTTAATTATGGAGTGGTAAGCCAGTACTTTAGATGCTAGGCCACCCCATGCAAACATGTATAAACAATAACATGATAGCGTAGTCTCACACCTGTGTTAAAGCTGCCTGGCCATGATCAAGTTTGACTGGGCATAGCTGTACCTGTACAATGTCATTCAACGTTTTGTGTGTGTGTGTGTGTGTGTGTGTGTGTGTGTGTGTGTGTGCAGTTGTGAAAATAGGCTAAATGTCATAGCCGCGTCTGGTAAGGTGTGTCATGCTCGGTTGCTAGCGCTAGCCTGTGTCCTCAGTAGTATCACGCTCTGCCGTTCCTGCAGGAACTGGAGGGTTTGCAGATGTGGCCCCTGGACATGTATGACTATTTGCTATTTGCCGGCCTGTACGATGACCAGTGGTCAAATGCTGGCTTGGCTAGCGATATGTCTCTGCGAGCTGTGCTGCTACTGGAGGAAGAAGACAGCAAGGCAACTGCAATGGAATTGTGAGTCATGATTTTACTCTGGCTGCTCTCCTTTTGATGGCCTACACTGCTATGCTGTCCAAGCATTAGTTTTTCCTCTAGTAAAGGACCTTCATGCATATTGGAAGTACGGACATCTAACGTTTTTACCAAGAATGTATGTGACTGTGTAAAACAAACTTCAGTTATGGCCCTCCCCACCCCACCACCACCACCCTGAACGAAGAATAATATATTGGCTTGACAGCTAAAATGGATAGATGTTTCAGCTATCAATATTTTCAGAACGAAACTCTCCTTCACCATGCAATTGAAAGATCGATAATCATGGACGGCCCCTTATCGGTTGTGTCCCAGCCTGTGATCAACTAGTTAGTTTGTTTGCATTGTGTGCAGCACTGGTGCATCCAAAGAAAATGTTCTGAAAGTCAAAATTCCCTCAAATGAAACAACATCGCTACTGGGCAAGATGCAGAGCGTGGTCGAGTTTATCGGTAAGCAGAAATCCCAGGCATTTTAAAGTGGAATCTTGGCATCGAATGTGTTGATGTCATTCTAGCTGGACCAGTATTAGTTCTTTCTCAAATCTAAATGCAATGTACAACAATAACAGAAATATGATCACCGCGAAATTCATTTTCAAAAATACTCTGCACCCTGCGAATGTGTGAGTACTTGAGAACGGTTTTATTCACAACACCATGAAGTAAGAGTCAAAGCAAAAAGACAACCCAATTTGGGAAATAAATAGAACACTCTGAAATATAAAATTGAACGCAAAAGCTTCACACGAAATTGTTACCTAAGACCAAGAGTACATAACCCCCCAGAGTGTGCAACGCCTGATCCAGCTCTGCATAGGGTCTTGGTCGAGCGTAATCGGATCTTTGCGTCATAATACCGTACACATCTGAGGGGAACCCGGGGAGTCGCGGGTACTCTCGGATCAAAAACAATGGTGCCCTGCCTCGAGACCGGCCTTACGCTGGTGTGGAGTGTACGCATGACATCAGAAGATCCGATTCCGCTCGACCAAGACCCTATGCAGAGCTGGATCAGCGTTGCACACTCTGGGGGGTTATGTACTCTTGCTAATACGAATGCCTACCGGCATGCAAAGGCGAACGGTCAAGCCTCTGCCCGATTCAGCACAGCCGGCGGCAATAAGCTGCGAAGAGGCTCCCGACATTGCGGCAAATGTAAGAGGCCCTGCCGCCTCTAAAGCATGTGACTGCCCATCACAGCAGGCAAAATGAAACCCGGGTGCGTAACTCACCCATCACGGCAGAATATACCAAGTCTTTGTTTTTGTCTACAACCAGAGCAGCTAGCGACTTCAGAAAATAGAAGTTTCCTTGCCCACCACACCCGAGGTTGAAAACACCAGTGGGCTGAATGATGCTCTCTCCACCTGGTTGACTCTGGCACCATACGCCGCCCTCTTCATTCTCTCGTGCGTTCTCACTGAGGTGGCTAAGGATTTCCGGACGAGACAGCAAGGACGGCCCAAGGTCAGTGACCCTTACATCAAAAAAGGCGCCCTGCTGCCGCGACCAGAAACCCCTAGCCTGTATGTCCAGGCGTGCCTCTGGCTGACGATTAGCGGAGGTGGCAGAGATGTCCTCACCGTGTAGTGGGAGCAAGCGTGGCTCAATCTCCACATCGGGCAGTACCTCCTTGTGGTGATATTATAGCACCTTTCCCTGCATGGGTCTTGGCACTTAGGCTGCTAGTGCTACTGTTCGCACCCTAGGCCCTGCACTGCTGGACCTCTGGCGCCTTGCGCATAACACATTCACATGTGACCTTTCAAGCCGCCTTTGCAGCCAGCTTCCCTTTAAAAGCCATTGCGTTTTACTGATGATTCATTCTCATCTTTCGAAGAGTTGGTCTGCCTTGAGCAGGACACAGCACTCCTGCAGTACGCCCGCCAGGAGCCTCCGAGGTCCCGAAGCTCGTTATGGCGAGCCGACGGATAGCCGCCGGTCGGGCACGTGAGGGTGTGGTGGGTGGTCATGGACTTCCCACAGACACAATGATCACTTACACCATCCAGTGACAGACCATATCGTATGCATAACGCATCTCTTAAATCCGACTTTTTCAACACAGTGCGGTTTGTCCAGGACGTTGCGCTGTTAACCATGTTGACACGCCTTTCTCATCCGCTACTGCGAGTAGCTGCCGCTGGACCGGTGAAAGCCCCTCAGCAAGCTCTGTCTGCAGCTGCCGGCATCCACCGATTTGTTCCTGGCGCTTTTGTCGGGCGATGCCTCGTGCCTCGCTAACGGCTTCTAGAACAGGATTGGCCATGCCCTCTGCGATGCTCAAGATGCTCTGCGTGTTTCGGTCCGGACTGATGGCTGGAGAGTCTCGGACGCTCTCGTTACGGTGGGTGTCGCTCAAGTTCACCATTGACGCCGTAATGGAAAGTGATGCCTGATGGTCTGCCTCTGAAGACTTTGCTACCATAGGGATAGCCAAGCCCCCGAATCTTGTCGGGAGGGACAGAAGCTGTCTCAGCGAGCTGTCAGCTGCCATTCCCTGGCCCAAAAGGGCAGGAAGAAAATGATAATCCAATGCCTCATCTAGAGGGGCCAGATATTTCATTTGGACGATAATCCCTTTGTGGGCACAGCGTAGGCGGCCTGGGGTTGCATTTCGGCCATTGCAGCGAGATTCATCAGCTCCCGTCGCCAGTAGTTGACGTACCTGTCTCCGGCACGATGGCAATACTCTTCACAGCCAATGATCCCGCTGAGATATTGGTGACCCGCCGCCGTGACGCAGACTCCCGTCCCCTCGAACACTTCCTCAGCCCGGTCCAGGTGCTGAGGCTTCACCAGGAGAGTGGTCTTCGTGGGATTGGGATTGTATCCATACTCAGGTCCGATAATGTTAACATCTTTCCAGTAGCTGGCGAGGGAGTTAATATCACCGCCAGCTGCATCGGCGTCGGCATACCACTCCTGGTCGACATCGGGGTTTGCCTCCTGCAACCTCTGAACTAGCGGTACGGTTGCTACAGCATAATAGGCCATGGCCAGGGGATCGCCCTGACAGGGTTCCTTCTTGGGAGAGAACCTCGCCGCAACCAGCCACAAACAGTCTAGTATTATCTGAGTAGGTATTTTGAAATATCTTTCCCAGAGTCGGACAGATCCTTGGAATATTGTGAAGTGCTGCAGTGCGGTTCAGGGAGTTAAATGCGTTTGTTTCATCCACGAAGAGAACCGCCCCTGTATCATCGTGGTTGAAAAATCATCCGCATAGCGTGTACAGCAGCTTCACAGGCAGATGGCACACCCACACAGAGCTGCATGGAAGCAACAGCACGTAGAACGTCGGGCTTGATCACAGACATCACTGCCCGACCAATCAGACGACGGAACACTTCGCCGACAGCAATAGGGCGAACACCAGACAGCTTCTTGGCCAACGGGATGAGTCTAGATGCGGTAAATGCACTCACATCGGAAGCCGGCATTGCCTCTGCACACAAGCACTGCGCTGCGAGCGCCAATGTGCGACAGAGGTGATCAGATGCAGCTTTGTAACTGGTGAGCATTCTGCACCACCCATCTGCATCGATACCGGATGGGCCAGAAGAACCCTTCATCTGTCGAGATATCTTGCGTATCAGCCCGGGCGTTATCCTCTGGAATAAGATAGGGTTGACTATTGCCGCATCGCCCTCCAGTAAGATGGATTCCGGAGGGTCAACAGGTGTGGGGTGCTTTGATCGCAACACATCTCTTACTGTTCTTGTGGAAGATTCGTCCACCGGGTCATCTAAGTGCAAGACACCATCGGATGATTCTGGAGATAGATACCGAATTGCAGAATGGATTTTACCACCAAACACTAGATTAGAGAACCCAACATCACTCTTGTCGGACGCCTCATTGGCACGAGACGTATGCATCGGCGGTAAAATGATTCTGAATGCATGCACCCTCCGACACAAGATCCATGGTCTTGTTGTCCTTCCAGAGCTCTAACCGCCAAAGAAGATGAGCTGACTGATCCGTCATGATCTTGGAGTTGTGCGTCCTCTGCAACAATATGTGAGAAGCGACACAGACTGCCTTCCACGCTATGCACCGAAGTGGAGAGCCATCCGCAAAGTTCTGAATGTACTGCGCTAACAATTCAGTGAACGTCTGCCCTGCCGAGCCAAATGGGATCATGAAAAGGTTCCGCTTCCACTTCACGACGACTTCGTACGCGGTGTTAATCTGGCGAATAACTTCAGAGGTTACATCCTCAACCAGCGGTGTGTTTGTTGTGGGGAGTGATTCCGCATCCTGTGCTTGAGATGTAACAAATGATCGGTGCCCTTGCGGTCGGCTATCCGATGATGGTGGCTGGGACTGGTCCAATGCTGGCAACAAATTGACATCGCTGTTGTAGGATCCATCCAACGGTCTGCTTCCTGATGTTGTCCCTGCCGCAGTACCTTGCAGTGGAGGACAACTCGATGGCAGCTGCACATCACCTACTGGCGTCTGTGAGATGCCCGGCTGAGTGACTGGCTGGCTGGAGGAAACCGAATGACAGATTGCGGTGGAGAGATTCCTGCACTTTGATTTTGCACTTGGCACACAGTTAGTACATTTTCTGTGGTTCTTCGCACAAACACAAGCCTGGCAAGTTCCAAGAGCACTGCAAGTGCAACATTTGGGCATCGCTCTCTGACATGAGGCAGCTGGAAGTGCGTACGATGCATACGATGCAGGTGAAAATGCTAAGATTGAAGATTCGGCAACAAGAGAATACCGCAAAGTAGCGCCAATTAGACAGCAAGAGAATAGCAGAATATTGCAATGGCGTGATATATATAATGGTACGGTATAGACCTAGGAGGATACCTAACACAGGCCACCAGGACTGTGAGGCAAAATAAGCGCAAGAATAACGGTGCTAATGCCAACGAAACCCACCAAGAAGGTGAGACAATGAAAACCCAAACCCCACAGGAGAATGCTGCAGGGCACACACTGAATGCAACCAAAGGTGAAAACACTGGACAGCCCCAGCAAACAGGTGAGAAACGTGAAATCAATAGGGTCTGAAGCGCAGAACACAACACAACTCAACACAGCGAAGAATAAAAAGCAACGTACCATGAACAATCCTCCAGAAAACCGTCCAAGCTTCCTCATCAGCCAGAGCATCAAAACCGCCAACTGTCCTCCACCAGCGCACCTCCGAAACCAACTGTATGAATACTACTTTATTACGTATTAAACGTTTCAATCTCGTATCGACAGTTAGCTTCCCCCCACCTCACAACAGAGCAACCGAGTTTTGGATTAAGCTGGGAGTGCCGATTCAAGGAAATTGTTTGGGAACACATGTTCCGCAAGTTGCACGCTCGAAAGTCCAAACAGCAATGACATGCAAGAGACATTGTACAGGATTTTGAAGGGCGCGTGCCCACATGACTCGCGCATGCGCGAAGGGCTAGCACCTTGCAATCTTTGCAATTAGATGTGATTCCCAAGATGCAGTACACTAAGGAAAGCAAGGACTATTTTGTTGGAACTCAGAGTTCACGGTTCAGCGGGGGTTTGATGTGATTCAAATAGTGCGCTGGAGCACTGTATGTATTCAAGCTTTTTGTCCTTCGCGCCTGGCCCAAACCCAACATTGGCCAACAGAAGAGCATGCGTCGGTCTGTGTGTTTTTATACTCCATTATGACGTTGTGTCGGTCTGTGTGTGTTTTAGACTCCTACGTGAAGCAAAACCTGAGAGTCCTGCTGCTGGCTAGACGGGGTGTTGGCATGATCGACATGGCTGTGTTCGTTATGGCGTTTCTCATCTCCAAGGATTACCGATTGAAAGTAAGCACATAGATGGCCATGCAGGGGTAGGGGGTAGGTGTGTATTCTTGGCAGTGTCTTTGTGTGCCTTTCGGCAAGGAAAGTAATGACAAGTTTACCAACCAACCTCAATACTAGTATGCCGTTTGCAACCAAAATAAGCATGTCAAGCATGGACTAGTCTGTCTCCATGAGCCATGAAATGGATATGACCATCCTTTTCCTTGGCAATGTGCATGTAGACATTGCACAATTCTTGGCACTCTTTTTTTCCTTGACACTCTTTACTTTTGCTGCTTTTCAGGATGCACATGAGCATGTGGTTTCATCTTGCGATCCAGTGCTTCGTCCCGGTCGCCAGGCACTCGAAGACTTGGCAGCATTTGCAAGGCAGGTCCCAAATCACCCAGAGCGGGATACGGCGGCCGAGTCCGGAGCAGAGCTTGTGCTGCCACTGTAGCTCAGTGCACCTGCAAAGCCCGAGACTGAGAAGATGACGTTGTGAACTTGAGTGTTGGAGAGATGAACACCAACGGAACTCACCGTTCTCAACGCAATGTGAATGTGTCCTCCGCCTTGCACTGTCAAGCAAGGCTAGCATATCGTGCAGGTCTGCTAGTACGGGTACTGATACTACTACTTGAGCAATGAAACAAAGATGACAGTTTGTGAAAACTGAACTGGGCTGTCTTGTATCAGGTGTACTCTAGTTGTATCAGGTGTACTCTAGTTGTTGAGTAGAAGTCATGTACAGGTACAGTACATGAAACCGACATGCTTCTCTTCTGCTTAGCAGGGGTTGCAGGGGTTGCAGGGGTTGCAGGAGTTGCCACCTCAGAAGCCGTGTCATGATATTGCTGCATGTGGTGTTAGGTATTGCCGATAAACCCATCATTCAATCACTTTCGTGGAAGGTCCGCTTGAGGCAAGCGTGTGCTGGGCGCATCTTCATTAACTTCACCTACAATCTACTGTAGTTACGTGGGCATTGCGATGTTCAGGTACTAGGTAGACATCACACATTTCATTTTTTCTTTAAAGTTGACAATTGACCAACTACTAGTAGAGCTAAAGGTTACTGCTCAGATTAACAATATGCTGCCCTGGAACACTTGCTGTACTGTGGTTTGCCACCCCTGCAGAATACCATGCCTATCTCAGGTCACTGACTTCTCTTTGTGATTTGGACACCTGTGTGTGTGTGTGCGTGTGTGTGTGTGTGTATGTGTGTGTGTGTGTGTGTGTGTGTGTGTGTGTGTGTGTGTGTGTGTGTGTGTGTGTGTGTGTGTGTGTGTGTGTGTGTGTGGTGTGTGTGTGTGTATGTGTGTGTGATTCACTGGCCAGAAAAGCCACTTCAATCAGCTGTGTGGTGGATACCAGGCTAAAATTAGTGGCTGTCAATTCATCAGCCTTGCAAGCTGTTGAATGGTGTAATCCCAGCACAAGTTGCTATGTCTAACATAGCTGTTCGCTATTATCGCTTCAGCGATGGGCAGGTCTGAGGTGTGTGTGTGTGTGTGTGTGTGTGTGTGTGTGTGTGTGTGTGTGTGTGTGTGTGTGTGTGTGTGTGTGTGTGTGTGTGTGTGTGTGTGTGTGCATATGTGCGTGCAATGCGCACACTACTCCAGCGCTGGGAAAGGAGAATGTCTTAACATGGTGTACGTTTGACAAAATCATCACCAAGAGTGCACTCTTGGTGATATAATAATTATTATTATTAGTCTCTTGTTATCACATTGTTGACAGGTCATCATGTAGCCTAGGTGCCAAACCAGCCTTGCCTATATCAGTGTGTGTGTACCATGTATGATGTAGATCTACAGCACGGTGCTGCTCAATGAAATCCAGTCGTGTCACTCAAGTCTGCGCCTTGTATCATTCAGTCGCAGCCCAGTGTTCGCAGGTCTAGGGCTGCGCAACGCCCGGCGCGTACCGTTGAGTGACGCGACTGGATTTCATTGAGCAACATTGTGTAATCATGACGTATTAAAACAATGTACAGTCATGCTGCATTGAGAGACCAATACTGGTACTAGAGTGGGAGTCAATCGTCAATCGGGAAGGTTTCTCTCCATGGAATACTGTAAAAGCCATGTATATAACGAAGTGCTAACTCTAACGAGTTAACGAGGAGACATCTGTCGTTAAAATAGAAATCGATACATATACTGTCCTATTGAGGGTTGAGAATGAGTGAAAATCGTTACCTTTGGTACACGTAAACTAGTCAATTTTGGGAAATCGTTATATATGCGCCTCGTTAGAATAATGGCTTTCACAGTATTTATAACGCATGATGGTGATAGGTCGCGGATGATCTTCAAAGATAAAATCTCTTTACATATTCAGTTTTGTGCCCTTGCCTGTAGTTGTTGTCATGGTGCCAAAGTGCATGCGTACAGTGACAATTGACCATGATTGACTAGTCTGTGCTGATTGGTGTCTTGGCTGAGGAAGATTACACCAAACCAGCGGCAGAATACGGAAGTGGTTGCAACAAGGTTTGCAAGCTTGCAGTTGAACTCCAACCCTAGCTGTCCATGGCACATGGTCTTCAGGAGGTTGCTTCCATTGCTGTCTTATCTCCTGAAGCCGTGTCTCGGAAGGAGCGCACTTTTCAGCAGACTTGTTGAACAGATTGGAAGCAGGTTGTGTTTGTGCGTGCCGGATGTGCTAGTGCCGTCTCTGACTGGTCAGTGACTGACTCTGTGTGTTATGCCGTATGGCCCGTGAACTCTTTCCCATGCACTCCTCTACGTGCGGCATGCAATCAGCTACAATCATGATCTATCCACTGAGCGAGCATACGACTCATTGTGGCACCAAGACTGTGACAATGGCTGTGAACTCCGAGGCTTGCACAAGTTGCAGTCCTGGTGTCACGGACTGCAAAGTGCAATTCACTTCGACTCTGAACACGTACAGGTACTAGGTGTATGTACAATCATGAATGTAGGTTCTCATTTCCCGGAGCTAGTAATAGCGGTTTCGACTTTGTCCGACTAACAGTCTCATCAGTGGAGCCGAGAGTGACTGATCGAACAATAGGGTCCAGCACGGTAAACAACGAACCACTATCGGCTCAAAGCATCAATGTCAGACTGCTCTATTTGATTAAAACTTACTTTGACACTAAAACCCAGAAATTCGAAAGGGTACCGCAGGTATGTAATGTTACCTGTGACCGGCTGACTGGAATGATTGTGCGTGTGTGTGGGTGGGGGAGGAGAGGCAGAGGGGGAGATTATGTCTCTGCAACATGGGAAGAAGATTTCCCTCTTGCTAATGCTTGCTTCTGTAGCCTAGATCGTAGCTTGTCAGAATGGAATGCCCGACTCCTTCTACAAGTACGTGATTGTAGAAGTAGCTTTTATCGCTTTTACTAGTATTTGCATGTGATGAATCATCCCATTCCACCCAATGAGTAGATAAAGTCGTTGCTTTACTCTGTTCCATTCTTAATCGCCAGGTGGCACTGGAGACTGTACTCCGTTTCCGTATCGTACCACGAAACTTCGTGGAAAGAACTCGTACCGGTACTTGTGCAGCGTGGATAGAGCATGTACGAGCCATTCACCGCTAGCGCTCTCTACAAGAATGTAGCTCATTGACACCTTTAAGATAGTCAAGGACCAGAAGCCTCACTCCGTTGTCGTATTCATAATACTACACATGATTGTAGTCTCACGATGAGGAATCCTGGAGATTGTCAGACATTCGTCTTTGAGCGCAGTGCGGTGGGAGCCGACACAGATCTCAGCCTCCAAAGACCTTCCTCTCGGGAGTTGTGATTTGCTATGTCGTTCATGCCGATATTGCGACAGGCTGCCGCTCAGCGGAGTCTGAGATTCGTCGGCTTACTTATGATAAATATCTGATTCAATACAAAAGTGACTACAAGTAGTTTGAGACGTGGGGGCATGGACGTATGCTCACTAGCTTGCACAACTTGATGCGTGGTTGACATCGTAATAAATATGACAGCTATCTGTCTTCTCAGCGTCGTGTGCGAGACTGAGAGTGAAATGTTGTTGTCGCGGGGCTGTCAACCGCCACACGGTGCACATGCACAGGATGCAATTGGCATCAATTGAATTATTTTTTGGTACTGTTTCCTGCCAGTGTTGCACCATTCAAGCAGGACAGGACTCCATATAGCAGCAGCTCGGCGACAACTGATAAGAACAGTGGTCACCGGAGAATATTCATCTGCCTCTTGGAGCAGCAGATATCTGTACAATGATGTATCAGCACTAAAGTTTTGGAAGGAGAAACAAAAGCAACCCATCATGGCATCAATGTGTTGACAGCTCTGGCATTCTGATGACTCACTGACAATGTGCTATAGCTATCACTACACGGCCGGGTACGAATAGCGTTGAATCTGATCACAGACTGGTACGGGCAGAAATTACCATGGACTACGCATAACATACACATGATTGTAGTCATTCTTCCATACCGGTATACAGTATGCACAGACAATGTACATGGACATTACACATGAACATACATGTTATTATGACCCTAAAAGCACTTGATTTACATGACTGTACATGTACATGTATACTACTAGTACTACTACTACTTCAAGAAGTGGTAATAATAATTATACATTTAGATCTACATAGCTTGTATGTCCTCGTATGTACATGTACATGTAGTGGGCTAAGAGGTGCCTCACACGCCCTTCGCTGCATCGAGTACATAATTATACGTAATAGTAATGTGGGCAAACATTGACTCTAGACTGAGTCTAATGGCAGCCAACAACAGAACAGATACAGTCTTTTGCATTCGTCTGCCCATGCACATGATGCAGGTAATCATGCTAATACTATTACTAATAGTGCAATGTAATCAAAATGTACAGAGCTAAGGGCAGTAAGGCTTCCGAGAAGTGTGATACATGTAATGTGCGCCATAGCAGTGATAACAACAATGATTATGTCAATGGGTACTTGCAGAAGGGCGTTTTGACTACACATGCAGTGCACTGCATTGCAGAGGCTAGAGCTTACGTCAGCTACATGGCTCACCGTATTCAGGTATTAGGAGCGCATACTTCCCTTTGTTCCCCTTCTTCTTTTGTCTTTTCTGCCTCACACGATCAGATACATAGCTGCTAAGCACCTGTACCAATTACGGAGGGGAACGGTTACAAAGTAGTTGCATCGAAATTAATAGCATGGAATGTCCAGCTGACTGGATCGCGCGCTATTCCCCAGCTCCATCTCCCCCCCCCCCCCCCCGTCCTTGCATTGCATAATAATAATAATAATAATTCGCGGGATTCGCGTTGGCATCGCTTGAATGTTCAGAAACACACAAACTAGCCTTCGCTTCCGCAGGCCACCACTATGCCTATGCCTTGCACACCTTAGTGGCGAATGCAGACCTCACAAGTGAGTCAGGGGAGAGTAGGTGAGTCTCTCAACCAATCGGGCGTGTAACGGCCCATAACCCTGTAAACTGCATCCTTGTTACCCTCACTCCGAGCTGTGAGTACCCAGTTGACCGTGGGTGTCGGCGCAGTTCACCACACATAAAAAGTCTTTACTCACGTAAAAAGTCTTTACACGCTCCCTGCTACCAGCGCGGGTCTCGAACTCGGGACCTCATGATTCGCAGGCAAGCCTGCAAACCAATCGGCCATATGCGTTGGTCTATTGCATTGCATGCGTACCATTATCTAACGTAGTGTTGACTGAACCATACATAATATTATACATCCGGATTCCGTACCAGCGCTCTCAACTGACCACACTCAATCATTCAACTAAGAGATGTACTAGTACCCGAAAACAACAGGGGATTGGAGTAGCTTAGCAGTACTGTCGAAGGCTGAACTGCCAAAGCATTTTCATTCTTCGAGTAGGTCCTAAAGTACGTGCTTAGGCCGAGGACTCCCAAACAACCCTCCTATTTCCAAGAAGGCATTTTGGTTATTGCCAATATGGGATACATGTACGGTCAATGTAAAGCCAAGACCTTTCAAAAGTCATGGGTTGGAATCTGATGTCGTCACCATTCCTTGTATGGTCCTACAGGCCACACTACATCATGCAATAAAGTATACTACCTCCACGAGAAAGCCAAAGCGTTTTAAATTAAAATATTGCTGTATTTGCGTAATGAAGTGCATGCGTTGCCTTCACAAATACGCCAGCCAAATATGCTCAGTGTTACTTGGCTAGGCTAGTGCCACTCGGATACCTACTGTAAATTTGTAAGTGCTGATTTGCACATGATTGTATGAATGATCACACACCTTTCGAGTTTCGTCTGTCGATGGTCAAACTACTACACTTGTAGTACTTGGCTGTTCGGAATCCGGGTACGTATGTGGGTGTTTTCGAAGGTTGTGTGATAGCACCGGAGCTCAAACATAGCACACCCAGTGACTTATTTGATCGAAATCGCCCAACGGTTCTGCTGGCGTAAGAAGTCGCCACAACCAACCACCGTCTAATGACAAGATTTCTGTCAAGATTTCAATATCTTCAAGATTGGACTTTGAACTCGTGATCAAGCCTCGGCTTCTAGTAAAATGGTCTACAATGTATTATTATTGGTGCAAACTTTAGATGGCAGCGTCTGCTCCAGCGACTTGCGATTATTCTTTGTCGGCGCTAGCTAGCGCCAGCGCTCTATCCTTGCTATGCAATCATGGCAGCATTTCTGTTCAATGCCGTAGTATACTACAGTCACGGTGCCATGCGAGTCGCACGAGTCCCTGGTTCAACCACAAGCTGGCCTTATTGATGGCATGTAAAGAGTGATTGCTATCAGGCTTGTTGCTAGTGCTGGCAGATAGTGATGGGATACAATCATACAGTCACTCATGGAGTACTAACTTGAAGGATTGACTACTCAATGGCCCAACATGAATCGTTTGGTTGTCACCGCAGTCCGGCGCCCGGCTAGCGTATCGGTATAAAATGCGCGGATGAAATCGTCAGAGACGCCACAGTGTCAGGAGACGAAGACGAAAGAATAAAGAAGCATCTTTCTCTGAATCTGACTGTCAACTGCTACTCGGATTGGTAACGGTCGTCCAGAAAGAAACCGTTTGAACGATGGTGTTCCCAAGATTGCTTGGCTCATCCTTGTGGGCCCGTGCGTTCATCATGGTATACTGCCTCTACTATCAAGCCACAGTTTGTGGGGTAAGTGCCGCAGAGTGACTGCGTGTACCCGGTAACCGGTAGTAAGTTGTCTCTTTTCACACGTTATGAACAGTATGATAAAGTTGACAATTATTGTTTCGGAAGTTAGTTGGTGGAATTTGTAATTCGGAATAGTCATTGGATGTGTACTGTGAACCAAGTGGAAATTTATAGGCGACAGCGTAAGCAGTGTAAACGAGTGTTCAGTCGCAGAACCCACGCGTATGTGGTGGTGGTGGTGGCGGTGGTGGTGTGTGCGCGTGGGTGTGTGGGTGGGTGTATGTGCGTGTTCCTGTTAACATGTTGTGTGATTTTACCTATCATTATATCACTGCATGTCACTGCATAGGACAGCCTGAGTGACACCTACATGTACATCTACTTGCTACATGTTTGTGTTACACATGCCATGTGCTGGCCATGCATACCTTGTAACAGCATTGTCATGAGACTAGCAGTTTGACAACCGTTTGGCATCCCCTATTTCCGTTGTGCCAGCACGCCTGAGGCACATGAGGATCTACTGGCAAAACGTTCATTTCACAACCACCCCTCATGCTCACTGAACGACACCGTACATACAGTGCTTCCAGTACATACCACATGGGTTTCTCATGTGTGTGTGTGAGTGAGAGTGGCATGGAGGTACTAGGTACTAGTACTTGCAGATGTCATGCTTGAGTCTTGAGAGTTCTATTGCTGGGCAGCCAAGAGGTGGGGGGCCCCCCATCAATCAATCCAAGGAGAAAATGAAGATAGATATAGAATCATGCTGGTACTTAGGGCTGTAAGTAGTATGTCACAGCCTACATGGCCTAGCAGCAGGGTGAGCAATGCTGCAGCCTATTTTGAATGCACTTGAAAGCATAGATTTACATTGGAGTACTGATACACACTTCAAGCAGGGAGAATGAAAGAATGGAGCTCCATCATGTGTTTGTGCGGTAGTAAGTTCATCTTTGACCATGCCCTGAAGCGATGTTCTTTGGTGACACGGCTCCCCGATCAGAATCTATCAGATTTCCCCCTGGATAACCGTTAGATGACAGCGAAAACATCCCTTCTCGAACTTTTTTTAGAAGAAGGCGAATGCTTGGTGCAGGGTGGCCCCTCTTTCTGCTGCATTCTTTGCCAAGCGGAGGCCTAGTTGATCACAGTACGCCCAGAGAGGAGACGACCATCAGAAGATGTCTTGCTTTGAGCGTGAACCGTGGGTCAAAGTTTGAACTTTTCGGATTTCATTGGGATGATGGACTCCTGAAAACTTGGTCCCAAACACATACACACATAAACACACACACACACACACACACACACACATACACACACACCACATACACACATGTACACACACACACATGTACACACACACACACACACGTACACACATGTACACACATCCATAATTATGCTGTCTATAGGAACAGGCCATATCCACATATAATTATGTGGGCGAAGCTCAATATCGTTGTTGATACAAATGAAAAAAAGTAGGGAGCAAAAATGCAGTGACTGCACATGCACAGAGGGCAGTCGGAGTATATAATACCTCGCGTTGTAGAATGGGGACACAACAAAAATTCAAGATCATAATGTTCAGAACTTCATCACACATGCTAGTTTCTTTCCTACCAAAAATATTTCTGGCATGCAAAGTTGTTCAGAACCTAATTGTTTGCTTTGATGACCTGCAATTTGGATTTTCAGACATTTACGTCCGGTTCTCGAAGCACATTCACTACTGTTATTGACACTACAGCGAGCATGGGTGACGATATTGCTGAGGTAAGCATGAATCACGGTTACCGTTATCACAACCGCATGGTTGCTTTCTGAATGTTTTAAATAACCAAACACGTTGAATTCCGTGGCAGATTTCTAGTGTGCTGATTGTTTCCCACGGGGGAGGTGATGTGAAGTGGCGGACTGCTTAAAATTTGTGGGCTCCGTAACCACTCAGAGCACTGTGACCTGTCACCATCCCAGTAGCCAGTCATCTAGTAGCGGCTATGCTTCATGACCAGTCATAACTTGTAGCCTACCAACCAGACACAGAGGTTTGCTTGTATGTCGTGAGCAGCCATTGTTCGCTGAGTCAAGTGCAGTGCAAAATAGATTCTTTAGAATTCACCATTGCCAGCCACCGGCTATGCTAATCTGTTGTTGTGTGCTGTGTTTTACGGATGGAGCACAAACCAGTCTTTTTCTGTGGCTGTTATTCCAGGTCTGTGACGTTATGACTGATCTATCTACTTCAGTGGCTCGTCGGTTCAATGAGTTTGTCTTCGTTCCGTTCAACGATCGTGGCGGCAGACTGACACGTAAGTCGACATCACGCAGTTATATTATGTTGTCCATAGCCTTATTTTTCAATGCCTGATGGTTCAATCTTGATTGAGAAGGAGAATGAACCAGGTCGATTTATGAAAGTGGCGCGCCGCCTGTTGTTGTTTATAGCTGGCCTCTCGGGATGATACAGTTACTCTGCACATTGCCGCATTAGAGGCACAGGTAGATTTGTGAGTTTTAGTAGGGTCAGAAGACAAGACGCCTAAAATATTTATATTGAAAATTTCTGCTATGCTGTCTGATGAAGTGTTTTTCACACGAAACTCGGAGTAACAGCAGAAAGAGACTTGTTTGATTCATTGCTGTGTAATATTTGTATATTGAAAATTTGATATGCACTACTTTAATTCTGCGGCAATTATGTTTTTTTTTGTTTTTACGTATTGTTTACAGCCTACGGCCCTGCACAGCGACTTCCGTCGGCTGATGCACTGCGACAGACCGTGTGCAGCTGGAGAGGCCGGGTGAGCGGAGGTGGAGATTGTCCTGAGCTGTCTCTGAGCGGTCTGTCACTCGCCGTCCAGGAGTCCAGTCCCGACTCTGTCATCATGGTCTTCACAGATGCCAGTGCAAAGGACTTGGACAAACTAGGTGCTGTGCTGTCTGAGATTCGCAGGAAGAGGCTGAAGGTGAGGCATCATTTCCTGCCATAACTCCATGTTCAAATGCGCCTCCCGGAAAATTCCCCGGTAACAGAAAATGGTTGAACCGATTTAAAAGTAGATTGTCTCTTTTTAAATTTCATTTTCTATCCATGCAGTATGTTCCTGATATGTTTATGCAAGCATTCTATATCATCACTTTCAATGGCGGGTGACAGTTTTAATAGTCTGTTGTTGTTGTTGCCGAGTCAGGCACAGCATTGTCCAGGCATGTGTGAATGGTAGAACCGGCGTGCCCAGATGATACAGTGATGGGAAATTCTAAGCAAATATTTGTTGCTTCCCTGTGATCTCCTCCAATGCAGGTGTTCTTCCTGTTGAGTCAAACATGCGGGGATAGTCGAGGTGCAGGCTACAGGGCGTATTACACCTTGTCGGCTACGTCCGGTGGCCAGGTATCCAATCTGCGCGAAGTCAACATCCCTACGCTGCTCAGGTTCATTCTCTCCGGAGAGGGTTCCCTGACCTGTCCTTCCAACTCCCTGGTCCTGGCCCAAAGCTCGCCGACTCAATGGGCCAGAACGTTCACCGTTCCAGCCAACACCGACATTCTCACAGCACAAGTAAGCTGTGAAAGAGGAAGACCCTCCGTGGCATTGCTCTTCAATAATTTTGCTGACACCAACAAAGTATCCACCTCCAATCTGCCCAACGGTGTTCTGTTGACAATCCGAGATCCAGAGAGTGCCATTGGAACTATTCGTGTGGGTCATTCCTCTGCTTGTGCAGTCAGCGTCAACTCGGCTGGATGCGACCAGGCGTTTGCACGTATCTTTGGATTCTCCGCACGTCGTACTGACACAGTGTCCCCAGTACCAACAGGTAAATAATTTCCCTTTTTTCGTACTATAAAACATCGCCACGGGCATGTCACGGTCCTCCCACACCTGCTATCTATGCCTGCAAGTAGGTGGTGACATTTGCAAGTTCGTTAGCTGAGTTCTGTTTTAATCATCAAACACACACTTGTTTCAAAGTGGATTTAGTTCCCACATTCCAGCTCTACTTGGAAGGCTGAGCAATGCCAAGAATACTCTAAGGGACGTTTTATTGATTTGGTTTGGTAGTACTAGTAGTGCTTTTAAGCCTTCTTTCTTGCTTCACACAATCTGCAATGATTGTTTCTGTGTGCCGCTACACAGCCGAGGTGTCTCTACTTCACTTTCAAAGTCAGCCGGGAGTACGAATCACTCGCTTGCGCTTCCTCTCACCCGATGGCCGTGCTTTAAACGAACGGACTCTCAACGCCCAGGTGAGGAATGCTGACGGAACGATCACCCTCGGTAGATATCGACTTCCCGCGGAGACTTTCCGCCTGGAGGTGTCCGGAGTAGATTCACGGAACCGGCCATTTGTGACCGTGTCCACCACTGCCTATGATCCGTCTTTGCTTACAAGTAAGTGCTCAAGGCTATGCATGTCAGTGTCGGCAGGAATGTCCACTATCACAGTCTAGTATTCTGAAGTAACCGTTTGCACAGCCGGCTCCTGATAAAACGAACACCATTGTGCAGGAGAATTTGATCTATATAGCGGAAGTTCTTTATAACCGAAATGCACCCACGCCATGCATGCAACACAAATCCTGACTGGCATGTGGCCCATGACAGCATGATTAGACATACCAGTAGTTTACATGCGGCCCTCCGAGATATGGTTCGTTATAAACGAAAACTGTTCGCTATAAAGGGTCCATTTTGTACAGGTTCGAACAGGGACATTGACTCTATAATTATCACAAAATTCGCTATTATGTAATTTCGTTATAAGTGGAGTATACTGTGTGTGTGTGTGTGTGTGTGTGTGTGTGTGTGTGTGTGTGTATATGTGTGTGTGTGTGTGCGTGTGTGTGTGTGTGTGTGTGTGTGTGTGTCGCCCATTCTTGTGGTCGTGCACATGCATGCGAGTATTCTGTTGGTTGTGTCCTGTTTTCCCGCTCGGCACCTTGCCATGGCTATATAGTATACACACAGCAGTTACAGGCTCTGTCCAAAAAGTGTTTTGAACCAGGATGCATATCTCTATCATTGCATTTCCTTGATTGCAGGCCCCTCTGTCATCACGGACGTGCCAGCCGCCAATCGCTTCACGGCAGTACGCTGCTCTGAGGTGACCGTGAGGTGCTCAGTGAGCCTGGATGGCGCTGAAGTGCCCGTCACCTGGGCCAAAGACGGCAGGAGCATCTCGGCCGACGAGCGGCTGAACATCGGCGGCACGCGCGGGGAGGTGCTGACGTTCAAGACGGTGGTGCGCAGCGACAGCGGTGTGTATACATGCTACCCGGCCACTGCGTCCGGAACCAGAGTATCGGCTTCACTGCACATGGCCGTGCAAGGTGAGTACTGTATCCTGCACATCAGCTCACTGCTCCGTGGTCGTAGGAGTCAGTGTTTTCTGTGACACAGTTCGAATTTTTCAATTTTCTTATTATTACTATGATAACAGCTCTCAGGCAACGACAAGAAATGATGCGTAATGGGAGCATAGTGATGGTTATGTTTGTAGCCCTCCGCCAACCTAGGGTCTAGACATCATGCGGACATCAAACGCACCAAGATACAGAAGTAACGTGAACGAATGTTAGATGAGCAGAGAGTTCATTAGAAGGAGGGTCCGGGAAGGAGAGTATTGTCAAGATTAAAAATGAAGCGTGTAGCTGATGTATGTGTGTGCATGTGTGTTTACACACCGCAATTCACAAGTCATGTGTAATATTGTGTATTGTCATGAATGTGCATGGTCTTGCATACGAGCATGACCGTGTGTGAGTGTTTCTATGCAAGTGACTGCTTGTGGTGACGGGGCATTCTCTGACCTGCTTACAGACAACCCCAGCATCACGGAGGAGGACTGTAATGTCTGCACAACACTGGTCTGCCCTGATTCGCCAGTCACCGCCTGGTACCACAACAGCACTCGACTGACCTCTAACCCAGTTTACATGTTTGAAGGTCCCAGCACGTTGAAATCATGCCGTCGACCCTTGGCTGATCGAGCAGGCCAGTACACGTGCGTGACTGCGCGCGGAAGATGGGCGTTCACGGTGTCCTCAACCTTCCAGACGTCCATTGGCACGCTTTCGGAATCGTCATCCCGACGTGGTATGTGTGTGAGCACGGGTGTGCATGCAAGTGTGTGTGTGAATGTTAAATTATTTGCACTGGCACCCCATGCAAAGTTGCCAGAGAAGAATGCACAGGTTCCGAGTACTCGTTTTAAATTTGTCGTTTGACAACTTGGCATGCTTTTAAAAGAATCGTTGCAGGTTTTAAAATTTTAAAAGTGCTGATATGGTGTGGGAGAACGCTACCCATAACGTGTCCCTGGCAATGCTCATCCTCCGTGATAATGGAATATTCTTTGCTGTTGTTTCCTTTAGAAACTGTGTTGGGCGGCTGTGAAGTTTTCGACAGTACGGAGAATGGTGCCGTGGCATACGCTGCCCAGGGTAAGTGATGACATAATCTGCCCAGGGTGAGCGATGACATAATTTGCCCAGGGCATAAATGATGACATAATCTGCCCAGGGTGAGTGATGGCATAATCTTCCCGGGGTAAATGATGATAATCTGTGGAAGACTTTTAAGTTAATGAACCATGTTGATTCCCTGCCATGATGTGTATCAAGCCCAGTTGCTTTCCCTACCTCTTGTACCATAATAGTACACTCCACTCCTGTAAGTTCTCCTCTGAATGTGCTTACTGTTGCCGGTTTTCAGGCCGTGGTACACGTGCAGAGTTCTCTTGCCAGCCTGGCTACACTCTATCAGGACGTGCACGATCAGACTGTGTCTCGGGTACTTGGTCATCAGCAACCCCACCAGTGTGTCTTGTGACGCTCACTGCTCCACCAGCCACCACACCACCTCCAGCACCGAGTACTGTGGTGGGAGGTTGCGAGTACTTGCCAGCCATTGACAATGCCAGAGTGCGCTACACGACAGGTATGGCCAGCAAAATAAATTCTTTTGGCGTTAAATGTCTTCAGTTCTCTGATTTTCTCCGTGCAAAGTCTATGGAATTCAGCATATGCAAGTCTATAGTTATCTTGAGAATACTTTACGTGTGTGTGTGTGCGTGAGTGCATGTGGATGGGTGCGTGCATAATACAAAATCTAGCATTGCACTATCAATGGCTGACTATCTCCATATTCTCTCTCTCTCTTTTCTCTCTCTCTCTCTCTCTCTCTCTCTCTATCTATCTATCTATCTATCTATCTATCTATCTATCTCCGTGCAGTGGATTGCACAACTCGTGCCGCAATCATCTGCAGCCATGGTTACACAGTGGGTGGCCAGGCTCGCAATGTCATACACTGTGTGGCTGGATCATGGACCGCCAGCGCTGGTAGGTGTGTTGCTCTGCCAGCGCCAACACTACCACCGCCACCGCCCACAACATCCGCACCAGACTGTGGTAAGTGAACAGTTCTCTTTCTTGCAACATATTGTTCAAAGAACTGCACAAGAAGCTTTCTGCAATGCTCTGCATTCAAGCCCTCCATTTTCACAAATGAAGCCTTTTCAATACTCTCTTTGGTGTACGTAAGTTCCTATGGCAGTGTGGAAACTAAAGTAACTTTGTCCAGAATTTTACCAGAAGGTCTAAAGGTCAAAGTTCGACCTTTTGAACTCAGTTGAAAATCTTAGTACTGTGGCACCGCGTTAATTGGTCCATGTAGCATGTAGCATGTAGCATGTAGCATGTAGCATGTAGCATGTAGCATGTAGCATGTAGCGTGTAGCATGTAGCGTGTAGCATGTAGCATGTAGCATGTAGCATGTAGCATGTAGCATGTAGCATGTAGCATGTAGCGCGTACTGTACCTCGTTGTTGGTGTAACTGTTATTGTCAACTTACTCAGCACCGACATTACCCCGGCAGAGGCGTCAAGAGATATTTCAGGGTGGTCGGTCAGCCATTGAAGGCGTCCCTCAGAGGCCATTCTCTCATATAGCTTTTTCTTTTCTTTTCGAAATACAGATTGAAAATTCAATTCACGGACGAAAGGTGTTGCTGTAGATGCCATAGAGAGACCGTAGCATGTCTGATGTCTCTGCTTCCATAACACATCAATGTCTATTGCATTAGAACTGTACCTGTCAACATACACTTATTAACGTGCGTGGATCTCTTCGGCTTCTGAGAGGATCATACCTAGGCTGTGTGAGGGCCACGGGATATCCCCGTGGGCTGATGCTTTCCGTCATGCCAGGCATGGTTTTGTATGCATGTCGAATGCGTCAACGTTGACGCATTCAAGTATGGGGCTGCCGGTAAAGGGTTAAGAGGACAACTTGTGCATGTGTGTGCGTGTTTGTGTGTGCGTGTGCGCATGTGTTTGCTTGCGTGCGTGTCTGTGTGTGTGTGTGTGTGTGTGTGTGTGTGTGTGTGTGTGTGTGTGTGTGTGTGTGTGTGTGTGTGTGTGTGTGTGTGGGCGTGCACACACCCGTGGGTGGATGTTTGTGTGTTCATTGTACATGTATGCGTTGATATTTACGATGTTCCATTCCGCTTCAGACGGTCCACTTCGAGCAGCCCAGGCGCTGGCCCAGACTCTCCAGCGTACGATCGTCGCTATGCAGCAGCAAATCGTTGCTCTGAGGAGCACAGTCCTCGCAAAGGACAAGGAGATTAGTGACCTCACAGATCAAGTGGAAACCCATCAGCTGACCATTACCGGACTGCGAACCACCATCGGTGAACAGGTGAACGCGCTGTCAGCGCTCACAACCATTCAAACGGAGAATGATCGCCTCAAGGAGCAGGCGGCAACGGCACGCCTCACTGTCCAGCAACTGACTGGCCAAGGTGACACGCTGAGAGCAACTGTAACAGCAGAACAGGAGAAAGTCAAGGGTGAGTTATCCAGTGCAAGGGCCCCAGTGCCGGTGATTATCAGAGCATTCAAGGACAGGGGAGGGGGGGGGGGGGGAGGGTCAAAGACCACACATATGCAGAAGGAAGTCTAGTTTTTTTTTCAATTTATAGAGTTCTTGGGAGAGGGAAAGCCCACGTCCAAGAGTGGCAATCCGTGAATTGAGTTAGGAGATGCCATGAGTTATTAAGGAAAGTACCCCGTAAGGAGACCATAGGTCAGTGGGGACCGCCCTAGAGAAATAGGAATAAAAATAAATAAAAAAGTCAAATGACTAAGATCAGACGACTTTAGTCAGAATACTGGCGTTGCAACTAGGTCCCTTTCTTCCAAGTCTATGTCAAGCCCAGGATTCATAATTATACGGACAGCTAACTGAATCATGCAGCCCAGCATCCCTGGCATGACAAGTCGGTTGAGCACCCCATAGAGTCAGCAATACATGTGTGTGTGTATGTGTGTGTGTGTGTGTGTGTGTGTGTGTGTGTGTGTGTGTGTGTGTGTGTGTGTGTGTGTGTGTAAATGGGCATTACAGTAGGTAGACTCCATGTCTATTTGTATCCACAGACCCAAGTGGGTACATAGCTCAATTACATCATGAAAGGGAATGATAATGACCGATATACATTTACTTTCGAAGTATTTTGGATGACCCCAATGAGCCACTTAAACTGGTACAGAACACACTTCTTGAAGTACTTCGAAGTAGAATGGTGATTTGCTTGATTGGGTAATGTGCACTTCTGTGTATTGTGCTTGTGATGCATCGTGAAAAGAAAGGAAACCGCACGAAAAAGAAGATGATTGATTGCACATGTGCCTGATCCATGCGAAAGAATGCACTGAAGGAAAACACAGCCGCAAACTACTACTTATGGTACTTAGTAGAAACTACCGTAAAGTCTTGTATAAAAGCCGCTGCTTCTATGACTTTCTTGGTGAAATTTTGCAGGCTTCTATTATGAGACAGGTTTCTATACAAGACAGGTATTTCTATGTATGTCAACACTAAAACCAGGCTTATGTGTGATTTGATGGGCCCAAAATTGCGGCTTCTATTCGAGGGCGGCTTCTATTCAAGTGCGGCTTTTATACAAGACTTTACGGTATGATAAACTCTCATCTGAATTCCTGGAAGTATCGGCCCATGCTTATTCATGCTCCACACACACAGTTAGACAAGTAATAGAATGATTCCATAAAAGGATGAACAGTGCCATCTGTGAATCTTGCCTATGGTTTGTTCATGTTTTTTTTGCGGTGATTGCAGACTGCCAGGCCAAGCTCAGTGTTATTCAGGGAGTGCTGGGAACATGCCCAGCGCCATGATCAGCAATGACAGCCACTCGCAGCCTGATCGGGCAGCACAGTCATGCATGTCATGAGTGGTCTTAGCTCGACATTGCAGCACTTGAACTTAGCCCATAGACCTCCTCGGCTGGCTTGCACAAGCTCACACATGATCTCTGCAATCACCAGCTATCACCATTCATAATTATCACTCAGTGCCTCCCGTCCTGCATGCCACAATCTGCCATGCAGGAATAAGAGTTTTGATGGCCTGCTTACAGTCAGAAGATATTCAGTTAGGTGTTCCATCCACCGTGTGGTCCATAGAAATCAATAATTCCTCACTTGTTTAGGGAAAGTCCCTCAGTTTACTTGCATGAAGATGTTCAGTGTCTAGATGTAGTCCGGTTGCTTAGTATGCACTTGTTGATCCGTCCAGCTTCACAGTTATATTTGCTGATTGCCGAATTGCATCATATTCAATGCACCCACTGATCCTGGCACTCCCATTCCAGCTCGCCGCAAGCTCTCCTTCTGGTCATGATAACAATTATAAGTTTGCCAAGTGGCTCATAAGTCTAATTTTGCTTTGCATCTATGCTTCCCAGTGGTTCGTGCACAGGCTATAATGTGTATACCACGCACAGACCCTGGAAAGTGGAATGGCCGCTGACATAGCATCATCATTATCTCGTGAACAGACAGATGTCATGTAATCGTGGTATTTGGCATTCAGACACCGTGAGGAATGTGCACGATAAAGTGCATTTTGTAAGTGGGAATCACTGTCGCCTGCTTCACCACGTATGCGCATATTGATCTGCATGCATGATTGTGCGTTGATTGTGCGTTGGGTAATCATATCATGGTACATGTAATCGTCCAGTACATGTACATGTACTGGACTTGTTCAGACCGTTCTGTCTGCACCACTACCATGACTACCATGACTCCATGAATGTATAATGTCACAGTGTCATCTACATGTACCTGGAAACTGAGCTCATGACGACATGAGACAGGCTGCAGGGCGTCTGGAAGCGGATGCACCGCAAAGTCATGTCCCTCAACCGAGCGCCGGAAGTGAAGAGTCCCAGGCTTTTATACAACCACCATCCTATAGTACATGTACATGTGATATGCAGCACTAGTGAACTGTGAATATAAAGTACCGGTACACGTACATGTACATGACTGCAAGACGACAAACTGAGTAATCCGGAGAAATAATTATGCGTTCCGCGTTGTCTGGGACTGGGAGCGCCTCATCTTATCACTCCACACTACGTCAACTATTATTACTTCCTCCTTTTTTTTTAAAGTCACCAGTTCCTAATACCAAAGTCCACCTATACCAGTCCCCTGATTATTAACCCCAAGCTGTAGTACAATACGAACCCAAAAGCCAAGGGGTAGAACAAAGCGGCACATGCATGTAGTAAGACAAGAACTTTCAAATACCAACAAGAAATACAAAAGACCGAACCCCCCGCCAATAACTGTAGCAGCAGAGGCTGGTTTTATTGCTGAACAAAGTAGAGGCTACCTAAAACCTTACTGATTGCGGTGACAACAATGTCCATTGGTGGTGATCTACATGTACATACCAAATACACACGCAACAGAGACGAAAGGCTGTGTAGCTGTAACTACATTGTAATGCTTCACGCATTTCAGCGATCATCAGACAGTAGCATCTACTATCGAGCAGGCCTAGATATCAAATTTTGATGCTAGTGTAGTTAGTGCGTATGTGTGAAGTGTGGACGTGGCAATGGGACAGAGCTGTAGAGTTGTTTGTGAGAACAGAGGCGATAACAGGGCATTGATACCGAGTCATCGAAGGCGATCGAGACAGTAGCGCAAGAACATAGCAGGCGTGAAGAGAGAGAGAGAAAGCACCATGACGCCAAGCCTGGTGCAGGTGCCATGTTGAAAAACAACTCATGTAACTGATGGCGTGAATTTGGACAGGTAAATACTTGTTCTCGTGTCTGCATTTTGATACCAACTCCGACCTCCTGTTGATGTTGACCGTTTTGTCTGCTTCCAGTATCTCCCCATTTCCCAGCCAGGCATAGGGGACACCGCTTGGTCGCACCAGTGCAGTTTCCATACCAAATACAGTCATGTACACTTCAACACTTTGCAGACCATACAGACAGGCAATACGAAACTGATGACTGAAAATCAGATTTTTGGAGCCTGTGTCACTGTGTGCCAAGTAATAGTTTCATTTCCTTGCAGTGTTGTTTAACGGTCTGGCACCCACAAAGGGCCACATTGAAGACGGATGCCATCAGGGTCACTTACGGGTAGACTCTCGTCTGCTACCTAATCCATGCTTGGGGGGGGGGGGGGGGGGGGAGAAAGTAACTTTGGTACCAGGCTGACCTGGGAGAAAAGGTCAGCTTCTGCACTCAGACGCGAAAATAATCATGATTCACGGTAGTGCTCTCGAACTCTTTGCGGTCTTGTCAAGGTCCAGGGGCACTGAGTCTGTGGCCCAGTGAATGCGTGCAGTGTGGGTTGTCCGTTTACAAGGCCGTAACACATATTCTAGATAAGCCGGTCAAGTGAATTTGACTTGGTCTTTGTACAGACAATTATTATGGCATCGAATACACGTACATGTATACCGGTATGAATGGATAAAGACAATACAGTCATATACTGATGTAGATCAGTATTCACCATACAATAGTCAATAGGCATTGTGACAGGTCACGACTATTTAGACATGTATTTGATCTCTTTGATCGGCTATTATTATAGATCGGGCTGGTGCATAATCATGACATTAGAGTACTTATCCTATACAGTGAAGAAGAGGTTGGTGCGACTTCGGCGATACCTGGGGGATTGTGTGTTGCTCCCTACATTGGGAGCTCGCGCTTTTCCTGCCGACTTGAATTCTCACTTGACTAACTCACGACTGCCATCCAGAGCACACGAGAAGTCCATCGAACCGTCCATTCGCAAACCTGCAAGAAAGCCACTCCCTGAGCTGATCCTATACAGCAAGAAGGGCTATGGTCAGCATCGACTCTCGATTCGTGTCCCCATGCGACATGACGATTGACGTGCTTGTCCAGCCTGTGACGGACGTGTAAGTCAGTGTGATAGACCTGCCACGGGCTGTTTGGGGAATCTGTCACAGGCCGCACTTTACCCCACCGAGCATAGGCCGTCACACCCTGGTGTGACTGTGCACAGGTCAGCGTTTCAACCTTTGCCAAAACTGGCCAATAACCATGATAACCTTCTTCTCCGTGGGCCTCCTGATCCTACAAGCTCGCTCGCTCTGCTGTGCAGGCGGTAACACACAGGGTTATCTTGACACGCTGGTGTTAGCTGTGAAGACCCACGCGTTCACCTCTACATGATGTAGTGACCGCAGACTCAGCGCAGAATGGTTATAGACCAGGGAGTCGTTTATACGACTCCCTGTGATGCTATTTGTTGGCGGTCTAGATTAGCGTTGGCGTCGTCGGATTATCAGCAGCTTGACATTTATAACCAGCAGTATAGTAACCAGTGTAAATGAAACCCCGCACGACCACACAGTCACAAGTAGGAGCTGGCTATCTCATCTTCATTCATTGCACGTTTAGGCGTTGGGCCGTCACAATGGAGCAAGCAAACTGTCAGTTACATGAACTGTTCGAGCATTCTTCCTCGGATTGTCCGAGAACGGGCCGTGGCGCACGGGCGAAAGGCCAAGTTGATCTCCAGGGATCGCCAGCGCATGGCACTGTAGAGGAATGGACCGAGGATTGGTGAATAAATAATGGCGAATCCGAATCCGAACTCATAGTTCACTGCAAGATGCGCAGAGAGCGGAAACAGTGTTTCAAACACAACAAGCGAAAATGCTTCCAGAGCGAGTCTGCCGCTGGCTGGGGCTCATAATGCTGGCAGGCTGCTGTGTGTTGCAGGTGCAGGATGTCCGGGCGAATGAGGTAAGCCATGCCGCGTAGCACCGGCGATAGATCTTCACGGCCCACTGTCTGCACTTGTAGTTGTACATTGTACAGACTCAGTGAATGTATGAAGCACTACTCTGGATGATCATACTTTTGCATCGAATATAGTATCATGGTACCCTTTTGAGGACCCAGGTCCCTCATATCCTTTCCCCGCCATTTTACCTCAAGTTGTATTATTATTATACAGTATAGCACGTCAGATTGTATAAAATACAGATTTTTGCCTCCTAGAGTACGTTTTTCACACCAGAGGTACATTGTTCACAGGGGCGTCGGAAGGTATTTTAGTGTGGTACGGTCAGTTATCTGAAGTACAGTTTACTCGTGGGGGAGGGATGGCGGAGCCGAAAATTTTGGAAATTTAGAGTCCAGATCAGTGTATTTTATTGATTCACGGGGTACCTGGGGCAAAAAGTGGTACGGTCAATACCGGAGTGACCGTACCGTGTCCGACACCCCTGGGTCAAGTCATAGTATTTTAAAATGACACGGAGTCCTATGCAACGGCCATGACTAGTAACATTGCGACACTGTAGATCTAGCAACTGGCTTTGTTACACCGTCACACACCGTATTGTGACCTTCACTACAGTGGTGCTGAGTGGTGCTGAAAGAAATCCAACACTGGTGACTGAAATCTAAGCTTGCAGCTAGTCTGAGATCCAGCAGTGCAACGCAACACTCTACATAGTTATATGCAGTGGTGCCAGGTAAAATCCAACCCGCGGAAGCTTGCCGCTAAGCTGAGATCCAGGGCAGCTTTCCGTTCAGTTGGGGTCCAGGGAAGCTTTCCGTTACTAAAGTTGGCGCCCAGGGCAACTTTCCGTTAAAGGGGAAGTATGGTCTAGAATCAAAACGCCACGACTCGAAGTCTCCAGGGTGCTGAGTCGAATGGGTCTTGGTTTGAGGAAGCTGAGACGCTCCCTTCCTCCTTTATTCCGAATTCAACTCACCACTTCCACCGAAACTGGGTGACTGCGCCCTACTAGATGGGGATTTATATGCAACATGTCCGTAAAATAGCTATTTTATTCTTATAAAAGCACGGATGAACGAAATTGGCACATATAATTGTAGTCTTTTGGATGCTGAGTCGACTGGTTTTGATCCAAGAAGGCTGCGATGCAGCTTTTGGCCCTTATTCCCAATCGAACACGGTTGAGTAAGCGGTCACGTGCTGATGCATACACCAGTCACCCGGTCACCGTGCCTGCAGGCTACAACTTTCACACCAAGGCTCAATTCGAGTGACAGGACGTGCTAAACAGGCTTGTAGTCGTTCTTGCAGCAGTGTTACTCGTGGAACATCCACGGTTCTCCACCCCCCCCCCCCCCCTCTCCTGTGTCTGAGTTACTTGTACACAGACTCGGCCATAGTCCATCTGCAGGCAGGATTGGTCACCTTCCATCTTCGTTCTAGCTCATTTTTTCCCCTGTCATAGTCCTGTTTATCATGTTCAGCATAAGCGAAGTTGTGGATCATGCTTGCATGGTTGACACCAATGCGTACGTGCAAGTAATAAATAATAATAATAATAATAACAAATTTACTAGTAGAAATGCGGATCTTTTGTTCTTCATCCCTGTGATAGCTCTCCCCCCTAACTGGCCTATGCCTTCGATACTGTGGAAGAGGCTTAATTAAAGTGTGGGCAGTCAGTGGAGGAGGTGGTTGGGGTAACATACTGGTATAGTGAACATGGTTGGTGGTGGGTGGGGGATTCCAGCATTATGAGATAACCCCTAAGCATATGCATGCCATTAGAGGCAGTAACATCACCCGGAATTAAAATGTGGCAAAGAATGTATTCAATTGATAGTGTGTAACAGTTCACCAGTTTGTAACTGCATAAGCTTGCTTGATGTGAATTTTGCTTTACAGTCATGTGTAAGCGCTACCAGCACATTCGCCACAGTCATCGATACGACGTACAGCATGGGAGACGACATAGCCGAGGTGAGCTAATCCGCGGCCGTGTTGCTTCATCCGAGATGGTATGATGCTGTTTGGCTTCCATTAAACCACACATGATTGTCAATATCTGTGTGCGTGGGGTGGGAGTGGGAGTGGGGGTGTATGCATGTGTGCGTGACACGATTTCCTTGTCACGTTCCGTCTAAAAGTCATTCTCTCAGTCAGTATTCTAAAGCATAAAATAGACTGCTGCAAAATAGGCTTACTAAGTTACTATTGCCCTTCTTCAAATGTATCTCTCTGTATGTACGAATGGATGACTCTTGTCGTTTGTTTTCTTCCCCAGGTTTGCGACTTCATGAACCTTTTGGCGGCATCTGTTGCAGAGCGTTTCAACGACTTTCTCTTCGTTCCGTTCAATGACGTTGGTGGAAATCTAACTCGTACGTTTGCTAGTCTCATGCATACACTGGAACAGGATGACAATGTTGTTATTCAGGATTCCATGCTCGCTGTACACCAGGCACACAATTCTAGCACGTGCCAGCAAAGAGGAAAGTAGAGGTCCTATATTCGGCCAGAGGTCAATAGTATCGTGTTATCTCTTTGCAGTGCATCATTCCATATCGAAATAATTATGCTGATTGCACATCATAAAATGTGGCTAGCAAGTAATGCTAGCAAAGCAAGGCATGTGCTGCAATACGGTGCTATGCTCCATCAGGCTTGACTTCTGTTTTTTTTCTCTCTCCCTGTACTATTCATCGGCAGCGTATGGCCCTGCTAAGAGACTAGCAACAGCCCGGGCATTGGGCCAAGAGGTATGCAGATGGCCAGGCCGTGTTACGGGCGGCGGAGACTGCAACGAGCTCTCGCTGAGCGGCTTATCATTGGCCATACAAGAGTCAAGTCCGGACTCGGTCATCGTAGTGTTTACCGATGCTGGTGCCAAGGATGTGGACAAACTCGGCTCCGTACTCTCTGAGATTCGCCGGAAGAGGTTGAAGGTGAGACGCTTGTGGGAGAGCTTTGGGCCTGGGATTTTCGGTCTTTGACCACTCTGTGGTGGGTCTGATCTACTAACCTCCCACCACTTTAGGAGCTGCATCTGCACCTTGATCAACAGAGGGTGGTGGCGTCCCTATGGATGCGGCGGACAACTCGACCTCCAGCCGAGTCGAGCGCGAACCGTGATTTTATTATTGTTTTTTTGGGGGCCTAGACCGGTGAGTCGGAAACACATGTCAGGAAGGGCCTGTTCTGAGAGGATGAACCTGAACCATGTGGGGATGCTGGGCAGTTACAAACTCTATGATCAGGCAATCACAGCTTCTTGGGTGGGCAAGGTCGCTATAATCTGTCACATCCCCTGCTAAGACACAAACTTGCTCCCCAGTGAGATTTTGCTGTTTCATTTTATTTTTAAGTTGCTATCAATTCATTAGCACACGAAGAGATGAAGCCAGTTGTAAATCTCAGGGTAAGGCCTTTCGCACCATTACTTCTCAAATCAGTCATGGTAATAACTCTTCGTGTCCTAATATGTTTCCCTCCGACTAAGTCACCATTATCAATGTATACCACTACTGAAACTTGGAAACACTAAAAACATGTGACCTTATCTGTAATGTAGGTGTCAGAGGAATGGAACTCTTCCTGGTTGGGAACATTATATCGCCCAATGTCAAGGGCATGCACCATCTTTGCTGTTGGAGTAGTTTGCACTTGCATGCCAGTGTGCTGCAAACTCACTCCCATTTCTAAATTCCTGTGATTGCATTCACTTTGATTTTCTGCTTTCTCATAGGTTTTCTTTCTCCTGAGTAAAACGTGTGGTGACACTCGCAGCCCTGGCTACCTCGCGTATGACACGATAGCATCCACCTCTGGTGGTCAGGTGTCCATGCTCCGCGAAGTCGACATTCCCGAGCTGCTCCGGTTCATCCTGGTCGGAGAGGGCTCCCTGTCATGCCGATCAAACCCTCTGGTATTGTCGGAGAGCAGGCCAAACCGATGGTCCAAGTCCTTCATCATACCCGCCAATACGGATACGCTCACCGCACAGGTGAGCTGCCAGAGCGGCCGACCGTTTGCCCAGCTCATGCACGGCAGTTCGGCCAACCGCGGACCTGTGTCGACTGTCAACTTGCCCAATGGGCTACTGCTCACGACTAGCAACCCGACCAGTGGCGGAGGAACAATACTCATCATGCACTCGTCCAGATGCTCGGTCAGTGTTGTTTCAGTTGGCTGCAATCAGGCTTCAGCGGTCATCTGTGGATTTTCCGCTCGAAGACGTGAGACAGTGTCCAGAGTCCCTACAGGTATGGTTCCTTATGCACGCATAGAAGACACACTAAACCACTCAGGCAGTAGGTGTAACTCACAGGTTCATGTCTGTGGCAATCTTCAGGCAACTGTTCGTTCATGATGCATGTTATTACTTGGAATCCATCGACACTGCAGTGTTTGCCTTGCGTAAATCTTCGATTGAATGGAGCCTTGTTTGAATGCAAGCCTGGCGCCTTTAGGCTGGGCTTTCGGTATGTAAGTATGCGGCTTGTGCTCACAATGCGTGTACCTGATTTGAATAGAAGCCCGGTCATTGTAGGCTTTGTGCGTGAATAAGCCTGATCTTTCTAAAACCGGGCTACTTTAAGCTCGCCAGTGCAGTTACTACATGTACCGTATTTTCCAGAGTATAAGTCACACCCAATTTTGTTGTCACAAAATACAGACATCTACCCTGTTTATCACAATTAACTTAATTTTGACCATCATAATATAAGCGCACCGGCCTGTTTTGGGTGACTTACTTGGTTTTAGAGTGCGCCTTATACTCGAGAAAATGCCGTTCATGCCTATTGGCTAATCATTCACCAAAGCATTGCGTGGATTATGCTGAGGTGAAGGGTTGGTATCGCCTGGACAACTAACACCCTAATCATTCTGCCTATTGTGTGCTTGTCCTCTTCCGTATCCGTATACCCAGCTGACGTGACGCATTTTCATTTTCAAAGCCAACCGGGAGTCCGAATCACCCGCCTGCGCTTCATCTCCCCAGATGGACGAATCCTGAATGAGCGCTCGCTAAACTCAGTCGTCACCTCCTCGGATGGCAAATTCAGTGTCGGTCGCTATCGCCTTCCAAGAGAAACATTCCGCTTGGAAATCTCGGGTGTCGACCGCTTGAATCGGCGATTCTCCACGCTTTCAGCAACTGCATATGATGCATCGCTCCTGAGAAGTAAGAACTAGATAGTCAAACAGCCATACTGTTTCACATGTGTTTTTGAGATAGCAGTACGTGTTCTAGTATGCCAGCACTCGTGCAAATGGTCCAGGGCAGATTTCCAACCTCCGATTTAATCCAGTTTTCTTGCCAGTTTGCTCTCATGTAAGTGGGTGTGTGACCTGTTCGTACTTGCAAAATCAAATAGAAGAGTACATGCATAGATGAGTACATGCATTATACCGAATACACACTCGCTGGATATTATACTTGTAACCAAGTATGAACTTAGTAACAACTCTTGGTAAAACTATACCGATACTTTTTTTCAGTTTCAGATCCAGCGATCTCTACAGGAGGGGGGGGGGGGGGGTCCAGTATAGTCAAAACTGAATAGCTGATACATGTACACGGACATGCATATGGTTGCCAGAAGTACATTTACAAAATTTAGGGGGGTCTGCAGAGCCCCTGGAACCCCTCCTGGATTCGCCGCTGAGTTTTATTGAGTATGCACGAATTACCGTATCATGAGTGTGCGGATCACCTTGACTTGTCAGTGTGTGGATCACCTTGACTTTGAGGTATCATGAGTGTGTGGATCACCTTGACTTGTCAGTCAGTCTGAGTGTGCGGATCACCTTGACTTTGAGGTAGCTATACAAGCCATACGTGTTATTGATCATACTAGCCTTGGGGAGGGGGTTTCCCCATGACTTCCTTCAAAACAGTAATCTAGCCAGGCCAATCTAGTGCCACTGAGTAGGAGTGGCAACAAATGAATAGACGTCGGTGACTTTGCAGCACGCTCATCGGCAAGAACAAATGCAGCGTCGACTTTTATGAACGCTGTGACGTGAACTTCAGTTGGTACATTTTGGTAGCATGACTGGTGATTATGTATTTTTTATTTATTTATTTTTTTACAATGATCACAGCTCAAAGGCAAAGACGAGAAATTGCATAGTGGGAGCATAGTGATGGTGAGGCTTTTTGCCCTCAGCCGACCTGAGGTCTCGACGTCATGGGGACATAAAACGCACCAAAAAAAAGAAGAAAAATGAAAGGAGTGACAGGTACATGATACGAAATGTTAGGAGGAGAGACAGTACATTAGAAGGAGGGGAATGATAACACAGACAGTGCTAGGAGGAGAAGGAGAGAAAAGAAGAACAGACGTTATTGGGAATAGTATGTGGAGCGGAATTTGGAAGTCATGGGGTGAGGCAGATATGATGCTGATGATCAGAGGTGGTCATGTGCCCACGACCAGTCGTTGGTCTTCAAATAGCGGTTGGCTGCAACTTTGAAGTGTTGCAAGTTCTTGGTGCAGAAAGGACCAGAGAAGACTCCGGCGGGCAGCTGGTTCCAGACGGGGACAACTGCGTGAGGGTAGGCTCGACACAGGTTGTTTCGGGAACGGACTGGAAGTTCATTGGCCAGTTGGTGTGCGTGAGTATTACATCTCTGGAATGTACTACGGGTGGAGTGGACTGTTCGGTGTTGGGGCTGCTGGGGTGGCAGCATCCTCTGTAGAAGGGGATGCGCATCCGGACAATGCATCTTGTACAGGAGGCAAAGTGCTGCAACCATCCGACGAAGAGCAAGACTCGGCAGCCAACACATTGGGGCGATGGCACGGATGGCCCGGGCTTGCACACGGTCGAGTCTTGCAAGATGGGATGGGGCCGCTCCCATCCAGACAATAGGGCAGTACTCCATCCCTGGGCGCACAAAAGCATTGTAGGCTTGGATGCGACCGGGCACGTCTAGGAAGTGGAAAGCCTTACGCAAAGCACCAAGTCGCTGTGTTGCCCGGAGGGCTACGGTGCGAAGGTGGCGCCGGAAGGTAAGCTGACCATCGAAACTGATGCCCAAGATTTTGAGCTCCTCCTGTTCCGTCACATTTGATCCGTTGAAGTCAATCGGTGGCATGTCCCATTGGGTGCGGTGGAAACTGACGGTCAGTGCCTGGGATTTGGCTGGTTCAAATTTTATTTTCCATTCTTAACCCCAGCGGGAGATGTTGTTGACTGCTAGCTGGAGGGCTTGGGTGGTATCTTCTTGGGTGGTGGGGGTGATGTTGGCATACAGCGTAGTGTCGTCTGCGAACGAGGCTAGGTCAGCACCGGCTGGTACGTGGTCCTCGCAGTCGTTCACGTACATGAGGAAGAGAGTCGGACCCAGAATACTGCCCTGGGGGACTCCAGCCTGAATTGGGAGCCTCTGGCTTGAGGATGTCTGGCCACAAATGACCACTTGAAGGTAGCGTTCACTGAGGTAGCTGCTGAGCCACTGGTGCAGTTGTATGTGTAAAGAACAGCATTACAGTATGGAAACTCATATCTTCTGACATGTTCCACTCGGTTCCCGTCACTAGGTCCGGTGGCGATTGCTCAAGTTCCAGTCACCAATCGTTTCACGGCAGTGCGCTGTGCCGAGGTGACGGTGCGGTGCTCGGTTCAACTGGATGGCCTGCAGGTTCCCGTCACCTGGGCTAAAGACGGCAGAACGCTGGCCGCCGACCACCGTCTCGGTATCAGCGGCACGCGTGGAGAGGTGCTGACGTTCAGGACCGTTGTCAGGAGCGACGAAGGCGTCTACACGTGCTTTCCGGCAACGGCGTCAGGACAGCGGACTTACGTAGCTGTCCACATGACTGTGCAGGGTAAGCTATTACAAGTTCCTCTAGGGAATGGCTGGAAATGTAGTCACGTTCTGTGTACTTGTCCACATGAGTCATTTCCCAACATTTCTCATTTCTAATTTAAAGTAATTTTGATTGAAATGCATTTAGCATGGACATCTGACACATGGACATTGTGCAATTGGGTTAATGCAAGATTTGCATGATGCCATGCTGCATGCGGAGACTTCACACACCAACGAACGCAGCGGGGAAGCTCATCTAGCCTAGTATTTTCCGAAACGGCACTGTTGTTGAACTATGTTACATTAATTTTTTATGTTGTGATGCAGTACCGGCCATGGTTAGTTGGCGACTACACAACACTATGTTGTGTTGACATTAAGAAAAACAAATCCAAACATCTGCCACTCCCGCTGGCTCTCTAGCCAGTTCGATATTTTGGCAGCTAGTCCTAGATGTGTGTTTGGAGTTATTGCCCAATATAAAACCTAGGAAGGAGATGACTTGCCGCGAAATAGTCTTACACTTGACGAGGAATTTCATGCTCGTCAGGCAATTAAGTCTTGCTTTGCACCCCATTCTTCTTGCAGACAACCCTGGCATACCTGAAGAAGACTGCAATGTCTGCTCAGAGTTGCGCTGCCCGGACTCGCCAGTGCTGGAGTGGCATCACAACAACACACAGTTGTCTTCTGGACCTGAGTACACGATTCTCCGGCCGGACACGCTCCGGTCCTGTCGCCGACCGTTGTCTGATCGAGCCGGTGTGTATACCTGTGTGACCCAGCGTGGCACATGGTCGTTCACAGTGACATCAACGTTTCACACATTCCTGGGATCGGTGACCGGAGCAGCACAGCAACGGGGTGAGTAAAAATGTACTATGCCTCTTGTACGGGAAGGAGTTAATAATGTGCATACGTATGCATCTTGTACAGGAATGAGTTAATAATGTACATACGTATGCCTCTTGTACGGGAAGGAGTTAATAATGTACATACGTATGCCTTTTGTACGGAAATGAGTTAATAATGTACATACGTATGCCTCTTGTACGGGAATGAGTTAATGTGGACGGTCTTAGGTTACTATTGAAGTAGGCTCTATGTTCACTATCAATAATTCATGTATGGTGGAAGCCTTGGTAAGCCCTAACTGCCCATCCCTTCAGCCATGCTCCGACGTTTGGTGTGTATATCTGTGTGTGTGTGTGTGTGTGTGTGTGTGTGTGTGTGTGTGTGTGTGTGTGTGTGTGTATGGTACATGGTGTGTGTGTGTGTGTGTGTGTGTGTGTGCATGTGTGTGTGTGTGTGTGTGTGTGTGTGTGTGTGTGTGTGTGCACAAGCTGTTACCCTATCAATTTTTGAAGCACACACGAGCAGTAGAGCTTATGTGATGACTCATCACTACATCATCACTACATCAACGCTTCTATACCTGACCTAATACATGCAGATGCGGAACAGCAAGAAAATGTGTTCATTACCTCCTTCCCTCCCCTCCCCTGCAAGAATGTGTTCATTACCTCCTTCCCTCCCCTCCCCTGCAAGAATGTGTTCATTACCTCCTTCCCTCCCCTCCCCTGCAAGAATGTGTTCATTACCTCCTTCCCTCCCCTCCCCTGCAAGAATGTGTTCATTACCTCCTTCCCTCCCCTCCCCTGCAAGAATGTGTTCATTACCTCCTTCCCTCCCCTCCCCTGCAAGAATGTGTTCATTACCTCCTTCCCTCCCCTCCCCTGCAAGAATGTGTTCATTACCTCCTTCCCTCCCCTCCCCTGCAAGAATGTGTTCATTACCTCCTTCCCTCCCCTCCCCTGCAAGAATGTGTTCATTACCTCCTTCCCTCCCCTCCCCTGCAAGAATGTGTTCATTACCTCCTTCCCTCCCCTCCCCTGCAAGAATGTGTTCATTACCTCCTTCCCTCCCCTCCCCTGCAAGAATGTGTTCATTACCTCCTTCCCTCCCCTCCCCTGCAAGAATGTGTTCATTACCTCCTTCCCTCCCCTCCCCTGCAAGAATGTGTTCATTACCTCCTTCCCTCCCCTCCCCTGCAAGAATGTGTTCATTACCTCCTTCCCTCCCCTCCCCTGCAAGAATGTGTTCATTACCTCCTTCCCTCCCCTCCCCTGCAAGAATGTGTTCATTACCTCCTTCCCTCCCCTCCCCTGCAAGAATGTGTTCATTACCTCCTTCCCTCCCCTCCCCTGCAAGAATGTGTTCATTACCTCCTTCCCTCCCCTCCCCTGCAAGAATGTGTTCATTACCTCCTTCCCTCCCCTCCCCTGCAAGAATGTGGTCATTACCTCCTTCCCTCCCCTCCCCTACAAGAATGTGTTCATTACCTCCTTCCCTCCCCTCCCCTGCAAAAATGTGTTCATTACCCCCTTCCCTCCCCTCCCCTGCTCCCATGAAACTAAATATTGCCGAATAAGAAGTAAGGAACAGAAAAAAGACTTAAAAGCCAAAAGGAGTGCTATGGTAAAGAGGATAGTCGTGCTGGTCCCGTGTTGTACGCAGAAGGACAGGCTACCTAAGACATACATAACAGAAGGACAGGCCACCTAAGACATACATAAAAGATGGCCGCAACAAAGACCCCCACTGCTCACCATGAATAACATAGCTTTGCTCTAGAGCAAAATATTCATACCGTCCAAGATCCAACCATATCACGAAAATCAAGAGAATATGTGTGACTTCTTGAGTTCTGTGCGCATGTATGCTGTGTGCAGAAACCGTCTTGGGAGGTTGCGACGTGCATGGCAATGTACAACATGGCGCTGTGAGATATTCTGCATCTGGTAAGGCTATGGACATCTCGCAACACTGGGTTTTGTGCTGTGTTCAATGATACTGTTGCCATTGCTATTAGAGTAGTGGCCATGAATAGTTCAGTATTGACCTGGTGTGTCTGGCATTACATCACTTACAGGCCCGCCGGAATTGGTCCGGTTGCTCAGCGTATCACCGGACCAACTTTGTGGCCACCAACACATGTTTATTGCTAAGGAGGTTGTAATTACATTGTATTATATCATCGCCCCCCCCCCCCCCCACACACACACACTGCATATCAAACACAATGTATTATATCATCGCCCCCCCCCCCCCCCCACACACACACTGCATATCAAACACAATGTATGAAAGGGTTTGGTACGACCGGACTAATTGAATACTGCTTCCGGTGGTCCTGGCTTAGCGTAGGGAGTTCTATAATTTACTGTAAAACCGGAAAGTCTAACGAGTCACAAAGTCTAACGTTTTAAAGGGGAAGTTAAGGCAAAAATTAAAATTTCACCAGTTGTAGTCTTCGGGGTGCTGAGTCGAATGGTCTTGGTCCGAGGAAGCTGAGACGCTCCCTTCCTACTTGAATCCCAATCGAACTCGCGCACTTCCACCGAAACTGGGTGACTGCGCCCTACTAGATGGGGATTTGTATGCAAAATGTCACTAAAAGCGCCATTTCGTTCTTATAAAAGCACGGATGACCGCGATTGGCCCATATGTTGTAGTCTTTTGGACGCTGAGTCGACTGGTTTTGGTCCGAAAAGGCTGCGATGCAGCGTTCCTCCTTTATTCCCAATCGAACATGGTTGAACAAGCGGTCACGTGGTCCTGGGTGCCCAAATCACCTGGTCACCACGCCAGCAGGTGACAACTTTCACACCAAGGTTCAACTGGAGTTCAACTCGAGTGACAGGACTGCACCCAAAAAAGGTCAAACAGGCTAGTAAGTTGTACCCTGCAGGCACGGTGACCAGGTGACTGGTGTACGCAGGAGCACGTGACCGCTTCTTCAACCATGTTCGATTGGGAATAAAGGAGGAACGCCGCATCGCAGCCTTTTCGGACCAAAACCAGTCGACTCAGCGTCCAAAAGACTACAACATATGGGCCAATCGCGGTCATCCGTGCTTTTAGAAGAACGAAATGGCGCTTTTAGTGACATTTTGCATACAAATCCCCATCTAGTAGGGCGCAGTCACCCAGTTTCGGTGGAAGTGCGCGAGTTCGATTGGGATTCAAGTAGGAAGGGAGCGTCTCAGCTTCCTCGGACCACGACCATTCGACTCAGCACCCCGAAGACTACAACTGGTGAAATTTTAATTTTTGCCTTAACTTCCCCTTTAACGACCAATTATTTTTCGCTATTTGACAAAAACCGATATCGCTAGATGTCTGTGTAAAGATGCGCATACAGATGGGTGGCCAGGTAGCCATCGTTAAACTTTCTGCACGCTATCATGCCAAAATTACAAAAAAACGTTAAACTTTTTGGTCGTTAGACTTTCCGGTTTTACAGTAGCCGACATGTTGCTCTTTCCATCCACTAAGTACTGTATTCTGAATGTGGCAATGTGCTTACTGTTGCCGGTTTTCAGGCCGTGGTACACGTGCAGAGTTCTCTTGCCAGCCTGGCTACACGCTATCAGGACGTGCGCGATCGGACTGTGTCTCGGGTACTTGGTCATCGGCAGCCCCACCAGTGTGCCTTGTGATGGTCACTGCTCCGCCAGCCACCACACCACCTCCAGCACCGAGTACTGTGGTGGGAGGTTGCGAGTACTTGCCAGCCATTACCAATGCCAGAGTACGCTACACAACAGGTCAGGGAGGATTCCTCAACAGTATAATGATAGTATGATGACAGTATGATGATAGTATGATGATAGTATGATGATAGTATGATGATAGGGAAGGCCTCTTTTACGGGCAAAGCAAAGCACAATCATCACCATGTATCAGTACAGTGAGTAGTTAAACCCAACACGAATGAAAAATGTGAAATGGAATAAAAACAATATTTGTAAAAAATAAATAAATTAAAATTAAAATTCAATATCGAACACGAATAAAATAAAATAAACAATATGTAAAAAATAAACAATATCGAACACGGAATTAATTCCGGAACTATCTACTCAACCAATTCATAATGCAATACCCGCACACTGCGTCAGTATGATGATAGTATGATGATAGTATGATGACAGTATGATGATAGTATGATGATAGTATGATGACAGTATGATGATAGTATGATGATAGTATGATGATAGTATGATGATAGTATGATGATAGTATGATGATAGTATGATGATAGTATGATGATGACAGTATGATGATAGTATGATGATAGTATGATGATGACAGGATGATGATAGTATGATGATAGTATGATGATAGTATGATGATAGTATGATGATAGTATGATGATAGTATGATGATAGTATGATGATAGTATGATGATAGTATGATGATAGTATGATGATGACAGGATGATGATACTCCTCCATGTCGAGCCGACATCGCGTCTCCAACTGTTGTTTCCAGTAGCGGCAATGCCCTGCTGCCAGTGCCAGCTCACGGGGAAGTGTCAGCGATGTGCTTGCAAGGCTGCTGACACCCCATGTGTTGACTGCTACCCGAGTCGCAACAACCCATCAACCTGCAGAAGTAGCACTCCAGGCGTTGGGACTGGGGCGTCCTGTGGCCACAGCACTGGTGTGGGTGACGACGCTACATGTAGTTCCGGAACTCGCGTTACCAACAGCCAGGTGGATGGTGTAGTTGTCAACGGCAGTACATCTCAGGCTGCCAGTCGGGATGGTCCTGTACACAGCGCAACTAGGTCTGGCGCCGACCTTCGCCCAAGCGTGGATTGGCGCGATCAACCCCCTGCATGGTTGAGAAGAGTTTACCCAAGTGAGATTTCCACGCAACGTCGAACTCGCGCTGGAGCCCGGGATGCGTCTTTGGCAGCGGCACCATCATCTTCACCAGCCAACACACAAAGCCAGGACATGCCACCGCTGGTTCCTACAGCGCCTCCAGTACACTTGGCGGTGAACCAGGACAATGCTGAGTCTAGTCCCGCTCGGGAAAGCGCCAACTCTCGATTTGCTCCTACTCCTGGAGACGAACAGGAGATACTACCAGTGCAGGGCATCGGGCGAGAGGATCAGGGACAACTCTCCATAACGTCGTGCTATGATGAGATCGTTCAGTGGCGGAAGCAGTTCTTTCGTATCCCGACGGGGTCCATTGGCAAGGCTTTTGTCAATCTATTAGTTGCAGAGCTTCGACGGTTCACTGACTCTGCTGGCACTGACTGCATCGCTCTCTACCGGTTCTCCGTGCTTCCTTCCCTGATGTTGCAGTCAACCCGTAGCAATAGCAAACCAAAGGAGAATACTCTGCATTTGCAGCGGCGAATGGCATTGTGGCAAGCGGGGAATTTGACGTCATTAATGAGCGAAGGCCGCTGCCTGCAAGACTTGCTGTTTCGGCCTCGTAAGGGAGGCCGCAAGCGAGGTGAGGAAGATGAGGCTCGCCACTTCTCCAACCTCATGTGCCAGGGCCGTGTGCATGATGCACTTAGATGCCTGGATCCAGTCAGACGTGGTGAAGCGGGTGGTGTGCTGAACATCAACGATACCGTACCTCTCCGGGATGGTTCCTCTATTCCTGTCAAAGAGGCATTACTGGACAAGCATCCGGAGGCTCGGCTACCACCTTCTGAAGCCATGCTGCCTGGGGATGCCCCCGGTGTTGAAGGCATACGTTTCGATGGCCTCACTGCTGAGTTTCTGAAATCCGTGGCGATGCACTCGGAGGGATCTGCAGGTCCGTCTGGGATGGACTCAGCATGTTGGCGGCGGATGTGCTCCTCTTTTAAGGGGGCATCAACCAGTCTGTGCCAGGCTATTGCTGACCTCTCTCGTCTTCTTGCTACCCGTGTTCTTCCCGCTGAAGGCCTGGTGCCGTTTCTGTCTTGCCGGCTGATTGCCCTTGACAAGCAGCCTGGCGTACGTCCTATTGGCGTGGGCGAGGTGCTTAGGCGGATAGTATCGAAGGCTATTCTGCGCATTGCTTCCACTGACGTGGAGGCAGCCTGCGGACATCTTCAGAAATGCGCTGGATCACCAGGTGGCATTGAAGCAGCAGTGCATGCCATGCAAGACATTTACAACGAATCGTCCACTGAGGGAGTGCTGTTGGTGGATGCCAGTAACGCATTCAACAGCATAAACCGACAGGCAGCTCTGCATAACGTTCAGCGCCTCTGTCCAGCACTATCCACCATTCTTCTAAACTCCTATCAGTCGGAGGCACGTCTGTTTGTCGCTGGTGGTGGGGAGATTTCGTCAAAGGAGGGTACTACCCAGGGAGACCCGCTGTCCATGGCATTTTATGCATTGGCCACACTCCCCATCATTCGGCATTTGCAGCAGCAACACGACGCCGTTAAGCAGATTTGGTATGCGGATGACTCCAGTGGTGCTGGCAGGATGAGAGCGATTCGAGACTGGTGGACAACAATCCAGGAACACGGTCGCCTGTATGGATATTTCACCAATCCGGACAAAACCCTACTTCTCGTGAAGCCCGGATTGGAGGAGGAGGCTTCACATCTGTTTGAAGGCACCGGTGTCCGCATTGTCACCGGCAGCACTAAATATCTGGGCTCATACATCGGGGAGCCTGATGATGTTGCCAGCCAAGTGAGGGAGAGGGTTGATGATTGGTGCAAGGAGCTACGCACATTAGCAAAGTTTGCCAGCACAGAGCCTCACGCGGCTTATGCAGCTTTGACTCATGGCCTGCGGGGTCGTTGGGTCTACCTCTTTCGTACGGTTCCCATTCCGGAGGACGCAGTATCAGCGTTGGACAAGGTAATCGAAACTGAGTTCTTGCCGGCTGCAACTGGTCGAGATGCATTCACCACGGAGGATTTGGTGATGCTCAGGCTGCCGACTCGTTTCGGGGGAATGGCCATTCCACACTTTCACAGCATGAGCGGGACAGAGCGCGACGCTTCCAGAGCAATGACAGCAGCCCAGGTTAGTGAGATTCTGCAACAGAACAACACATCATGGACCAAGCAAGCACCGGAACGTGTTCGGCAAGATGCTATGACAGCCAAGAGGGATTTTGCCAGACAACGCGGCACAGCAAGTGAGGCTGAGTCCCGCCAGCTGCGGCAGTCGGCGTCGGCGGATATGTCGCGTCGTTTGGAGCATTTGTCCTCCCGAGGTGTCTCTAGCTGGCTCAACACACTGCCTATCAGAGAACACGGATATCATCTGTCGAAGGGAGATTTCAGGGATGCGTTGGCGTCGCGGTATGACTGGGCATTGGTTGATGTGCCTACTACCTGCTCTTGTGGCCAACCGTTTAGTCCGGCCCATGCCATGTGTTGCCCTACTGGTGGTTTCCCCACCATTCGGCACAATGAAGTTCGCGATATTCTTGCCGACTTACTTACTGAAGTTTGCTCGGATGTCGCTGTCGAGCCTCAGCTTGCTCCGGTTTCGGGAGAGGTGTTTCTGGCAGCCTCAACTATCACCGCCAACGATGCTCGCGCTGATATCCGGGCTCGAGGGCTGTGGACCAGGGCACAGAATGCTTTCCTGGATGTCCGGGTTTTTCATCCCGATGCTCCGTCCTATGCCACCAAACCTCTCGACAAACTGTTGGCGGAGCATGAGAGGAAGAAGAAGCTGCAGTATGCTGAGCGCATCATCAATGTGGACCGTGGGACATTTACTCCACTAGTTTTCACCACGGCCGGTTGTTGTGCGCCAGAGTGCTCCAGATTTGTTAAGCGCCTGTGTGGCCTCATTTCGAGTGGGGACACGAAGTTGTATGCCCAGACAATTACATATGTCCGGTGTCGACTGGCGTTTGCATTGTTGCGGTCGGCGATCATGTGCATCCGCGGTGCTCGATCGTCATATCACCGTCCTGTGAATGCATTGCGAGAGTTGGCAATCTCGGAGGGCCGGCTGTGAGGTTTTGGAGACGATGGTGGGCAGGACAGTGCCCTTGTATTTTCCTGGTTTTTGTTTTTTGTTTGTTTTTGTTTTTGGTGTTTTTTTGTTTTTTGTTTTTTTTTGTTTCTCGTTTTTGCGTTTTTTCACACATACAATTGTTTTCATTTTTTGGTGTTGTGTTCTAATCATTCGCCATGCCACTGTCAATTGTATTCTGTTTGCCCGTAAAAGAGGCCTTTTTTGCTGTTGGTATGATGATAGTATGATGATAGTATGATGATAGTATGATGATAGTATGATGATAGTATGATGATAGTATGATGATTCATTTTCATTTTTTTGCACCCTCCTTTATCCGGATCTTCCTTATATGGACACCGCTCTCAGCCTTTCTGGGACTATCGAGTAGTATTTTTTCAACTACTTTCATAGACTGATCATACTCTAAGTTTTCACCAAGGAGTTATAGCATCTAGGGAGGTTGCTCGATACCACGGTTACTGAAACAATGTGCGTTTTGAGCCCGGGTTAGAAAGTTCTGGGAGATCAGTGATCTATGGAAAATGCAAAAGCAGTTATGACCCCATGAACTGCTGACCCCATGAACTGCTGACCCCATGAACTGCTGACCCCATGAACTACTGACGTCAAGTGTGAATTGTATAAACCAGCATTGTTCAAGATTATCTGTCTGTTTTGACTGCTTGTCTGTCTGCCTGTGTCATGCAGTTGCCTGCACAACCCGTGCCACGATAACATGCGACCGAGGCTACCAGGTGGCTGGTCAGGCTAGTAACACCGTGTACTGTATTGCGGGGTCATGGACATCCAGTACAGGCAGCTGTGTCATTAAGCAACTACCACCACTACCGGCCCCTCCACCCACCACTGACTCCTCAGCGGGCTGCGGTGAGTCCTCTTGGCTGATCATTCAATGTGATATTATGGTACTGACCCAAGATAACACCACTGTTCAGTGCTCCAACTGTTTATGCATAAGGCCACCCAGAATTAATTCGTTGTTTCGGGTCACCCGACCGACCGTCTTTTTTCACCCGACCGCAATTTTTTTTAGTGCATGCAAATGTGCATGACTACAACTACAGTACAAGGTAGACAATGTACACACGCGACCCAAAATATATAGCAGTCCAGACATCGACCTCAGAAGCAGCCAATTGACAGGATGCAGCACTTGGTGACGACGTTGTCTTCTATCTCCGATTCGCAATCGGTCCTGAAACAGCATCAGCTCCGCCACTGCGTTGCTCATTGACAGAAGTTTTCAAGAACTTCGGTGAGAGCTGCTCGTCAGACTCATTTGCCAGCAAGGCCAAGATCTGGTCCTGGAGGGGACCTGGATCTGATGGGACAATGGCTACGCTGGATCGACTACAGTCAGATTTGATCGACTAGCTTGATGGAGAAAAGCTATTCGATGTGCACAATTGTACATGTATGCACATGCCCGCAACTAAAATAAAAAATAAAATAAAAAATAAACCCGACCGACCGACCCTGATACGGATGAGTGAAGTGACCCGAAACAACGACTTAATTCTAGGTGGCCTAAGTGTCAGGTGTTAGGCCTCGTTTCCAGCATATCTAGCGCTCCCTGGTACTGTAGACAAAGGGGAAATCATGCATGTCAGCTTTATCTTATGCATCTATGCACTTCTCCTGTGCACAATGATGTTCTCTCACAGGAGTATCTCTGCGGGAATCCCAAGTACAAACCCAGCAGCTCAAGCGCACCATTGTGGCAATGCAGCAGCACGTAGTTGCTCTCAGAGAGCTTGTCCAGGACAAGGACAACGAGATCAGCACGCTTACCGATGAAGTCGAGGAGCACCTGTTGACCATCACGTCCTTGCGCGCCGATGTCAACACGTTGAAGAGTGGTGTGGCAACTCTGACGGTCATGCAGAACGAGAACGCTCGCTTTAAACAGCAGATGGCCACCCAGCTGGTCACGATTAAGGGTCTTCAAAGTGAGGCAGACCGGCTCAATGCTAGCGTGACAGTACAGGAAGAAGTGACCAAGGGTGAGTGAAACTCAACATTCAACACCACTGGAAAGTTGGAAACATATACCGATATACACAATGCCCCGATATACACAATGCCCCGGGTAACAGAAAATAGAAGTATACTGTAATGCTTCCCACTGTGTCTTAAATATGGTGTTCGGAGGCCACTGAGAGTGTAAAACAATCGTCAGTGCCGTTGTTGTTGTAGTTGTTGTTGTTGTAGTAGTTGTTGTTGTTGTAGTTGTTGTTGTTGTTGTTGTTGTTGTTGTTGTTGTTGTTGTTGTTGTTGTTGTTGTTGTTGTCTGTTTACATTGTAAATTTGAAGATAAAAAGGGCATGTACAGTCAACTTGGCTTATAACGACACGCGGCGGCGGGGCATCAAAAAGGTGTCCTTATTTGCGAAGTGTCGTTATACCTAAGTCTCATTATATGTATTACAGTGGGATTGGACTTTGCTCTGGGCATGGAAATTCTGTCGTTATTCGCGAATTGTCGTTATATCCGCACTCGTTATTAGCGAAGTTGACTGTATGTCCCAGTGAACATGACAGCCATTTGTAAAGGAAATTGTTCTGTGGATTGTGTGCACAGACTGCCAGGCAAAGCTAACTGTCATTCAGCATGTACTGGGAACCTGCCCGGCACCATAAGAAGCTCTGAACCGCACTACTCATCTCGCCACTCACTGGAGTTTCCTGTGCTTGAAGTAATGCTGCAACCGGCTATATTATGATAAATTAACAAACTCAGAGGTATTCCTTCAAGAGTACTTGATACACGTGACCGTATCACTTGCTACGGGTAGCTCTGTGTTCTGCCCCACACTTTCAGGGTATATTTTGCTGCTCCGGCCTGCACATGCACAGCTTCCAATCTCACACAATTGGACTTGCATGTGCATGTAACTTATCTAGCTGTGTGATGATAATTATTATTGTCTTTCTGCCCCAGCCTATCAATACTTAGAAGTATTTGCTGTTTTACGTTACGACACACATGCCCTTTGATATGCACGGGTGAGCAAAGTTTGTACGTGACTTTACGATAAGGGTCGGAGCTGCATGAGTTCTGTGCTAGTATATGCCAGTATCTGTGGTGGCTATGCCTTAGCTTATACTTGGTGTTTTGGAGCTGCTGAGTAGTCATAATACTACATTGCAATGGCAAGTACATTATAATTATGAAATGGAGACCTTCATCATTATCATCATCATTAGCGTCATCACCACAATATACTTGTGCGGGCAATAGCATCGGATGCATTGAACCTGCAACGGAAGAAATTGTTATCAA